GGACCACAGGGCTTTGAACCCTTGGTCGATGCAGTCTCTAAGAAAGTGCAGCAGAGAATGTACTTTCTTAGGCGCATGAACACTTTTAAGGTGTCGTCAGAAATGATGACCTTGTTTTATCGTTCTTTTATTGAATCTGTGTTTACATTTTGTATCACTGCATGGTTTGGAAGCCTATCCCAAGCAAACAAAAACAGACTTGGCAGTCTGGTTAAAGTGGCCAGTAAGGTGTCAGGGAAAACACAGGCTCATCCCAATAAGCAGGTGCTGAGGAAGGTTCTTTGGACCACCCCCTGAGGGAGCAGTTTGAACTTTAACCCTCAGGACGACGCTATAGGGCTCTTGGGTGTAGGACAAAACGGTTGGGAACTACATTTATCCCAACAGCTGTGAAGCACCTTAACAGCATATAGCACTTTACAAACCTTTGCGCTGAAAATTTGTTTTGTGACATTCTCTTTTGTTCTTGTTTTCTCAATGTTGTGATTTTACTGTATCTGCCTGTTTTTTAGATGATTTATGCTGCGAAACCAATTTCCCAAAAAAGACAACTTGAACTTGAAGTTTCCACAGTTTAACCAATTTTACGGAAATACACTTTTCCCAGACCCACCACAGAGCCCGCCTTTCTAATGAGCCGGTTCAGCCTCTCAGTGTCCCTCTTTCGTGCACTGCCCCCCCAACAGACATAGAAAAGGACACTAGACACAACAGACTGATAAAACATGTAGAGAAGCTTATCACAGACCCTGAAAGATGCCAATCGCCTCAAAAAGTACATCCTACTCTGCCCCTTCTTGTACACAGCGTCCATCATGTTGGCTGCCCAGCTCAGCTTGTTGTCCAGCTGCAGCCCCAGGTACTTATAGGTGGAAACCACTTCCACCGCAGTCCCCTCGATAATAATGGGCCGCAGAGAGGGTGGTGCCCGGCAAAAGTCCAGCACCACATGGTACATACAGTTTATGGTATATGCAGTTTATGGTACATACAGTTTATGGTATATGCAGTTTATGGTATATACAGTTTATGGTATATATAGTTTATGGTATATGCAGTTTATGGTACATACAGTTTATGGTATATACAGTTTATGGTACATACAGTTTATGGTATATGCAGTTTATGGTACATACAGTTTATGGTATATGCAGTTTATGGTACATACAGTTTATGGTATATGCAGTTTATGGTATATACAGTTTATGGTATATATAGTTTATGGTATATGCAGTTTATGGTACATACAGTTTATGGTATATACAGTTTATGGTACATACAGTTTATGGTATATGCAGTTTATGGTACATACAGTTTATGGTATATGCAGTTTATGGTACATACAGTTTATGGTATATACAGTTTATGGTACATACAGTTTATGGTACATACAGTTTATGGTACATACAGTTTATGGTATATACAGTTTATGGTACATACAGTTTATGGTATATGCAGTTTATGGTACATACAGTTTATGGTATATGCAGTTTATGGTACATACAGTTTATGGTATATGCAGTTTATGGTACATACAGTTTATGGTATATGCAGTTTATGGTACATACAGTTTATGGTATATGCAGTTTATGGTACATACAGTTTATGGTATATGCAGTTTATGGTATATGCAGTTTATGGTACATACAGTTTATGGTATATACAGTTTATGGTACATACAGTTTATGGTATATGCAGTTTATGGTACATACAGTTTATGGTATATACAGTTTATGGTATATATAGTTTATGGTATATATAGTTTATGGTATATGCAGTTTATGGTACATATAGTGTATGGTATATGCAGTTTATGGTACATATAGTTTATGGTATATACAGTTTATGGTATATGCAGTTTATGGTACATATAGTTTATGGTGTATGCAGTTTATGGTACATATAGTTTATGGTATATACAGTTTATGGTACATACAGTTTATGGTATATGCAGTTTATGGTATATGCAGTTTATGGTAGATACAGTTTATGGTATATGCAGTTTATGGTACATACAGTTTATGGTATATACAGTTTATGGTACATACAGTTTATGGTATATACAGTTTATGGTATATACAGTTTATGGTACATACAGTTTATGGTATATGCAGTTTATGGTACATACAGTTTGTGGTATATGCAGTTTATGGTACATATAGTTTATGGTATATGCAGTTTATGGTACATATAGTTTATGGTATATACAGTTTATGGTACATACAGTTTATGGTATATACAGTTTCTGGTATATGCAGTTTATGGTACATACAGTTTATGGTATATACAGTTTATGGTACATACAGTTTATGGTATATACAGTTTATGGTACATACAGTTTATGGTATATGCAGTTTATGGTACATACAGTTTATGGTATATACAGTTTATGGTACATACAGTTTATGGTATATGCAGTTTATGGTACATACAGTTTATGGTATATGCAGTTTATGGTACATACAGTTTATGGTATATGCAGTTTATGGTACATACAGTTTATGGTATATGCAGTTTATGGTACATACAGTTTATGGTATATGCAGTTTATGGTACATACAGTTTATGGTATATGCAGTTTATGGTACATACAGTTTATGGTACATACAGTTTATGGTACACACAGTTTATGGTACATACAGTTTATGGTATATACAGTTTATGGTACATACAGTTTATGGTATATACAGTTTATGGTATATACAGTTTATGGTACATACAGTTTATGGTATATGCAGTTTATGGTATATACAGTTTATGGTACATACAGTTTATGGTATATACAGTTTATGGTACACACAGTTTATGGTACATACAGTTTATGGTACATACAGTTTATGGTATATGCAGTTTATGGTATATATAGTTTATGGTATATGCAGTTTATGGTATATACAGTTTATGGTACATACAGTTTATGGTATATACAGTTTATGGTACATACAGTTTATGGTATATACAGTTTATGGTACATATAGTTTATGGTACATACAGTTTATGGTATATACAGTTTATGGTACACACAGTTTATGGTACATACAGTTGATGGTACATACAGTTTATGGTACATACAGTTTATGGTATATATAGTTTATGGTATATACAGTTTATGGTACATACAGTTGATGGTACATACAGTTGATGGTACATACAGTTTATGGTACATACAGTTGATGGTACACACAGTTGATGGTACATACACAACATTGGACCAGACGCAGTCACTGGTATAGAGCCTTTAGGACATTACACATGAAACACACATTTAAAAGATCAAATATAAAAATAACATGTGAACAACGTTGCTCCAGCTTCAGATTCAGGTGTTTAAGTCTCTGCAAAAAGTTAAAAATAAGTTAAAAATTGCTCAAATTTGGCAACATGTGTCTTAATCTGGGACAAAATAATCTAGTTTTAAAAAGATGTAGAAATGTCCTGAAATAAGAAAATACAGCAACGGTTCTTGAAATCAGACAAAATGTTTTTAAAGTCTCACTGGTAAAGTACCATGTGGCCGAGCTAATCTCACTGGTAAAGTACCATGTGGCCGAACTAATCTCACTGGTAAAGTACCATGTGGCCGAACTAATCTCACTGGTAAAGTACCATGTGGCCAAACTAATCTCACTGGTAAAGTACCATGTGGCCGAACTAATCTCACTGGTAAAGTACCATGTGGCCGAACTAATCTCACTGGTAAAGTACCATGTGGCCGAGCTAATCTCACTGGTAAAGTACCATGTGGCCGAACTAATCTCACTGGTAAAGTACCATGTGGCCGAACTAATCTCACTGGTAAAGTACCATGTGGCCGAACTAATCTCACTGGTAAAGTACCATGTGGCCGAGCTAATCTCACTGGTAAAGTACCATGTGGCCGAGCTAATCTCACTGGTAAAGTGCCATGTGGCCGAGCTAATCTCACTGGTAAAGTACCATGTGGCCGAGCTAATCTCACTGGTAAAGTACCATGTGGCCGAGCTAATCTCACTGGTAAAGTACTATGTGGCCGAGCTAATCTCACTGGTAAAGTACCATGTGGCGCAGAACTAAAAATCAAATCATTAACGACAAAACAAGGAATAAAACCAGGATTTCTATCTTTGTGAAAAAGGTGTTGGTTATAGATTTGTTGTTGACAAAACTCTTGTCTATTCAGCTGTTATGGTCCCAGCTGGATTCGTCTGCATATCTGGCAACCTGAGTCAGGGAGAGTGGGAGAGGCTGCAGTACCACTTTTGGCCACATGTTTACAGACTGCTCCTTTAAAAAACAGTCAGAATGAGTCAGATTAAGATAAAAACACTCGATTTAAGCCATTTTCACCTCATATTTGATCAATTTTCTCTGTGAAAGTTAAAATGTTTGAATGTTTAAAATCTACAGAATCACAGAGTTTGACTGAAAAGGATCCAGTTTTGTTCAGAAAAATCTACCAGAAAATATTCTCCAAACTCAGGTTAAATTAAAGTCCTCCTTGTTTCTAAAAACCTCCGTCATGTAAAATAAACATTAACTCATTGAATGTACGAAAAGAGGGTCTCAGACAAATACTGTACGTATTTGTCTGAGACCCTCTTTTCGACTGAGGATCACAGGACAACAAAAAGAGCTAGAAACAATCTTATTTTTGCTGATGAAAGCAGACAATCCAGTCTTTCAGTATCTGGTTCCATATTTCACATTGTCTTAGGAAATGATATTCTATGGGTCTTAAGAATCAATGAAATCATCCAAAACGGCTGGCAGTCAATGAGTTAAAGACATCCGCAGGTGCAAAGACCAGAACGTGCCTCATGGATGACAGACAGCTGTAAGCCCCGCCCCCTCAGCGGTCACTCAGCCTGATGGGCCGACAGACAGCTGTAAGCCCCGCCCCCTCAGCGGTCACTCAGCCTGATGGGCCGACAGACAGCTGTAAGCCCCGCCCCCTCAGCGGTCACTCAGCCTGATGGGCCGACAGACAGCTGTAAGCCCCGCCCCCTCAGCTGTCACTCAGCATGATGGGCCGACAGACAGCTGTAAGCCCCGCCCCCTCAGCTGTCACTCAGCCTGATGAGCCGCAGCTGCTCCTCATAAAGCCTGTGCAGACGCTGCGCCTCGTTTGGTCTCTTTTATTTTTGTTTGTAGCGATGAGAGTCTTTGGTTTGGTTTGTTTGGCGGCGATGCATCTGTTTCCAGGTGAGCGTGTGACATCACAGGGGTTCACAGTGTGACATCACAGGGGTTCACAGTGTGACATCACAGGGATCACAGTGTGACATCACAGGGGTTCACAGTGTGACATCACAGGGGTTCACAGTGTGACATCACAGGGGTTCACAGTGTGACATCACAGGGGTTCACAGTGTGACATCACAGGGATCACAGTGTGACATCACAGGGGTTCACAGTGTGACATCACAGGGATCACAGTGTGACATCACAGGGATCACAGTGTGACATCACAGGGATCACAGTCTGTTTAGTATCTCTGAGGACTTTACAGAGCTGATGATTTCCCAAACACAGATCAGAGAATCAAACCAGAAAGGATCAAATATGAGGCAGAAAAGCTTTGATCCAGTGTTTTAGTCCTGACTGTGTTTAACCCAGTGGGGGAGGGTCCCAGCTCAAAAGTGTCCAAAATGACGTGCGCTGACATACTGCAATACCACCCCGGGCCTGTGGGGGTGGCGCTGACATGCTGCAGTACCACCCCGGGCCTGTGGGGGTGGACCCAGAAGTAGAATTATCCAATGCTAACATATAGCGTTAGCAGACCTCTCAAAAACGTCTTTACAGGATGGACCAAAAGTTGTCTCTTGGCCCAAAGCTCCGTTCCACATGTGTGTCAATGCTGAGTGTTCTGGACCAGTCTAGTTTAGTCGCTGTGAATTTTTGAAGTCTCTCGTTCAAATGAATGGGGCTCTCTCAGCTGACTCATGCACAGATGTGTTTTTTCGCAATTTTCTTGTGGGCGGGACCACTCGTGGCCATTTTGGATAGCTCCAGTAGAGCACATTTTTTGGCCCATCAGTTAGAACGGGGGAGATAGGCCTGACTCAGTCCGTTAATATTTACAGTCTATGGTTTAACCAGATTCTGCAACGGCTCCGTCTGTTTCCTCATTCCAAGAAACACTTTTCTGTATCTTTTTAGAACGAGGCATTTTTATGTCAAATTGGAGAATCTGGTTTTATGACTCAGTGTGTGACATCACAGGTGTGACATCACAGGTGTGTGACATCAGTGTGTGACATCACAGGTGTGTGTGGGGGCCCCGCCCTGAGATGCAGCAGAGGCTCCAGCTCCTGTGCTGATGGTTCTTCCTGTTTCCTGGACTCACATCAGTGCGACGGAGAAACTGACTGTTCCGACGGATCCGACGAAGAAAACTGTGCCGTAAACTGCACCGAGGGTAATTCACCAACAACAGATTAGAAAATCAGAAAGTTCAAATGGACTGAAGCCGCAGACCCGTGTCCGAGGCAGCGGACCCGTGTCCGAGGCCGCGGACCCGTGTCCGAGGCAGCGGACCCGTGTCCGAGGCAGCGGACCCGTGTCCGAGGCAGCGGACCCGTGTCCGAGGCCGCGGACCCGTGTCCGAGGCCGCGGACCCGTGTCCGAGGCCGCGGACCCGTGTCCGAGGCCGCGGACCCGTGTCCGAGGCAGCGGACCCGTGTCCGAGGACCCGTGTCCGAGGACCCGTGTCCGAGGCCGCAGACCTGAGGCCGCGGACCCGTGTCCGAGGCCGCGGACCCGTGTCCGAGGCCGCGGACCCGTGTCCGAGGCCCTTGGTCCTGGACTTCTCCTCTTTCTACCAGTGTTACATCAAACTGTATTAAATCGCTTTGTCCTGATGTTAGTGTTTTAAATTACATGGAACCCTTTAGACCAGACGTGTCCAAACTGAGGCCCGCGGGCCAACTGCGGCCTTAGTGTCAATGTGTGTGGCCCCCTGCTGCTAACCCAGAGAAGCCTTATTCTATAACTTTAGTTTTAGCGTTTCCACATTCTACAATAAATACTAATGTTCTCACGTTTAATGACAGGTGAGTGATGGTGACCTGTCCCCGTGTCCCTCTGTCCCCGTGTCCCTCTGTCCCCGTGTCCCTCTGTCCCTGTGTCCCTCTGTCCCCGTGTCACTCTGTCCCTGTGTCCCTGTGTCCCCGTGTCACTCTGTCCCTCTGTCCCCGTGTCCCTGTGTCCCTCTGTCCCCGTGTCACTCTGTCCCCGTGTCCCTCTGTCCCCGTGTCCCTCTGTCCTCGTGTCACTCTGTCCCTGTGTCACTCTGTCCCTGTGTCACTCTGTCCCTGTGTCACTCTGTCCCCGTGTCCCTCTGTCCCCGTGTCCCTCTGTCCCCGTGTCCCTCTGTCCCTGTGTCCCTCTGTCCCCGTGTCCCCGTGTCCCTCTGTCCCCGTGTCCCTCTGTCCTCGTGTCCCTCTGTCCCAGTGTCCCTCTGTCCCCGTGTCCCTCTGTCCCCGTGTCCCTCTGTCCTCGTGTCACTCTGTCCCTGTGTCACTCTGTCCCTGTGTCACTCTGTCCCTGTGTCACTCTGTCCCCGTGTCCCTCTGTCCCCGTGTCCCTCTGTCCCCGTGTCCCCCTCTGTCCTCGTGTCACTCTGTCCCTGTGTCACTCTGTCCCTGTGTCACTCTGTCCCTGTGTCACTCTGTCCCCGTGTCCCTCTGTCCCCGTGTCCCTCTGTCCTCGTGTCCCTCTGTCCCCGTGTCACTCTGTCACTCTGTCCCCGTGTCCCTCTGTCCCCGTGTCACTCTGTCCCCGTGTCACTCTGTCCCCGTGTCACTCTGTCCCCGTGTCCCTGTGTCCCTCTGTCCCTGTGTCCCTCTGTCCCCGTGTCCCTCTGTCCCCGTGTCACTCTGTCCCTGTGTCCCTCTGTCCCCGTGTCACTCTGTCCCTGTGTCCCTCTGTCCCCGTGTCCCTCTGTCCCCGTGTCCCTCTGTCCCCGTGTCCCTCTGTCCTCGTGTCCCTCTGTCCCCGTGTCACTCTGTCACCGTGTCCCTCTGTCCCCGTGTCACTCTGTCCCCGTGTCACTCTGTCCCCGTGTCACTCTGTCCCCGTGTCCCTGTGTCCCTCTGTCCCTGTGTCCCTCTGTCCCTGTGTCCCTCTGTCCCCGTGTCACTCTGTCCCTGTGTCCCTCTGTCCCCGTGTCACTCGGTCCCCGTGTCCCTCTGTCCCCGTGTCCCTCTGTCCCTCTGTCCCCGTGTTCCTCTGTCCCTCTGTCCCTGTGTCCCTCTGTCCCTGTGTCCGGTCCTCAGGCCAGTTCCAGTGTGCCCATAGGAGGCGGTGCATCGAGGGGGGGCAGGTGTGTGACGGAGAGTCCCAGTGTCAGGACGACTCCGACGAGCGGCGCTGTCCGAGTCCCGGTGACGGCTGCGTTCACTTCTGCGACAACCGCAGCCGCTGCCTCCCGCCCACGTTCCTCTGCGACGGCGCCAAGGACTGTCTGGACGGGACCGACGAGGACCACTGCGGTGAGGTCCAGGACATGCTAATACAGACTGTATACAGATGCTAATGCTAACAGACTGTACACAGATGCTAATGCTAACACAGACTGTATACAGATGCTAATGCTAACACAGTGAATGCTAAGCTGATTGAATCCTTATTTCTGTGCTTTCAGAGGAGCAGGATAAGACTGAGCAGCCTGTCCCTGTGCTCCCCTCGGTCCCTGTGCTCCCCTCGGTGCCTCTGCACTGCTCTCTGGTGGCCAAACCGTGTAAAGACAACTCTGAGTGTGTCCTGCACGCTCACGTGTGTGACGGAGAGCAGGACTGCAAGGACGGCTCTGACGAAGAGGACTGCCAGCTCCAGTGCAGCACCGGTGATCAGGAAACTATTCAACTGGGGTGGGGTAGTCCGCAGGTGTAGATGGAGGGGGGTGGGGTAGTCCGCAGGTGTAGATGGAGGGGGGGTGGGGTAGTCCGCAGGTGTAGATGGAGGGGGGGTGGGGTAGTCCGCAGGTGTAGATGGAGGGGGGTGGGGGAGTCTGCAGGTGTAGATGGACGGGGGGTGGGGCAGTCTGCAGGTGTAGATGGAGGGGGGGTGGGGCAGTCTGCAGGTGTAGATGGAGGGGGGTGGGGGAGTCTGCAGGTGTAGATGGAGGGGGTGGGGCAGTCTGCAGGTGTAGATGGAGGGGGGGTGGGGGAGTCTGCAGGTGTAGATGGAGGGGGGGTGGGGTAGTCTGCAGGTGTAGATGGAGGGGGGGTGGGGCAGTCTGCAGGTGTAGATGGAGGGGGGGTGGGGCAGTCTGCAGGTGTAGATGGAGGGGGGTGGGGGAGTCTGCAGGTGTAGATGGAGGGGGTGGGGCAGTCTGCAGGTGTAGATGGAGGGGGGGTGGGGTAGTCTGCAGGTGTAGATGGAGGGGGGGTGGGGTAGTCCGCAGGTGTAGATGGAGGGGGGGTGGGGCAGTCTGCAGGTATAGATGGAGGTGGGGGGCAGTCTGCAGGTATAGATGGAGGGGGGGTGGGGTAGTCTACAGGTGTAGATGGAGGGGGATGGGGGAGTCTGCAGGTGTAGATGGAGGGGGGTGGGGCAGTCTGCAGGTGTAGATGGAGGGGGGGTGGGGCAGTCTGCAGGTGTAGATGGAGGGGGGGTGGGGCAGTCTGCAGGTGTAGATGGAGGGGGGTGGGGTAGTCTACAGGTGTAGATGGAGGGGGATGGGGGAGTCTGCAGGTGTAGATGGAGGGGGGGTGGGGCAGTCTGCAGGTGTAGATGGAGGGGGGTGGGGTAGTCTACAGGTGTAGATGGAGGGGGATGGGGGAGTCTGCAGGTGTAGATGGAGGGGGGTGGGGCAGTCTGCAGGTGTAGATGGAGGGGGGGTGGGGCAGTCTGCAGGTGTAGATGGAGGGGGATGGGGTAGTCCGCAGGTATAGATGGAGGGGGATGGGGGAGTCTGCAGGTGTAGATGGAGGGGGGTGGGGCAGTCTGCAGGTGTAGATGGAGGGGGGGGTGGGGCAGTCTGCAGGTGTAGATGGAGGGGGATGGGGTAGTCCGCAGGTGTAGATGGAGGGGGGTGGGGCAGTCTACAGGTGTAGATGGAGGGGGATGGGGTAGTCTGCAGGTGTAGATGGAGGGGGGGTGGGGTAGTCTGCAGGTATAGATGGAGGGGGATGGGGTAGTCCGCAGGTATAGATGGAGGGGGGTGGGGTAGTCCGCAGGTATAGATGGAGGGGGATGGGGTAGTCCGCAGGTATAGATGGAGGAGGATGGGGTAGTCCGCAGGTATAGATGGAGGAGGATGGGGTAGTCCGCAGGTATAGATGGAGGGGGGGTGGGGTAGTCCGCAGGTATAGATGGAGGAGGATGGGGTAGTCCGCAGGTATAGATGGAGGAGGATGGGGTAGTCCGCAGGTATAGATGGAGGGGGGGTGGGGTAGTCCGCAGGTATAGATGGAGGAGGATGGGGTAGTCCACAGGTATAGATGGAGGGGGGTGGGGGAGTCTGCAGGTATAGATGGAGGAGGATGGGGTAGTCCGCAGGTATAGATGGAGGGGGGGTGGGGGTAGTCCGCAGGTATAGATGGAGGTGGGGGGCAGTCTGCAGGTATAGATGGAGGGGGGGTGGGGTAGTCTACAGGTGTAGATGGAGGGGGATGGGGGAGTCTGCAGGTGTAGATGGAGGGGGGTGGGGCAGTCTGCAGATGTAGATGGAGGGGGGTGGGGCAGTCTGCAGATGTAGATGGAGGGGGGTGGGGCAGTCTGCAGGTGTAGATGGAGGGGGGGTGGGGCAGTCTGCAGATGTAGATGGAGGGGGGGGGGGGTAGTCTGCAGGTGTAGATGGAGGGGGATGGGGGAGTCTGCAGGTGTAGATGGAGGGGGGGTGGGGTAGTCTGCGGTGTAGATGGAGGGGGGTGGGGCAGTCTGCAGGTGTAGATGGAGGGGGGGTGGGGTAGTCTGCAGGTGTAGATGGAGGGGGATGGGGGAGTCTGCAGGTGTAGATGGAGGGGGGTGGGGCAGTCTGCAGATGTAGATGGAGGGGGGTGGGGCAGTCTGCAGGTGTAGATGGAGGGGGGGTGGGGTAGTCTGCAGGTGTAGATGGAGGAGGATGGGGTAGTCTGCAGGTATAGATGGAGGGGGATGGGGTAGTCCGCAGGTGTAGATGGAGGGGGGTGGGGCAGTCTACAGGTGTAGATGGAGGGGGATGGGGTAGTCTGCAGGTGTAGATGGAGGAGGATGGGGTAGTCCGCAGGTATAGATGGAGGAGGATGGGGTAGTCCGCAGGTATAGATGGAGGAGGATGGGGTAGTCCGCAGGTATAGATGGAGGAGGATGGGGTAGTCTGCAGGTATAGATGGAGGGGGATGGGGCAGTCCGCAGGTATAGATGGAGGAGGATGGGGTAGTCCGCAGGTGTAGATGGAGGAGGATGGGGTAGTCTGCAGGTATAGATGGAGGGGGATGGGGTAGTCCGCAGGTGTAGATGGAGGGGGGTGGGGCAGTCTACAGGTGTAGATGGAGGGGGATGGGGTAGTCTGCAGGTGTAGATGGAGGAGGATGGGGTAGTCCGCAGGTATAGATGGAGGAGGATGGGGTAGTCCGCAGGTATAGATGGAGGAGGATGGGGTAGTCCGCAGGTGTAGATGGAGGAGGATGGGGTAGTCTGCAGGTATAGATGGAGGGGGATGGGGTAGTCCGCAGGTATAGATGGAGGAGGATGGGGCAGTCCGCAGGTATAGATGGAGGAGGATGGGGTAGTCCGCAGGTATAGATGGAGGGGGATGGGGTAGTCCGCAGGTATAGATGGAGGAGGATGGGGCAGTCTACAGGTGTAGATGGAGGAGGATGGGGTAGTCTGCAGGTATAGATGGAGGAGGATGGGGTAGTCCGCAGGTATAGATGGAGGAGGATGGGGTAGTCCGCAGGTATAGATGGAGGAGGATGGGGTAGTCCGCAGGTATAGATGGAGGGGGAGGGGGGGGGGGTTCAGAGGTCCTGTTGTCGCTCCATGAAACAGACAATGGGACAACGGGTGAATAGCAATGAACAGACCACAGCAGAAGTCATAATGAGAGGATGGGTCTGAGTGAAAGAACATGCTCCTGAAACAATAGTTAAGACACTTTCTATTAAATATTGTTTTCATGTTGATTCCTCTATAATGTTCTATAATGTTCTATAATGTTCTATAATGTTCTATAATGTTCTATAATGTTCTATAATGTTCTATATTTATAATGTGTCCTTTACTGAAAACACTGTCACGCATTTACTTTGGAGCCAGAAGAGACAGTTCTGCACTGATCCACTCAGTAGAAAATACACAATAGTGCTGTTACTGTACTTCTCCAGTAGGGGGCTCCATATGCAGCGTCTCTGACAACCTGCAGGACTAAACTTGTCCTGTGTATGTGTGTCTCTGTGTGTGTGTGTGTGTGTGTCTGTGTGTGTCTGTATGCGTGTCTGTGTGTGTCTCTGTGTGTGCGTGTCTGTCTCTATGTGTGTCTCTGTGTGTCTGTGTGTCTCTGTGTGTGTCTCTGTGTGTGCGTGTCTGTGTGTGTCTGTATGCGTGTCTGTGTGTGTCTCTGTGTGTGTGCGTGTCTGTCTCTATGTGTGTCTCTGTGTGTCTGTGTGTCTCTGTGTGTGTCTCTATGTGTGTGCGTGTCTGTGTGTGTCTCTATGTGTGTGCGTGTCTGTGTGTCTCTGTGTGTGTCTGTGTGTGTGTGTGTCTGTGTGTGTCTCTGTGTGTGTCTGTGTGTGTCTGTGGGTCTCTGTGTGTGGGTGTCTGTGGGTCTCTGTGCGTGTGTGTGTCTGTATGTGTGTGTCTCTGTGTCTGTGTGCGTGTGTGTGTGTCTGTGTATGTGTGTGTGTGTGTGTGTGTGTGTGTCTGTGTATGTGTGTGTCTGTGTCTGTGTGCGTGTGTGTGCGTCTCTATGTCTCTGTGTCTGTGTCTGTGTGTGTCTGTGTCTGTGTGCGTGTCTGTGGATCTCTGTGTGTCTCTGTGTCTGTGTCTGTGTCTGTATGTGTGTGTCTGTGTGCGTGTGTGTCTCTGTGTCTGTGTCTGTCTCTGTGTCTGTGTCTGTGTCTGTGTGCGTGTGTGCAGGGCAGTTCCATTGTGCCCGGGGCCCCCTCTGCCTCCCCCCCTCTCAGGTGTGTGATGGTCTGGCCCAGTGTCAGGACGGCTCTGATGAGAGGGACTGCTCCCCACAGGACGGCTGCTCTCATCAGTGTGACGGGGGCCGCCGCTGTGTGCCCCCCACCTTCCTCTGCGACGGGGAGCGGGACTGTCAGGACGGGACCGACGAGGACCACTGCGGTACCTACTGTTACAGGACGGTTTATTAGTATGGCACAGTCATATACACGGAATCTCAATGCAGAGATTTAAAATAATAATCAGATAAAATCTTTCAGTTTTTAACCTGGATTTAAACATTGTCAGAGAAGAAGCCTGTCTCATATTTTTAGGAAGATTATAGCTGAATAAATCTGAAATCCTCCATGTTTAGTCCTGACTCTGGGACCAGCAGGAGGCCAGTCCCTGTGTACTTTTGTGCGAGGCCATGGAGAGCTTTTAGAATGATCCGAGGCAAGTGCATTTGAGCACGTGTTAAGCCTGGTTCACACGAGACGATTTTAAAATTGTCGGCCGATTTTTCTCCGTGTTAGACCCCACACGGGGAGATTAAAAATCCTGTGTTTAACCACTTTGGTCGTGCAGTGTGTGGTGCGTAGCCACACGGCAAGATCACGCAAGCCACAAACATCACACACGAACCGACACCCCCCCCCGAGCATTCCCAGGTCAGACGGAAATCTCACAAAATCTCTCGATCAAGCGTGACTTCAGAGTAAACAGTCATGGCGGAGAAGAGGATGCAGTGGCGATAGTGTGCAGTTTGTTGTTAACAGAGAAGACACGTAATCCAAAGAAAAGGCAATGGTCAAAGCCATGCTGCTGTGTTTTGTTTTTTTTCCGGTGTTTCCTCACCGGCTTGTCACCTCGTCTTCTTATTGGCTACACACCGTAGTCATGGCAACGCGCTCGCTTGTCCTCGGAGGACACCACACACGACCAGAAATCGGGCCAAAACAATCCAACATGTTGGATATCCCCGATTTGAGATTGGGAGCAGTCCCGATGTCCTTCCGAGCGACGAGTGCAGTCTTAACACACCACACACGGCAGGATAATCTGTAAGACTTTGTTACGGAAATCGGAGCGTTTCTTAAGATTGTCGTAAGGGGTAAATCGGGTCTAAATCGGCCTAAATATCCTGCCGTGTGAACCAGCCTTTAGCTGCACTAGCCACATTCATTTAACCAGTGCATTCTGAAGTCCACAGCAGCTAAACTAGACCGGTCCAAAACAATACTCCCTCAACATCCATAGCATCTGGAACGAAGAGTACTTTTGGAGAGGAATGAACACACCAAACAAAACACAGCGCCGCAAATGGTGGCACGCTCTCTGCCAAAACAAAAGTAACTTGTTTGTTACTTACGTGGCAATAAAAATGATTCTGAAAAGCATTGGGTAATTCTCTTTCTGGGTACACCCCCACCAGCGAGTGAGATTGCAGCATGTCAGATTTACGCAGCTAAAACCTGGTAGTATCCAGCACTTTGAGGTTCCTTGAGTATGAACTGTGCTATACAGATAAACTTGGCCGGGTCACATGACTCTGACTCTGACTCTGACGCTGCGTGTGACCGTAGAGTCTGAGGCGTGTGGCGAGGGGCAGTTCCGGTGCCGCAGTGGTCAGTGTGTGGCTCTTCCTCTTCGCTGTGACGGTCGCTCAGACTGCACTGACCGCTCTGATGAGGACCGCTGCCCCCCCCCCCCCACCTGCCCCCCCCAACACCACTGCCCCAACAGCAGCAAGTGCCTCCTGCCAGAGTGGCTCTGTGACGGGGACCAGGACTGTGAGGGCGGGACGGACGAGCAGGTACCTCACCCTCAACCTCGCTACACCCTCAACCTCGCTACACCCTCAACCTTCGCTACACCCTCAACCTCGCTACACCCTCAACCCCGCTACACCCTCAACCTCACTACACCCTCAACCTTCGCTACACCCTCAACCTTCGCTACACCCTCAACCTTCGCTACACCCTCAACCTCGCTACACCCTCAACCTTCGCTACACCCTCAACCTCGCTACACCCTCAACCTCGCTACACCCTCAACCTCGCTACACCCTCAACCCCGCTACCTCACTACACCCTCAACCTCTCTACACCCTCAGCCCCACTACACCCTCAACCTCGCTACACCCTCAGCCTCACTACACCCTCAGCCTCACTACACCCCTCAACCCCACTACACCCTCAACCTAGCTACACCCTCAACCTCGCTACACCCTCAACCTCACTACACCCTCAACCTCGCTACACCCTCAACCTCGCTACACCCCCAACCTCGCTACACCCCCAACCCCGCTACACCCTCAACCCCACTACACCCTCAACCTCACTACACCCTCAACTCCACTACACCCTCAACCTCGCTACACCCTCAACCTCGCTACACCCTCAACCCCTCTACACCCTCAACCCCACTACACCCTCAACCCCACTACACCCTCAACCCCTCTACACCCTCAACCCCTCTACACCCTCAACCCCTCTACACCCTCAACCCCACTACACCCTCAACCTCACTACACCCTCAACTCCACTACACCCTCAACCTCACTACACCCTCAACCTCGCTACACCCCCAACCCCTCTACACCCTCAACCTCGCTACACCCTCAACCCCGCTACACCCTCAACCCCGCTACACCCTCAACCTCGCTACACCCCAACCTCGCTACACCCTCAACCTCGCTACACCCTCAACCTCACTACACCCTCAGCCTCACTACACCCTCAACTCCACTACACCCTCAACTCCACTACACCCTCAACCCCACTACACCCTCAACCTCACTACACCCTCAACCTCACTACACCCTCAACCTCGCTACACCCCCAACCCCGCTACACCCTCAACCTCGCTACACCCCCAACCCCGCTACACCCCCAACCCCGCTACACCCTCAACCCAGCTACACCCTCAACCCCGCTACACCCTCAACCTCGCTACACCCCAACCTCGCTACACCCTCAACCTCGCTACACCCTCAACTCCGCTACACCCTCAACTCCACTACACCCTCAACTCCACTACACCCTCAACCTCACTACACCCTCAACCTCACTACACCCTCAACCTCACTACACCCTCAACCTCACTACACCCTCAACCCCTCTACACCCTCAACCCCACTACACCCTCAACCTCACTACACCCTCAACTCCACTACACCCTCAACCTCACTACACCCTCAACTCCACTACACCCTCAACCTCACTACACCCTCAACTCCACTACACCCTCAACCTCGCTACACCCTCAACCTCGCTACACCCTCGCTACACCCTCAACCCCGCTACACCCTCAACCTCGCTACACCCTCAACCTCGCTACACCCTCACCTTTATCACACCTTCACGTCACCCTCTCCCTCACCACACCCTCAGATCACCGTTGCCACACCCTCATTGCACCCTCATTGCACCCTCATTGCACCCTCACGTCCCCCTCACCACACCCTCTCCTCATATTTGGGTTTGAAGTCATGTGTTTTGGTGAATTTACTGACTATAAAAGTGCCTTCTGTCTTCCCGCTCGGTCTGGTCTCCTGCAGAACTGTGAAGTGAAGCCGGTGACGTGTGGAGACTTCCAGTGGAGATGCAAATCCAAGACCATGTGCGTCCCCAAGTCCTGGAGGTGTGACGGCACCAGAGACTGTGAGGACGGCAGCGACGAGACAGAGTGTGAGGCCACCAATCCCCGTTCATGGTTTAGGAGGCATTTTCCAGATTCAGACCAAGCCCTGGGTCTGCCTCTGGTCTCTCCAAGATGTCTGCCCCTGGTCTCTCCAAGATGTCTGCCTCTGGTCTCTCCAAGATGTCTGCCTCTGGTCTCTCCAAGATGTCTGCCCCTGGTCTCTCCAAGATGTCTGCCCCTGGTCTCTCCAAGATGTCTGCCTCTGGTCTCTCCAAGATGTCTGCCTCTGGTCTCTCCAAGATGTCTGCCTCTGGTCTCTCCAAGATGTCTGCCTCTGGTCTCTCCAAGATGTCTGCCTCTGGTCTCTCCAAGATGTCTGCCCCTGGTCTCTCCAAGATGTCTGCCCCTGGGGAAAGACCAGAGGGGGGGGGGGACAAATTTGTTGCAGAGTAAAAACCAAAAACTTTATAAGTCTAGTTATATGTGTGTATCCTGAGGGTCTCTGATGGTCTCTAACGCCCTCTCTGGTTCTGGCAGGTGCTGTGGTGGACTGCCCCTCCCCTCAGTTCCGGTGCTTGGGGGGGGGCTGCCTGGAGCCGGGGGCAGTGTGTGACCGGGTGAGGGACTGTGAGGACGGCTCTGATGAGGGAGAAGGCTGTGGGCTCCAATGCACCGACCACAACTGCTCCCACACCTGCCTCAGCACGCCTCAGGGGCCCGTGAGTACCCACCCCAGACCCCCAGACCCTGAGGACCCCAGACCCCCAGACCCTGAGGACCCCAGACCCCCAACCCTGACCAAACTGCAGATCTCTGTGTGTGTGTGTATATACAGTACATACAGTATAGATACTTGCTGTATACTTATACATGTAGATATATCTAATGTGTGTGTGTCTCTGTGTGTGTGTATATACAGTACATACAGTATAGATACTTGCTGTATACTTATACATGTAGATATATCTAATGTGTGTGTGTCTCTGCCCAGCGCTGCAGCTGCCCTGCGGGACAGCGCCTCCTGCTGGACGCTCGTACCTGTGCTCACGTGGACGAGTGTGGAGCCCAGAGGGAGTGCAGCCAGCTCTGTCGGAACAGCCCTGGATCCTTCACCTGCCACTGCCTGCCAGGGTTTGTGCTGGAGGCTGACGGCCACAGCTGCAAGAGCACAGGTACGAGAGAGCACAGGTACGAGAGAGGGAGAGCAGGTACGAGAGAGGGAGGGAGCACAGGTACGAGAGACCACAGACCACCAAACAGTTGAAACGATCCATCTGGGAAAAGGTTCTGTAAATGTAAAGCTAAGGCCAGATAATGTACGGCCATGTTTATCTGTATAGCACAGTTCATTCTAAACCAGAATAACGTCATAACATCACACAAACCAGGATCACCCTCCTGTAACGACAACGAACCACTCTGGGGGGTGGTGGACCCAGGAGTGGGGGGGTGGTAGACCCAGGAGTGGGGGGGTGGTAGACCCAGGAGAGTGGGGGGTGGTAGACCCAGGAGAGTGGGGGGTGGTAGACCCAGGAGAGTGGGGGGTGGTAGACCCAGGAGTGGGGGGTGGTAGACCCAGGAGTGGGGGGGTGGTAGACCCAGGAGTGGGGGGGGGGTAGACCCAGGAGAGTGGGGGGTGGTAGACCCAGGAGAGTGGGGGGTGGTAGACCCAGGAGAGTGGGGGGTGGTAGACCCAGGAGTGGGGGGGTGGTAGACCCAGGAGTGGGGGGGGGGTAGACCCAGGAGTGGGGGGGGGGTAGACCCAGGAGTGGGGGGGTGGTAGACCCAGGAGTGGGGCGTAAGATTTTTTGTGTTGCTGGATCTACCCCCCTCCAGTCCTGATACAAACTACTTCCTGTGTAGTGTAGATGACAGACCTCAGTCAAAGATGCACAGCTGCAGTTAGCGCCTGTGTTGGCGCCTGTGTTGCTGCAGTTAGCGCCTGTGTTAGCGCCTGTGTTCCTGCAGTGGAGCCTCTGCTGGTGGTCTCGGTCTCCAAAGACCTGGTGGTGGTGGGTCTGCGCAGCGGCAGCCTGGACCTGCTCTCGGCCTCCCCCAAGAAGGTCATTCTGTCGCTGGACTACGACTGGAGCCAGCGCCGGGTCTACTGGGGCAGTCTGGACTCCAGCAGCATCAAGTGGTCTGCCCTGGACTACAGGGCCACCGGGACTCTCATCAAAGGTACTAGGACTACAGGGCCACAGGGACTCTCATCAAAGGTACTAGGACTACAGGGCCACCGGGACTCTCATCAAAGGTACCAGGACTACAGGGCCACAGGGACTCTCATCAAAGGTACTAGGACTACAGGGCCACAGGGACTCTCATCAAAGGTACTAGGACTACAGGGCCACAGGGACTCTCATCAAAGGTACTAGGACTACAGGGCAACAGGGACTCTCATCAAAGGTACCAGGAGGCTCGGGTTTGGTTTAGGAGGTCCTCAGGGTCCAGAATGCAATCCTCCTTTCCACCACTGGACATGTTTCTCTAGAATTCCTAGAAAATATTGATATGTTTAGGGCGGAAACTACTCTACTCTACTCTACTCTACTTGCGAGCATTTCCACCAGCAATATTTAACAGGCTTTCTTTAGCCCTGGTTCTATCCTGGCAGAGCAGACTGAGGTTTCTCTTGCGTCTGTCTCTGAAGTTTCTCTGTGTGTAGAGTTTCTCTGTGTGTAGAGTTTCTCTGTGTGTAGAGTTTCTCTGTGTGTAGAGTTTCTCTGTGTGTAGAGTTTCTCTGTGTGTAGTCTCTCTCTCTCTCTCCATGTTCTGCACAAACTTGTGCGCAGGTGTTTCATGTTGTTTTCTTTTATTGTGGCGCGGTTTTGCCTCAGCTACTTTACCAAAAGCTATCGTAATGCATCATGGGATCACAGTCGCTCGCAAGTGGGCTCCGGACCTCACTTGTGCTCAAGGGTGGTGTTTAGGGGTGTGCCTCTTCTCCCTAAGTATTGGGACACCCTTCCACTCCCGCGGGCACACGCAAACTCTATAGGGCAAGTGTGCTTTTTAAGGGTGAGAATTGGGACGGGGCCTTTCTCTCTCTCTGGAGTTTCTCTCTGTCTCTCCCAGGCGTTCGAGCAGACGCCGTGGCCGTGGACTGGCTCGGGAGGAACGTGTACTGGATCGATGGCGTGAAGAGCCAGATCCTCGCGGTCCAGCTGCCGGAGGCCTCAGGGACCAGTCCAGACTACACCGTGATCCTGGACCAGGACCTGGACCAGCCCAGGTCTCTGGCTCTGCTCCCACAGAAGGGGTCTGTACCTGAAGTCTCAGTCCACTGAAGCTAAAGCATTAAATGGTCACAAAAGATTGAGTTTTTCCTCTCTCTGCCCCGCCCTCTCTCTGCCCCGCCCCCTCTCTGCCCCGCCCCCTCCCGTCAGGTGGATGTTCTGGACGGAGGTCGGCGCCACGGTGAAGATTGAGCGCTCTGGGATGGACGGCTCTGAGAGGAAGGCTCTGGTCACCTCCCACCTGGGCTGGCCTGTGGGCGTGGCCGCAGACGCCGTGTCCAACCGGGTCTACTGGACCGACCAGCGCCTCAAGGCCATCGGCTCTGCCACGCTGGAGGGGGAGGACATCCAGGTGAGGCTGGGGCGGGAGGCGGAGGACGTCCAGGTGAGGCTGGAGGAGGGAGGCTGCAGGAGGGAGGGGGAGGACATCCAGGTGAGGCTGGGACGGGAGGCTTGAGGGGGGAGGACATCCAGGTGAGGCTGGGGCGGGAGGCTGGAGGCTTGAGGGGGGAGGGGGAGGACATCCAGGTGAGGCTGGGGGGAGGGGGAGGACATCCAGGTGAGGCTGGGGGGAGGGGGAGGACATCCAGGTGAGGCGAGAGGCTGGAGGGGGGAGGGGGAGGACATCCAGGTGAGGCTGGGGGAGGCTGGAGGGGGAGGACATCCAGGTGAGGCTGGGGGGGAGGCTGGAGGCTTGAGGGGGGAGGGGGAGGACATCCAGGTGAGGCTGGGGGGAGGGGGAGGACATCCAGGGGAGGCGGGAGGCTGGAGGGGGGAGGGGGAGGACATCCAGGTGAGGCTGGGGGGAGGGGGAGGACATCCAGGTGAAGCGGGAGGCTGGAGGGGGGAGGGGGGAGGGGGAGGACATCCAGGTGAGGCTGGGGGGAGAGGACATCCAGCTGAGGCTGGAGGGGGGAGGGGGAGGACATCCAGGCGAGGCTGGGGGGGCTCTCTCTCGCGATCTCTCTCGCCATCGCTCTCTCTCTCTCCCGCTCTCTCTTGGCCTCTCGGGCTCTCTGTCTCTGTCTCTGTCTCTGTCTCTCTCTCTGTCTCTCTCTCTGTCTCTCTCTCGGCCTCTCTCTCTCGGTCTCTCTCTCGGTCTCTCTCTCGGTCTCTCTCTCGCCCTCTCTCTCTCTCCCGCTCTCTCTTGGCCTCTCGGTCTCTCTCTCGGTCTCTCTCTCGGTCTCTCTCTCGGTCTCTCTCTCGGTCTCTCTCTCGGTCTCTCTCTCGGTCTCTCTCTCGGTCTCTCTCTCGGTCTCTCTCTCGGTCTCTCTCTCGGTCTCTCTCTCGGTCTCTCTCTCGGTCTCTCTCTCGGTCTCTCTCTCGGTCTCTCTCTCGGTCTCTCTCTCGGTCTCTCTCTCGGTCTCTCTCTCGGTCTCTCTCTCTGTCTCTCTCTCGGCCTCTCTCTCTCTGTCTCTCTCTCGGTCTCTCTGTCACTCTCTCTGTCTCTCTCTCGGTCTCTCTCTCGGACAGATACAGACTTTCCATGATCCTTGTTTCAGATCCTGCAGATGGGCACCGATAATCCGTTTGCAATCGCAGTTTTCAACGATGTGTTGTACTGGTCCGACACTCGGAGGAGAGCGGTGCAGGGAGCTCACAGAGGGACCGGGAAGAGCCGACGAGTGCTCCTGAAGAGGCCCCAGCAGCCGTTCGGGGTCAAGGTGCCACAGCTCAGTGTCAGACGAGTGGATTGTTGTTCGTTCCACCGCATCATGGTTTTCACACCGACCTAAACCCGGCGTTTAAAGTAACAGTTGATGACCGTAACTATTACATAACTGAACTTCATATTGTCCAATTTATTTTTATTGAAAGTAAATATTGTGTGGAGACTGTTTTTCCAAAGCATCTTTCTGGCCACAGGCTGCTCACTGCCTGCGCTCTCCTTTAGAACTCTGTCCTTTATCAAATGTTCCATGTGGAGAAACACGCTTTGATGCAGTAAAACCTCCGCTGTAGTTTTCTTTAGTCCTGTACTTTACATCAGAATGATCCATGTTCTAAAAGCAAAACGCCACAGTAACTATTGTCCGCTTGATGATGTGTGGTCCCAGGTCATGCACCCGCTGCTGCAGAGCTCCACAGAGAGGCCCTGTGAGGCCCCTGGCTGCTCCCACCTGTGTGTGCTGGCCCCGGGGCCTCGGCCGGTCTGCAGGTGTCCCTTTGGTCTGCTGCTGTCCCAGGACCAGCGCTCCTGCTCCAGACCCGACACGGCCTTCCTGCTGCTGCTGGCTCCTGCTGCGCTCACTCAGGTACCAACATCTGAGTCTGGGGTCTCTATGGGAACTCGGGCAAAGTGTTTACATGGATCTGGGAACCAATCAGAGGAAGGGGAGGGATGGCATGGAGACGCCCTATTGGACAGATGAAGGACTGAGGCTGTAGACCCAGGACTTACTGAGGAGCAGAAGCAAATGAAACCTCAGTGATTGTGGAGATTCCTGAAACAGAAGCTGGATTAAAAAGCTCTGGGTCTAGAGCTGAACAAGTTTCCGTAGTGAGGACTGTAACTGTCTGTTCTAGGTTTTCCTGCCGTCCCGGTTCCCGGCCCCCGGCTTGAAGGACTGGCCCGAGCACTCCTCCATTCAGCTGCCACACATCAACCAGGCGGCCATCTTGGACTACAGCTTCAAAGACCAGGCTTTATATGTGACCGACGACAGCACGGCGTCTCTGAGCGCGCTCACGCTCGCAGACGGCGGCCTGAGCGCCCCTCGCCATCTGCTGAGGCTGCTCCACGACCGCATCACGGCGTTGGCTCTGGACTGGAGCAGCGGGAACGTGTTCTGGAGCAGCAGCGAGCAGCCGAGGATCCACGTCACCAGCACCGGCACCGGGCGCTCGGCCGTGCTCCTGGCAGACGACCTCGGCGCCGTGCACGCCATCGCTCTGCACCCTCAGAGCGGGCGCCTCTGTTTCACCAGCACAGGGGAGCCGAGGGGGGAGACGGGGGAGAAGGGGGAGACCGTGGAGTGCGCCGACATGGACGGAGGGCGCCGCAGCGTCGTGTGGAAGGACGCGGTGACACCCAGGACTCTTGTCTTCTCCAGCGACGGGAAAGTCCTGTTCTGGGCCGACACCGGTACGTCACTTTAGCAGAGCAGAGTGGGCGGGGCGGGGCTGTTGGGCAGTGGGGTGGGCGGGGCTGTGTGGCTAGGGTGGGCGGGGCAGAGTCTGATATGTTCAGAGCTGATCTGCTTCAATAATTTTCTTTTCAATGTTTTTATTCTTTAATCTAAGGTTTGTCCTGAACAAGAAAGCTCCGCCCACTCACTGTAGTTTAGAAACGAACCGCTTTGGTCAAAGGCACAGGATCAATAAATAATACAATATAATATAATTTAATCATGAAGCGCCTGAAAGGATTTAACTTTTCTAAATTAAATCCTTTTGCAGAATCCAGAAACATCTTCCAGACTCCAACACAATCTCAAGTTTTTAAAAAACTCAAGTGATTGCAGACTCTTTGGGGATCCGTCCCAGGCACAGGCCCCTCAGAGCACAGGCCCCTCAGAGCACAGGCCCCTCAGAGCACAGGCCCCTCAGAGCACAGGCCCCTCAGAGCACAGGCCCCTCAGAGCACAGGCCCCTCAGAGCACAGGCCCCTCAGAGCACAGGCCCCTCAGAGCACAGGCCCCTCAGAGCACAGGCCCCTCAGAGCACAGGCCCCTCAGAGCACAGGCCCCTCAGAGCACGGCCACAGTAAGCTCCAAACTATAAACTCAAGCCATAACATCTCAAACACATAAAGAACTCTTCAACACATCTCGTCTCTTGTAGTCTCTCCAGGATGAACTTGATCATGAACCCCCCCAAATCAGAAACAAGAATCAATCAAATAAAATAAAAATATATATTGATATTAGTGATAGTAATGATTAAAACACAGTCAAGAATATCAGTAAAGTCGTGAAGGTCTTTTCAGACCTGGTTTCATCAAAACCAGATGAAAACATTCACATCAGAATAAAAGAGTAAAGATAAAATCTTTCAGTTGTAGCAGAAATAGATTTGTTTTTATCCTGGGTTTGAACGTTATCAGTCTCTCACATTTTCAGGAAGACTGTTCCAGGTTTTAGCATGGATCATGTTTAGTCCTGACTCTGGGCCTCCTCCACATGTGTGTGTTGTGTGTATTGTGTGTATTGTGTGTTGTGTAAACAGTGGAGTGTGTTTCTCCAGGCTTGGGGGCGGTGGGCTCTGTGCGTCTGGACCTTCTCTCCTACACAGAGCTGAAGGTGGGAGACGGTCTGACTGCTGTCACACTGTACGACGAAACTCTGCTCTGGATGACCACTGGAGGTGAAGAGCTACAAGGAGATGTTGGGGGGAGGGAGTGGGAGGCCGGGGGGGAGGGAGTGGGAGGCCGGGGGGGAGGGAGTGGGAGGCCGGGGGGGGGGGGAGGGAGCGGGAGGCCAGGGGGGAGGGAGTGGGAGGCCAGGGGGGAGGGAGTGGGAGGCCAGGGGGGAGGGAGTGGGAGGCAAGGGGGGAGGGAGTGGGAGGCCAGGGGGGAGGGGAGGCCAGGGGGGAGGGAGTGGGAGGCTGGGGGAGGCAAACTGGTTTCATCACTGAACACACTCCTTTTCAGAAAAGACCAGAGTCTGGTACCAGGACCAGCAGCAGCAAAACCAGATGTGGTTTGAAGTCTCCACAAAACTGGTCGGATTCAAGGTGTTCAGCAGCTCACACCAGAAAGGTAACGACATATGGTACAGATGGTAACGACATATGGTACAGATGGTAACGACATATGGTACAGATGGTAACGACATATGGTACAGATGGTAACGACATATGGTACAGATGGTAACGACATATGGTACAGATGGTAACGACGTGTGGTAACGACGTGTTGTAACGGTGACTTATGGTAACGACTTATGGTAACGACTTATGGTAACGACTTATGGTAACGACTTATGGTAACGACTTATGGTAACGACTTATGGTAACGACTTATGGTAACGACTTATGGTAACGACTTGTGGTAACGGTGAGGGTCAGAACAGAAATGAAGCATTTGATAAAATCTTCGATCCTGGTTTTGTTACAAATGTTCACATGCATTTGTTTTTGTCTCGCTCTCTCGTGGTCTCTCTCGTGGTCTGTCTCGCTCTCTCTCGTGGTCTGTCTCTCTCTCGTGGCTCTCTCTCGTGGTCTGTCTCTCTCTCGTGGCTCTCTCTCGTGGTCTGTCTCTCTCTCGTGGCTCTCTCTCGTGGTCTGTCTCGCTCGTGGTCTGTCTCGCTCTCTCTCGTGGTCTCTCGTGGCTCTCTCGTGGTCTGTCTCGCTCTCTCTCGTGGTCTGTCTCGCTCTCTCTCGTGGTCTGTCTCTCTCTCGTGGTCTCTCGTGGTCTCTCTCTCGTGGTCTCTCGTGGTCTCTCTCTCGTGGCTCTCGTGGTCTGTCTCGCTCTCTCTCGTGGTCTGTCTCGCTCTCTCGTGGTCTCTCGTGGCTCTCTCTCGTGGTCTCTCTCGTGGTCTCTCTCGTGGTCTCTCTCGTGGTCTGTCTCGCTCTCTCTTGTGGTCTCTCGTGGCTCTCTCGTGGTCTCTCTCTCGTGGTCTCTCTCGTGGCTCTTTCTCGTGGCTCTCTCTCGTGGTCTGTCTCGCTCTCTCTCGTGGTCTGTCTCGCTCTCTCTCGTGGCTCTCGGTCTGTCTCGTGGTCTGTCTCGTGGTCTGTCTCGTGGTCTCTCTCGCTCTCTCTTGTGGTCTGTCTCGCTCTCTCTTGTGGTCTGTCTCTCTCTCTCTCGTGGTCTGTCTCTCTCTCTCGTGGTCTCTGTCGCTCTCTCTCTGGTCTCTCTCTCTCGTGGTCTGTCTCGCTCTCTCTCGTGGTCTCTGTCGCTCTCTTGGTCTCTCTCTCTCGTGGTCTCTCTCTCTCGTGGTCTCTCTCTCTCGTGGTCTCTCTCTCTCGTGGTCTGTCTCGCTCTATCTCGTGGTCTGTCTCGCTCTCTCTCGTGGTCTGTCTCGCTCTCTCTCGTGGTCTGTCTCGCTCTCTCTCGTGGTCTGTCTCGCTCTCTCTCGTGGTCTGTCTCGCTCTCTCTCGTGGTCTGTCTCGCTCTCTCTCGTGGTCTGTCTCGCTCTCTCTCGTGGTCTGTCTCGCTCTCTCTCTTGGTCTGTCTCTCTCTCTCTCGTGGTCTGTCTCTCTCTCTTGGTCTCTCTCTCTCGTGGTCTGTCTCGCTCTCTCTCGTGGTCTTGGTCTCGCCCTCTCTCGTGGTCTCTCTCTCGCTCTCTCTCGTGGTCTCTGTCTCGCTTTCTCTCTTGGTCTCTGTCTCTCGTGGTCTGTCTCGCTCTCTCTCGTGGTCTCTGTCTCGCTTTCTCTCTTGGTCTCTGTCTCTCGTGGTCTGTCTCGCACTCTCTCGTGGTCTGTCGCTCTCTCGTGGTCTCTCTCTCTCGTGGTCTGTCTCGCTCTCTCTCGTGGTCTCTGTCTCTCTCTCTTGGTCTCTGTCTGTCTCGCTCTCTCTCTTGGTCTCTGTCTGTCTCGCTCTCTCTCGTGGTCTCTCTCTCTGTCTCCCTCTCTCGTGGTCTCTCTCTCTGTCTCCCTCTCTCGTGGTCTCTCCGTCTCCCTCTCTCGTGGTCTCTCTGTCTCCCTCTCTCGTGGTCTCTCTGTCTCCCTCTCTCGTGGTCTCTCTCTCTGTCTCCCTCTCTCGTGGTCTCTCTGTCTCCCTCTCTCGTGGTCTCTCTGTCTCCCTCTCTCGTGGTCTCTCTGTCTCCCTCTCTCGTGGTCTCTCTGTCTCCCTCTCTCGTGGTCTCTCTCTCTGTCTCCCTCTCTCGTGGTCTCTCTCTCTCCCTCTCTCGTGGTGTCTCTGTCTCCCTCTCTCGTGGTCTCTCTGTCTCCCTCTCTCGTGGTCTCTCTGTCTCCCTCTCTCGTGGTCTCTCTGTCTCCCTCTCTCGTGGTCTCTCTGTCTCCCTCTCTCGTGGTCTCTCTGTCTCCCTCTCTCGTGGTCTCTCTGTCTCCCTCTCTCGTGGTCTCTCTGTCTCCCTCTCTCGTGGTCTCTCTGTCTCCCTCTCTCGTGGTCTCTCTGTCTCCCTCTCTCGTGGTCTCTCTCTCTCCCTCTCTCGTGGTCTCTCTCTCTCCCTCTCTTGTGGTCTCTCTCTCTGTCTCCCTCTCTCGTGGTCTCTCTCTCTGTCTCCCTCTCTCGCGGTCTCTCTCTCTCTCCCTCTCTCGTGGTCTCACTGGATCGTCTTCCTGATGCTGTCTTCATCTCTTGCACCAAAGCTCAGTCTGACTTTGTCCTGAAATAAAACTGTTCATATTTTAATTTCTTTTTGGACCAGGTTCAACCCGGTGCTCGTCGGACAATGGGGGGTGCTCTCACCTTTGCCTTCCCACTGGGGAGGGCCGCTCCTGTGGGTGTGACTTTGACCACGCCCCCCTGAACTCCACCCACTGTCTCCCACGGCAACACTGCGGCAGCAGGAGCAGGCCCTGCTGGGACCTGCTCTCCTGTCTGCCCCTCAGCAAGTTCTGCGACGGCCACGTGGACTGCGCCGACCGCTCCGACGAGAACTGTACGTCTGCCGGAGTCTGGGTGGGAGTCTGGGTGGGAGTCTGGGTGGGAGTCTGGGGTGGGAGTCTGGGGTGGGAGTCTGGGGTGGGAGTCTGGGGTGGGAGTCTGGGGTGGGAGTCTGGGGTGGGAGTCTGGGGTGGGAGTCTGGGGTGGGAGTCTGGGGTGGGAGTCTGGGGTGGGAGTCTGGGGTGGGAGTCTGGGGTGGGAGTCTGGGGGGTGGGAGTCGGACTGTGAACCTGCAGCTTTCCCAAAGCTCTCGTTCTTTAGTTATCTCCTTCTAAACACTTCCAGCTGGCACAGTGCTGCCCCCTACAGTCATCAGCTCAGACTGAAATGTGACTTGTAATGTTTGGGCTCTGTCCAGACGCTGAGCACAGGTCATTAGTTTGAATGGTCAGACATCTTGACATAGATGGACAAATGTGAAGTCATCAGTTCTAGTCTGTTTGTTTGAATCATTGGATCTAATCTGTGGTTTCAGGCCTGACTCTGAACTCTCTCTCTGACCTCGCTGACTCTCCGGACCTCCTGACCTCTCCTCCCTCAGGAGAGGCCTCCGCTCGGCCCTCAAACGACAGTGAGGGCTCCTGGGAGATGGGCCCCTTGGAGCTGGGCCTGGAGGAGTGCAGTGAGAGGCACTGCAGCAGTAGGGGGCGCTGTGTGGAGGTGGAGGGTCAGACCCAGTGTGTGTGTCCCCTGCTGTACTCGGGGCCCTCGTGTGAGAACGGCCTTCTGACCAGTCTGCGCTGGCCCCTGGTGTACGGGGCCGCGGGGCTGCTGGTCCTCCTGCTGCTCATCATGGTGGTGGTGCTGGTTTGCAAGAGGAGGAGAGCGACCCAGGCCAGGTGAGTTCTACTGTCTGGGTCAGGGGTATGGATACTTTGTGTGTGTGTTCTGGACCTGTTTGGAGCAGTCTGTTGGTACATGTAGAACCCCTGAACCCGGCCCTAGTCCCAGGCAAAGTCCCAGACCCTGCCGCCGCCTGGAGGTTCCTCACTTTTTCCCTGCATAGTTCCAGGTGGTTCTTTGCCGACGCAGGAGACTTGGACAGTGATGATCCGGGACATTCAAGGACGTATCTGGACGCCAGTTGTCCTGCTCTCTGGACCAATGGCTTCTGTGTTTTGTTTTATTATTGCATTTCCTGTGTACAAACTCATAAATTCTGTTGATGGCGAATCCACAACTTGCCGCTGTTGTGATTCAGGGAAATACACAAATACTGTCTTATGTGATTAAAAACAGGAGTGATGCCCCGGGGGTGTGTGCGACCAGTCTGAAGGAGCTCGATGGAAAAGCAGAACCCGGACCCTGTGCCCCGTCCTCCCCGTCCTCCCCGTCCTCCCCGTCCTCTCAGACCTCCCAGACTTCGCCGGCTCAAGCGGAGAAACCAGAGGTGCAATCATAAATCAAACGTATACGTGCCGTGGTGGGTGTGACAGTCTGCATTTTTTCCCTCACAGGAAGTGGTGAGACTGACGGAGATTAGAGAGAAGACTCATTTTAAATAAACTGTATTTGACGAGAATGTCCTGGTTGCGTTTTTGTGTTGATGGTGTGTTTGGGGCGTGGCCGAGCACACATTCCAGATCAGCCTCTGACAATCGCTTTTGTTTCACCTACTCACACATTTAATACAAGATTGAGTTTGTTATTGAATAGAGCGGGGACATGGAGGGTGTTATGGGAGCTTTTGTACATGTTTTCTGTAGTGGGGGAAACCGGAGCACCTGGAGGAAACGCCACAGAGAGTCTGGAGGTGGAATCGAACCCAGAACCTTCTTGTTGTGAAGTACAGTCTAGAGATGCATCCGTAGCACCTCAGTTACAACATAAAGTTCAAAGGTTTTGGCAGAAGTCTGTGTTCTTGGACACGTACTTTAGTGAATGAATTGAACCAAAAAGAGATTATGCTTCTTTGCCAAATGTCATTAAATTCTGCGTTCCAAAAATACAATTCTTTCAACAAATATTTGCATGTTTGGGTTCTAAAACAATGACTGAGACGGACTTCATGGATCCACAGAGAAATTGTGTTGTCACAGAAGCTAGAATTTCATAATAAAAATAACAATGTAGAAATCTGAAAATAATCAGATATCGTGAGAATAGAATAATGTGGATATAGGTGCTGTCTGTTGTATTGTAAATGTACATGTTCAGACACTACACATGTTGGTTCAGTTTATTTAAGATGGACAGTGTACGATAAACATTAACCTCAAAAGGAAAGATGCATTGTACCAGGTTTTAGCTCAAGAGATAAATTCCACCTGTAGTCCCTGAGCTGATATGATATAGACTATAGATTATACACAGGGACGAAGCAGATAAAGCTGAAGTCATTAAAGGCGCTATACCCGTTTCTACAATGTTTGAATGTTTAGCACCGCCCCCCAGCTCGCTCACAGGCTTCTCATTTCACCTACGCTCTCATAACACGGAGCCACCTAGTTTTATTTGCGATCTGATATGTATGCTAACATTAGCATTAGCACAACTTCTTTTAAGCTGTACAACAATCACTGATGAAATGGCACTAAAGCAACGCACTGCTAACACAATATATAAGTAAAAGAATACGTTTCGTGTCCGGATGTATTAATTTAAACATTAGAATATATTCTAATATTTAATTATAATTTATTATACAGCTCCTCACAGCAGCAGCACTCCATTGACTTGAATGCAATTCTTCCGATCATTTTTTCTTGATAACAGAACTCTCAAACCAATAATGACCGCAGCCCCAATGCAACCTCTGTTTGTAATTCAGGTGTGTAAAATACTGCCATTACTTTGCAAGTACAACAAGCCATCAGCGCCTGTCACTACATTGTGCAGTTTTCTGCACACTTGTCTGTGTAGAGAAGCCAACGGAGCTAGCCACGCTCAATAAACAAATACATATCAATCAATCAACACCATTAAACGTCAATCGGACAATGCAGTACACATATACATCCTTAACACACATGCACGGACTGTTTCAGAATTTGCTGTCAACGTTTTCATGACAAAAATACTGTTTTAAAGTGACAAAAAGCGATCGCGAAAAACCCGGAAGTTACCTTGAAACAGCTAGCTAGCTTAGCTGTACCTGCCTAGCACGTCCCGGTGAAACCTTTGGGAGCTAACTATTTTATTTGCAGTCATTAAATACATTTCTAATTATAAGGGTTGTCTAATATTTGTTCAAATATGTATATATTTTTTATTTTAGAATTATATTCGAATTTTGAAGTCGAAGCCCTGGTGTTGAGCAGCGCTGTAGAGACTAGAGGACACAGGCTGTAGAGACTAGAGGACACAGGCTGTAGAGACTAGAGGACACAGGCTGTAGAGGCTAGAGGACGCAGGCTGTAGAGACTAGAGGACACAGGCTGTAGAGACTAGAGGACACAGGCTGTAGAGACTAGAGGACACAGGCTGTAGTAGAGACTAGAGGACACAGGCTGTAGAGACTAGAGGACACAGACTGTAGAGACTAGAGGACACAGGCTGTAGAGGCTAGAGGACACAGGCTGTAGAGACTAGAGGACACAGGCTGTAGAGACTAGAGGACACAGACTGTAGAGACTAGAGGACACAGGCTGTAGAGGCTAGAGGACACAGGCTGTAGAGACTAGAGGACACAGGCTGTAGAGACTAGAGGACACAGGCTGTAGAGACTAGAGGACTCAGGCTGTAGAGACTAGAGGACACAGGCTGTAGAGACTAGAGGACACAGGCTGTAGAGACTAGAGGACACAGGCTGTAGAGACTAGAGGACACAGGCTGTAGAGGCTAGAGGACACAGGCTGTAGAGGCTAGAGGACGCAGGCTGTAGAGACTAGAGGACGCAGGCTGTAGAGGCTAGAGGACACAGACTGTAGAGGCTAGAGGACACAGGCTGTAGAGACTAGAGGACACAGGCTGTAGAGGCTAGAGGACACAGGCTGTAGAGACTAGAGGACACAGGCTGTAGAGACTAGAGGACACAGGCTGTAGAGACTAGAGGACGCAGGCTGGTCGCTTCTTGTTCTGTGAGCGGAGGAGAACGTCCCGCTCAGACTCTACTCAGCACTTTTCACTGCCTGAATTTCATACACAGTGGAATCAATGACCTCAAGTTTTCAATTAAATTATGTATTATGATACAACTTGTATGTAGTAAAAAGCATTTTTATGAACTACTTAGAAAAAAAATCGGGTATAGCTTCTTTAAACCCATTCTAAAGGGTTTTGAGAAAGTCCAACCCACGACCATTAGGCCTGAAGACCAGTGCTCTACAAACTGAGCTGCTCCTCCACACGACCACCTGCTCCCACTGAAGTCTGCTGCTGTCGCCGTGTCCCTGAGCAAGACACTTAACCCCACTCTGCCTGAAGCCCCCACGGAACCCCCCCCCCCCCAAGACCCAGAAATGTATTATTAAAGGAGATGTCAATTAACTTTGGCCCTATACCGACTCTCCTCTCTTCTACCCTGATTGGTCCCAGGTCCTACTTTAGTCTCTCTCTTGGCTCTGGTTCTATCATTGTATGGACCAGTCTTTGCCCCTAAACACTTTGAAGCTAATACCCAGAATGCAGTGCGTGTTGGGTGTGATTGAACCATGATCGTGTTATGTTTAGCCGCTTGTGGGTGAAGCCAAAGTAAACTCTTGGGGTTTCGTGTATTCTGAGCAGATCCTATTGTTTGTCCCGCGGCCACAAAGGCGTGACTCTTGTTCTTGACTATTCTCCACCGACAGTTTTCGAGCGAAATCTAATTTGAGAGTCCCCCGCGTGGTAATGACACGCTGCTCAGATGAGTTATCCCACATGGTCACAGGCACCAGCGGCAGTATATAAGCCCGACACCAGCAGCTGCCGGCATCTGGTTTGTCAGAGAGCGTGAGGTAAGATGTTTGATGGTAGTTTGTGTGTGCCAGTTGTGTGACGGTGTGATGTTCCAGATCAGAAGATGGAGACCCTGCTGTGGAGGACCATCAGTGTGTTGTTCCTGCTGACGGTGGTCGCGGCGAAACCAGTGAGAATTTATCATATAACTTTATTCTACAGCTCCTAAAACATGGATAATGAAGGGTCTAAACCAGCTTTGTAAACTCTTGTCTTGGCCTCTGGTTTTTCTTGCTGGTCTCTCTCTCTCTCTCTCGAGTCTCTCTGGTTTCTCTCGAGTCTCTCTGGTTTCTCTCGAGTCTCTCTGGTTTCTCTCGAGTCTCTCTGATCTCTCTAGTTTCTTGCTGGTCTCTCTCTCTCTCTCTCTCGAGTCTCTCTGGTTTCTCTCGAGTCTCTCTGGTTTCTCTCGAGTCTCTCTGATCTCTAGTTTCTTGCTGGTCTCTTATTGCACTTTTGTTGGTCTCTGGTCTCGCTCTCAGGGCTCTCTCTAGCTTCTCGCTGGTCTCTCTCTGGTTTCTCTCGAGTCTCTCTGATCTCTCTAGCTTCTTGCTGGTCTCTTACTGGTCTCTCGCTGGGTTCTCCCTAGTTTTTCTCAGGTCTCGCTCACTGGTCTCTCTAGTTTCTTGCTGGTCTCTCTCTCTCTCGAGTCTCTCTGGTTTCTCTCGAGTCTCTCTGATCTCTCTAGTTTCTTGCTGGTCTCTTGTTGCACTTTTGTTGGTCTCTGGTCTCGCTCTCGGGGCTCTCTCTAGCTTCTTGCTGGTCTCTTACTGGTCTCTCGCTGGGTTCTCCCTAGTTTTTCTCAGGTCTCGCTCACTGGTCTCTCTAGTTTCTTGCTTGTCTCTTGCTGGGTTCCCTCTGTAGTTTTTCACTGGTCTCTCTCTAGTTTCTTTCTGGTCTCTAGTTTCTTGATCGTCTCTTTTGCACTTTTATTGGTGGGATCTTGTTGCTCTCTGGTCTTTCTCTCGGGACTCTCCAGTTTTTCTCTGGTCTCTCTCGCTGGCCTCTTGTTGCATTTTTGTTGGTCTCTGGGATCTTATTGGTCTCTGGTCTCGCTCTCTGGACTCTCTTTGGGCTCTCATCTCTCTCTCGGGGCTCTCTAGTTTCTTGTTGGTCTCTCTTGACAGATCTTTCGACTCTAGAACCTTTTCAAAGGCTCTTGTCGGCTTCTTCCGCAGTAGGTAAACCGTACGGCGACCTCAGCTCCTACAGTCTGAGGAGGTCTCATTCTTGTTTTCCACAGGTGTTTCTGAACACAGCTGCAGAAGAGTCCGACTCTGTAGAAGTGAACTCGTCTGAAGAGGGGGAAGAAGTGGAAGAAGTGGAGGTGGAAGAGGCTGAGGAACCGGAGCTGCCTGAAGCGACCGAATCCACTGTCACCGAGGCCCCAGACGTTCCACCCCCGACAGACCTCACTGCAACCATTGCTCTGGACCCAGCCGCTCTGGACCCAGCCGCTCTGGACCCAGCTGTTCTGGACCCAGCTGTTCTGGACCCAGCTGTTCTGGACCCAGCTGTTCTGGACCCAGCTGTTCTGGACCCAGCCGCAGTCCCCATCGACAACACAGACTTTCAGAGCTCCGCAGACGGACAAACGCCAGAGTCAGACATCCTCCTGACTCCGGGGCCCGCCCCCCTGTCTCCAGACCTGAGCCCGGGTGTGGAGGACCTGAGCCTGGGTGTGGACGTGGTCACAGATCTCCCGCCACACGCCACAGAGGGGCCACTCGAGCCGCTCCCGGTGGTCACGGTGGCTCCGTACGTCCAGGGGAAGGCGTCCCGCATGACTGTGGTTAAGGCGCTGCCCGTGGTCAAGGTACCTCCAGGGGTCAGGACGCTTCCAGGGGTCAGGACGCTGCCCGTGGTCAGGACGCTGCCCGTGGTCAGGGCGGTCCCGGTGCACGTGAGCCCTGGCGTGCCCGTGTGTTTCACCTTCCAGTATTCTCAGTACGCAGCGCCGCAGTACGGTCCGCCCCGAGGAGACAGTTATTAGTGCTATTGGAGCAAAGGCTGTTTTTTCACCCTGTGTCCACCTGCTCTGCTCTGTGTGACCAGTACCAGGTCCTGGTTCTATCCAGGCCGAGCTGGTACTAAAGTGTTCTAACTGTGATTGCCCAGAGATTATATATGCATGCTTTGTGAATGTTTGTGTGTTATCAAAGTTGTAAAGTGGATCATTGTTCAATATGATTTTCTGAAGTTTGTCCAAACTTCATGGACTGGAATCTCCTGTTCATAGTTTCAGGTTCAAAGGGTAAATAAAGTTTTTAAAAGTTTGATGTGTGGCTCTGTTTTTTCGTTAAGCACTTAAACAAATTTTAGCACGAAACATGGAAACGTCTTGGGGTCGCCCCGGGCGAGCTGTAGAAAGTGTGTGAGAGGGACGTCTGGGCGTCTGCTGAGACGGCTGCACCCGCGACCCGGCAACGGATGATGTGGAAGAAAATGGATGAACATTATAATCGCACACAAGCTTCTCGTTGTTGCAGCAAAACTGACATTTGATCAAATCCAGGTTAAAAACGTTTTGAGTAGAAGCCTTTCCCACATGAATCTGAAACGCTGCCTCCACTTGGATCGTCCTGACTCTGGGACCAGCAGGAGGCCAGTACCTGTGCTCCTCAGAGTCCCAGCAGGAGGCCAGTCCCTGTGCTCCTCAGAGTCCCAGCAGGAGGCCAGTCCCTGTGCTCCTCAGAGTCCCAGCAGGAGGCCAGTCCCTGTGCTCCTCAGAGTCCCAGCAGGAGGCCAGTCCCTGTGCTCCTCAGAGTCCCAGCAGGAGACCAGTCCCTGTGCTCCTCAGAGTCCTAGCAGGAGGCCAGTCCCTGTGCTCCTCAGAGTCCCAGCAGGAGTCCAGTCCCTGTGCTCCTCAGAGTCCCAGCAGGAGGCCAGTCCCTGTGCTCCTCAGAGTCCCAGCAGGAGGCCAGTACCTGTGCTCCTCGGAGTCCCAGCAGGAGGCCAGTCCCTGTGCTCCTCTGAGTCCCAGGTCTTTATCAGTTTATCATATACTTTTTCTCTGCACCATTCTTAACCCACAGCCTTTATGGCGACTCACAGGGCTTGCTCATAAGTCTGGACACCCTGACGTCACCTTATGTTTCCAAGTAACTGCTCAGTTTGTGAATAATTGAACTAACACGATGTGAACAGAACATGTTTCGTGCTAAAGGTCTTTACAGACATGGATTATAGAGAATTAGAATATTGTGAGTAGTTGAATATTCTCATCTTTGAGTTTGATTTGTTTTCTATGAAACGTCATCAGTTTATTGACTTACTCCTGTAGCCGCGGTAAACGTCAGAATGAGGGAGACTCGTTCGATCACAGGTTTGAGGCCTTCACTCTTTTTGATGTAGTGTAATTATTATGTTACTTTTTAACTGTCTGCACCTTTTTCATTGTGAGATCAATAAAGTTTTATTTATATTGTTTTAATGTTTGTTTTGTTTGTTTTTTCGCACTTTGGTGTTTCAACCAAATAACTGCTTTCCCTTGTTATGATTGTATTAATTTGATTCGTTGAAAAACACATTATTGTGAGTTTTGTCTGTTCGCGGCCACCGTAGTCCGCGTCAGACGTAAACAGTGAAGCTAACAGAGCTAGCCTAGCATCTCCTGACTGCTGTCCTCGTTGTACAGTCTGAATGGCGTTCTCTCTGTACTCTCTGATCCAGGCGGCTCTGCTCTGTGTGAACGCAGTCGCAGTTCTTCACGAAGACAGATTCTTAAACAAAAGTGAGTTTGAAAAAACGTCACAATCTGACGCTGCTTTCATACGTCACAAGTGTTATTACCCTGTGAGACACACACACACTTACTGCATATATATAATAACGCACACACATATAAAATACACATACATGATAATGCATACACACAAGACACACACACAGATACACACAAGACACAAACATCACACACACACACTATACATACAGTATATGATAATGTGTGTGTGTGTGTGTGTGTGTGTGTATCTGTGTGTGTGTGTGTGTGTATCTGTATGTGTGTGTGTGTGTGTGTGTGTGTGTGTGTGTCTCTGTGTGTGTGTGTGTGTATCTGTGTGTGTGTGTGTGTGTGTGTATCTGTGTGTGTGTATCTGTGTGTGTGTGTGTGTATGTATCTGTATGTGTGTGTGTGTGTATCTGTGTGTGTGTGTGTGTGTGTGTCTCTGTGTGTGTGTGTGTGTGTGTGTGTGTGTGTGTGTATCTGTGTGTGTGTGTGTGTGTGTGTGTCTGTGTGTGTGTGTGTGTGTGTATCTGTGTGTGTGTGTGTGTATGTATCTGTATGTGTGTGTGTATGTATCTGTATGTGTGTGTGTGTGTATCTGTGTGTGTGTGTGTGTGTCTCTGTGTGTGTGTGTGTGTGTGTGTGTGTGTGTGTGTGTATCTGTGTGTGTGTGTGTGTGTGTGTCTCTGTGTGTGTGTGTGTGTAGTCGGCTGGGGTGTGGATCAAGGCGTTGGAGGCTTCGGAGATGACCCTGGGATTAAAACACAGATGATGAACCTGGTGCGCTCTGTTCGAACGGTTATGAGAGGTGAGTGTGACATCACCACCGTGTGACATCACCACAGTGTGACATCACCACAGTGTGACATCACCACAGTATGACATCACCACAGTGTGACATCACCACAGTATGACATCACCACAGTGTGACATCACCACAGTGTGACATCACCACAGTGTGACATCACCACAGTGTGACATCACCACCGTGTGACATCACCACAGTATGACATCACCACAGTGTGACATCACCACAGTGTGACATCACCACAGTGTGACATCACCACAGTGTGACATCACCACAGTGTGACATCACCACAGTGTATGGCATTTGTTCTGATGCGTTGCGCCATAACAAGGACAGCCGTGTTGCTAAGACAGTTGCTAAGGCGAGCTGGAGTTTCCCAATGAAGGCCTCTGATTGGTCAGTCCTTATATGGTCATATCTGTATTTACAAAGACATCACAGATAAACACAGGATCACAGAGAAACCACAGATTTAAGCCCAAAAGGGTGATGTCACACAAACGTCACTGAGCTAGAGGCGTTTACTTTTACATTTAAGTCAAAAGGAGCCAGAGAGAGGAGCCAAACTTCCTCCATGAGCACTTCCCTGTTGGGCTTCATTGAGCTAGTCCATCTGCAGTCTGTGGCCGCTGTATTGGCCGCAGAGGTAAAGAACCCATTGTGTCCTGCACTTTTATCAATGTCGAGTAAAAACTTGTCGTGGAGAATCATGGAGTCATTTTTCTGTTTTATTTCTCCTCAGTTCCTTTGATCGGCGTAAACTCCGTCTGTATCGTTCTGTTGCTGCTGTTTGGATGAAGAGGAGCAGACTCTGGGAGAGAGACTGTAGAAGCCGACGGGGAATGTTTAGATTCTGCTCAAACACTGGACAATCATTTGGTCTCTGAGCTCGAGGGGATAGTTTTGTTTTGTTGAATCAATAAAGTTATCTTGTTTATACTGTACAATGGTCTGGTTCTTATGTGTAGGTCGTTTATAGCCTCGTCTCTGGATCTACCTGGTTCTGATTTACTTAAAATAAGCCAATAAGTGCTCATTCTGACTGAGCCTTTGAACAAGATTTACCAACGGGACAAAGCAAAATTATGTTTTTTTTTAAAAAGATACAGAAATGTTTCCTTTGTAATCACAAAATAAAGCAACAGTTTTTAAAATTAGACTAAGTTTGAACCCGTGTTGTCGGCCTCTGGACTAAAGCCACATCCAAAAGCATTTACAGCTTATACCTCTGTGTGTGTTCTCACTACTGCCCTGTGCACTGCAACACTGGCATTTCTCCACTGTGGGATGAAGGTTCTCTCATGTTTCTCATGAACAGAAACTGCTTGAAGTTTATTTCTTGTTTCAAGTGAGAAACTGTTCCCTACGTTTTCTCGTTCTGTAAACAACAAATGTTCAATAATGATCCCGACTATGACGTCATAGTCAGGTCTAAATAATTTTAGGGAATAACGTCCTGTGTCTACTGCTAACAGTTGTTTGGATCATTTCCTGCTTCCACCGCTAGAGGGAGCCATTTCACTGGTTATTACCATAGATTTATACTTTCAGATTCTAAAGGATGATATGTGTTTGGAGCGTAGAAAGAATATATTCTGATGATCATGGATCTACAGCCTCTGTCCTGGGTCTACTGCCTCAGTCCTGGGTCTACAGTCTCAGTCCTGGGTCTACAGCCTCAGTCCTGGGTCTACAGCCTCGGTCCTGGGTCTACTGCCTCGGTCCTGGGTCTACGGCCTCAGTCCTGGGTCTACAGCCTCAGTCCTGGATCTACAGCCTCCGTCCTGGGTCTACAGCCTCCGTCCTGGGTCTACAGCCTCAGTCCTGGGTCTACAGCCTCAGTCCTGGGTCTACAGCCTCAGTCCTGGGTCTACAGCCTCAGTCCTGGGTCTACAGCCTCAGTCCTGGATCTACAGCCTCAGTCCTGGGTCTACAGCCTCGGTCCTGGGTCTACAGCCTCGGTCCTGGGTCTACAGCCTCAGTCCTGGGTCTACAGCCTCTGTCCTGGGTCTACAGCCTCTGTCCTGGGTCTACAGTCTCAGTCCTGGGTCTACAGTCTCAGTCCTGGATCTACAGCCTCTGTCCTGGGTCTACAGCCTCGGTCCTGGGTCTACGGCCTCGGTCCTGGGTCTACGGCCTTGGTCCTGGGTCTACGGCCTCGGTCCTGGGTCTACGGCCTCGGTCCTGGGTCTACGGCCTCGGTCCTGGGTCTACAGCCTCGGTCCTGGGTCTACAGCCTCAGTAGCCTCGGTCCTGGGTCTACGGCCTCGGTCCTGGGTCTACAGCCTCGGTCCTGGGTCTACGGCCTCGGTCCTGGGTCTACAGCCTCGGTCCTGGGTCTACAGCCTCGGTCCTGGGTCTACAGCCTCGGTCCTGGGTCTACAGCCTCGGTCCTGGGTCTACAGCCTCAGTCCTGGGTCTACAGCCTCTGTCCTGGGTCTACAGCCTCTGTCCTGGGTCTACAGCCTCTGTCCTGGGTCTACAGCCTCAGTCCTGGGTCTACAGCCTCAGTCCTGGGTCTACAGCCTCAGTCCTGGATCTGTTCAAACTGTATGATTCTCTGATCTGTTGTTGGTGAATTAACAACTTAGTAATTTAGTGCGATACACAAATAAATTGACCTGATGTCATAAACAAACTTTATTAATCTTCCTGGTTGGAGAACAGTCCTAACATTTATCTGACGTAGTTCTTGGGGAATAATCTAAAGAGTTTTCCGTCCTGCGTGGGTTCAAAGCCGTACTTCTGCAGCTGCTCTTTGCTGAAAGTCCCTGCTTCAAAGTCCTGTCTGATCTGCGGCGCCACCGTCTGGTCGAACAGGCTCTCTGCGGTCAGCGGCGGCTCCGACCCCCGGGGAGCGCGGTACGACACATACGGCCGCAGGTGGAACCCTTCGAGGTGTGGGACCACGAACTCGGGGATCATTTGGCGGACGGACACAAACTTGTTGCTGGCCACTTTGCGCCCGGTGGGTCTGGAGCCGCGGCCTTTGTTGTGAGTCCTGGAGCCGCGTTTGCTGGTGTACTCCGACATGCGGTCTGCGCCCCGCACCAGCCCCCGCACCAGAGTGGACAAGACACCCATGGTCCGACCTCACAGACCTGGAACAACAGACAGAGGTTAGAGAAGACACACATGGTCCGACCTCACAGACCTCAAAGACCTGGAAGAACAGACAGAGGTTAGAGAAGACACACATGGTCCGACCTCACAGACCTCAAAGACCTGGAACAACAGACAGAGGTTAGAGAAGACACACATGGTCCGACCTCACAGACCTCACAGACCTGGAACAACAGACAGAGGTTAGAGAAGACACACATGGTCCGACCTCACAGACCTCACAGACCTGGAACAACAGACAGAGGTTAGAGAAGACACACATGGTCCCACCTCACAGACCTGGAACAACAGACAGAGGTTAGAGAAGACACACATGGTCCGACCGCACAGACCTGGAACAACAGACAGAGGTTAGAGAAGACACACATGGTCCGACCTCACAGACCTGGAAGACACACATGGTCCGACCTCACAGACCTCAAAGACCTGGAACAACAGACAGAGGTTAGAGAAGACACACATGGTCCGACCTCACAGACCTCACAGACCTGGAACAACAGACAGAGGTTAGAGAAGACACACATGGTCCGACCTCACAGACCTGGAACAACAGACAGAGGTTAGAGAAGACACACATGGTCCGACCTCACAGACCTCACAGACCTGGAACAACAGACAGAGGTTAGAGAAGACACACATGGTCCGACCTCACAGACCTGGAACAACAGACAGAGGTTAGAGAAGACACACATGGTCCGACCTCACAGACCTGGAACAACAGACAGAGGTTAGAGAAGACACACATGGTCCGACCGCACAGACCTGGAACAACAGACAGAGGTTAGAGAAGACACACATGGTCCGACCGCACAGACCTGGAACAACAGACAGAGGTTAGAGAAGACACACATGGTCCGACCGCACAGACCTGGAAGACACACATGGTCCGACCTCACAGACCTCACAGACCTGGAACAACAGACAGAGGTTAGAGAAGACACACATGGTCCGACCTCACAGACCTGGAACAACAGACAGAGGTTAGAGAAGACACACATGGTCCGACCTCACAGACCTCACAGACCTGGAACAACAGACAGAGGTTAGAGAAGACACACATGGTCCGACCGCACAGACCTGGAACAACAGACAGAGGTTAGAGAAGACACACATGGTCCGACCTCACAGACCTGGAACAACAGACAGAGGTTAGAGAAGACACACATGGTCCGACCGCACAGACCTGGACCAACAGGCAGAGGTTAGAGAAGACACACATGGTCCGACCGCACAGACCTGGAACAACAGACAGAGGTTAGAGAAGACACACATGGTCCGACCGCACAGACCTGGAAGACACACATGGTCCGACCTCACAGACCTGGAACAACAGACAGAGGTTAGAGAAGACACACATGGTCCGACCTCACAGACCTGGAACAACAGACAGAGGTTAGAGAAGACACACATGGTCCGACCTCACAGACCTCACAGACCTGGAACAACAGACAGAGGTTAGAGAAGACACACATGGTCCGACCTCACAGACCTGGAACAACAGACAGAGGTTAGAGAAGACACACATGGTCCGACCTCACAGACCTCACAGACCTGGAACAACAGACAGAGGTTAGAGAAGACACACATGGTCCGACCTCACAGACCTGGAACAACAGACAGAGGTTAGAGAAGACACACATGGTCCGACCTCAAAGACCTGGAACAACAGACAGAGGTTAGAGAAGACACACATGGTCCGACCTCACAGACCTGGAACAACAGACAGAGGTTAGAGAAGACACACATGGTCTGACCGCACAGACCTGGAACAACAGACAGAGGTTAGAGAAGACACACATGGTCCGACCGCACAGACCTGGAACAACAGACAGAGGTTAGAGAAGACACACATGGTCCGACCGCACAGACCTGGAACAACAGACAGAGGTTAGAGAAGACACACATGGTCCGACCTCACAGACCTGGAACAACAGACAGAGGTTAGAGAAGACACACATGGTCCGACCGCACAGACCTGGAACAACAGACAGAGGTTAGAGAAGACACACATGGTCCGACCTCACAGACCTCACAGACCTGGAACAACAGACAGAGGTTAGAGAAGACACACATGGTCCGACCTCACAGACCTCACAGACCTGGAACAACAGACAGAGGTTAGAGAAGACACACATGGTCCGACCTCAAAGACCTGGAACAACAGACAGAGGTTAGAGAAGACACACATGGTCCGACCTCACAGACCTGGAACAACAGACAGAGGTTAGAGAAGACACACATGGTCCGACCTCACAGACCTGGAACAACAGACAGAGGTTAGAGAAGACACACATGGTCCGACCTCAAAGACCTGGAACAACAGACAGAGGTTAGAGAAGACACACATGGTCCGACCTCACAGACCTGGAACAACAGACAGAGGTTAGAGAAGACACACATGGTCCGACCGCACAGACCTGGAACAACAGACAGAGGTTAGAGAAGACACACATGGTCCGACCGCACAGACCTGGAACAACAGACAGAGGTTAGAGAAGACACACATGGTCCGACCGCACAGACCTGGAACAACAGACAGAGGTTAGAGAAGACACACATGGTCCGACCTCACAGACCTGGAACAACAGACAGAGGTTAGAGAAGACACACATGGTCCGACCGCACAGACCTGGAACAACAGACAGAGGTTAGAGAAGACACACATGGTCCGACCTCAAAGACCTGGAACAACAGACAGAGGTTAGAGAAGACACACATGGTCCGACCTCACAGACCTCACAGACCTGGAACAACAGACAGAGGTTAGAGAAGACACACATGGTCCGACCTCACAGACCTCACAGACCTGGAACAACAGACAGAGGTTAGAGAAGACACACATGGTCCGACCTCAAAGACCTGGAACAACAGACAGAGGTTAGAGAAGACACACATGGTCCGACCTCACAGACCTGGAACAACAGACAGAGGTTAGAGAAGACACACATGGTCCGACCTCACAGACCTGGAACAACAGACAGAGGTTAGAGAAGACACACATGGTCCGACCGCACAGACCTGGAACAACAGACAGAGGTTAGAGAAGACACACATGGTCCGACCTCACAGACCTCACAGACCTGGAACAACAGACAGAGGTTAGAGAAGACACACATGGTCCGACCTCACAGACCTGGAACAACAGACAGAGGTTAGAGAAGACACACATGGTCCTCATTCAGAGACCTGGGAGACACACATGGTCCTCACACAGAGACCTGGGAGACACACATGGTCCTCATACACAGACCTGGGAGACACACATGGTCCTCATACACAGACCTGGGAGACACACATGGTCCTCATACACAGACCTGGAAGAGCAGACTGAGTTAGAGAAGACACACATGGTCCTCACACAGAGACCTGGGAGACACACATGGTCCTCATACACAGACCTGGAAGAGCAGACTGAGTTAGAGAGGACACACATGGTCCTCATACACAGACCTGGGAGACACACATGGTCCTCATACACAGACCTGGGAGACACACATGGTCCTCATACACAGACCTGGGAGACACACATGGTCCTCATACACAGACCTGGGAGACACACATGGTCCTCACTCACAGACCTGGGAGACACACATGGTCCTCACTCACAGACCTGGGAGACACACATGGTCCTCACTCACAGACCTGGGAGACACACATGGTCCTCACTCACAGACCTGGGAGACACACATGGTCCTCACTCACAGACCTGGGAGACACACATGGTCCTCACTCACAGACCTGGGAGACACACATGGTCCTCACTCACAGACCTGGGAGACACACATGGTCCTCACTCACAGACCTGAAACAGACTGAGGTTAAGACACACGAGCCGGCTCCACCTGGTTGTGTTTCCATTACGCTTTTTTAGTATCTGGTACCGTATCCTAGCAACCTACCAACAACAAACCAGCACCAGGATGTTATTTGGTAACCATGGCTACACAGAATTAAATTAAGAACTATCAATGGGAAACAAACTATTGGCCAGTGCTGCAATGGTTCTTTCACACCATGTTATTTCCATTTGAATCACTCAATTTATCAAATAAAATAAAAGATAAGATAAACCTTTATTAGTCTCACGGTGGAGAAATGTCAGTGTCATCGTTGCACATTACAGCAGAGAAAGGAAATAAGACTCAGACGCACACATCAAAGTCTATTATTTAAGATAATAGACAATAAATTTAAGATAAAATAAAATAAAATAAGAAAATCTGGGCTACAATTGCACTTGGTTCGGAGTATTTACAGATGTCTATATTATACATTAGCAGCGGAGAATATGAGAATATGAGCAGAATAAACATCAGAAATAATATCAACAGGTAAAGTTACTAGTGAATTATCAGAAACACTTGTGCAGACTCAGCAGTTCCTGTTACACATTCTCGTTGTACAGTCTGACAGCAGCAGGAAGGAAGGACCTGCGAGGAAGGTACATCTCTCATTTGTGATTCTAGCTGGTCCCTCTCTCAGTGTGTCTGTGTGTGTGTGTGTGTGTGTGTGTGTGTGTGTGTGTGTGTGTGTGTGTGTGTGTGTGTGTGTGTGTGTGTGTGTGTGTGTGTGTGTGTGTGTGTGTGTGTGTGTGTGTGTGTGTGTGTGTGTGTGTGTGTGTGTGTGTGTGTGTGTGTGTGTGTGTGTGTGTGTGTGTGTGTGGACTGTCTCACATATTTATAATAACACCCTCAGGACCCAGATAATCTTCACCAAATCAGACAGAAATTATACATTTATAACAGTTACAGGTTGTGCAAAGATGACGCTGTTAATACCATGTAACTACACAATAGTCTGTAATCTCTGATGCACATCCATCCCCAGGACAGCCCCAAAGCTAGCTATAGCATGTCAGCTAACACGTGGTTAGCTAACACGTGGTTAGCTAACGAGGGGAATATTCGCATCCAGAGAAACGACGTGACGTTATTAGGAGCATGTGTTTCTGAACGCGTTATAATCGTTCACACAGAGGTTTACACAGCTCACCTTGAACAGCTCCCGAAGCCCGCAGCCTGAGTGACGTAACAACAACGGAGCCGCTGATTGGCCCAAAGGAATCACTGTCCGCCAATAGAAAGCCGCGACACTCACCAGGTCCCGTCACGTGGAGATCGGACAACTACCCCCCATGGAGCTGCTGTTTATTTGTGATATTATCTTTGTAAATCCAGATATGAGCCAGAAACTTATATAAGTATAACCGTAACCATGGAAACTCTTAGAAACATGTCTGTCCCTGTTGCCAGAACAGAGTTGTGTTTTATTGTGAAGGGCCAAGGCAGAGCTGTGTGTGTTTTATTGTGAAGGGCCAGGACAGAGCTGTGTGTATTTTATTGTGAAGGACCAGGACAGAGCTATAACTACCCCCCATGGAGCTTTTATAATTATCTCTCTCTGTGATCCTGCTGTTTATTTGTGATATTATCTTTGTAAATCCAGATATGAGCCAGATACTTATATAAGTATAACCGTAACCATGGAAACTCTTAGAAACATGTCTGTCCCTGTTGCAGGTGAAATGGCTCCGGCTTATGTTCAAAGTTTCTTCTGCAATAAATGTAGGATTTTCCACTTCCGGGTGGATCATCAAGACTATTGATCCTCCCAACTGTCAATCATTCTGGTGATACGTGCTCGTCCAATAAGACCAGAGGGTTTTGTTCAAAAAGTGGAGAGGGCGGGTCTTTCCTATAATTTGGGAGAATCTTCCCATAAACATTACGGAGAGCCATTTGTTAACAATAATAACGTGACATGTCCATCCTTTTTCTTCCACTTTATCCGTTGCCAGGTCGCGGCGGGTAGCAGTCTGAGCAGAGACGGCCCCACTTCCCTCTACACTCCTGCAGCTCATCTGGGGGAATCCTGAGGCGTTCATCCTCCCTGGGAAGGGTCAGGGTCCTCAGGGAAGCACCCAGAGCCACCTCCACTGGCTCCATGTGGTGGAGCAGCTCTACTCCGAGCTCCTTCCGTATGGCTGAGCTCCTCACCCTATCTCTATCGGAGCAGCGGGTCTACTCAGAGCTCCACTCTGGAGAAAACTCCTGTGGATCACTTGTATTCATGATCTCGTCCTTTGGTCATTACCAAAAGCTCATGAGCAGCAGTCAATCGAGAGCTTTGAGTGCAGACGCTGCTCCCTCACCACAACAGTTCAAGTTGTGTGTGTTTTATTGTGAAGGGCCAGGACAGAGCTGTGTGTGTTTTATTGTGAAGGGCCAGGACAGAGCTGTGTGTGTTTTATTGTGAAGGGCCAGGACAGAGCTGTGTGTGTTTTATTGTGAAGGACCAGGACAGAGCTGTGTGTGTTTTATTGTAAAGGGCCAGGACAGAGCTGTGTGTGTTTTATTGTGAAGGGCCAGGACAGAGCTGTGTGTGTTTTATTGTGAAGGGCCAGGACAGAGCTGTGTGTGTTTTATTGTGAAGGACCAGGACAGAGCTGTGTGTGTTTTATTGTGAAGGGCCAGGACAGAGCTGTGTGTGTTTTATTGTGAAGGGCCAGGACAGAGCTGTGTGTGTTTTATTGTGAAGGGCCAGGACAGAGCTGTGTGTGTTTTATTGTGAAGGGCCAGGACAGAGCTGTGTGTGTTTTATTGTGAAGGGCCAGGACAGAGCTGTGTGTGTTTTATTGTGAAGGACCAGGACAGAGCTGTGTGTGTTTTATTGTGAAGGGCCAGGACAGAGCTGTGTGTGTTTTATTGTGAAGGGCCAGGACAGAGCTGTGTGTGTTTTATTGTGAAGGGCCAGGACAGAGCTGTGTGTGTTTTATTGTGAAGGGCCAGGACAGAGCTGTGTGTGTTTTATTGTGAAAGACCAGGTCAGATCTGTGTGTGTTTTATTGTGAAGGGCCAGGACAGAGCTGTGTGTGTTTTATTGTGAAGGGCCAGGACAGAGCTGTGTGTGTTTTATTGTGAAGGGCCAGGACAGAGCTGTGTGTGTTTTATTGTGAAGGGCCAGGACAGAGCTGTGTGTGTTTTATTGTGAAAGACCAGGTCAGATCTGTGTGTGTTTTATTGTGAAGGGCCAGGACAGAGCTGTGTGTGTTTTATTGTGAAGGGCCAGGGCAGTGCTTTGTTGCCTCCACTACTACGCGGCATGAACCCTAAAGTTTGACATTTGGAGGTACGTACGCTCTCTTCTCTGCACACTTTGGGAAACACTGCTCCCGGTGATGAGCGCGTGTGGACTGACGTTAAAATGGCGTCTCTGGACGTCTGCTCCCGCCGCGTCTTGTTGCGTGTTTTTCCACAGCGGGAATGAAAGGGGAGACCCTGGTGCATAAGGTCATCACTTATTTTAGTTCAGCTGAACTCGGAGCATGAAGTCAAAAACTGTGTTAACTTTTTGTTGTTGTTTTGTTTTTAGTCAACACAACAACAACAACACAACAACACTGGAGAGAATGTTCCATGTTTTCAGGGGTACACCTTTATTTTGTATTTACCATTTTCACTGGACTCACATTCATAAAGTTAGATTTTCTGAAGTGTCATTAACACTCCATTCAAACCAGTGGAACTCTGAGAAATTCCCTTTGTTAAATTCTAAAACTCAATATAAACTGAAAACAGTTTGTCGAAAGGCCAAATGCCACCGCTGCAAGTAAACAGTGTGTTGCTATGGTAACAATAAGACCATTTAATCAAAATAATGACATATAAATAAACTACTAATAGATTCAGAAAAAGTCACAAAGTTTTGAAAACCACAAAGACTGAGTAATTAGACTTTCTAAACTAAATAATACTCTGCAAATCTGCTCTCTGCAAAACATCACCTTTGTCTGAGGAAACCACAGGGAAATCTGCTGCTGTCAGACTGTACAACGAGGACGGCTGAGCCTGTATAAAAATCATGTGCAATACTGTAATGACCACGTTTTGACCAGAGAGAGACCAGAGAGAGACCAGAGAGAGACCAGAGAGAGACCAGAGAGAGACCAGAGAGAGACCAGAGAGAGACCAGAGAGAGACCAGAGAGAGAGACCAGAGAGAGACCAGAGAGAGACCAGAGAGAGACCAGAGAGAGACCAGAGAGAGACCAGAGAGAGACCAGAAAGAGACCAGAGAGAGACCAGAAAGAGACCAGAGAGAGTAGAGAGAGAGTAGAGAGAGAGTAGAGAGAGACCAGAGAGAGACCAGAGAGAGACCAGAGAGAGACCAGAGAGAGACCAGAGAGAGAGACCAGAGAGAGACCAGAGAGAGAGACCAGAGAGAGACCAGAGAGAGACCAGAGAGAGACCAGAGAGAGACCAGAGAGAGACCAGAGAGAGAGACCAGAGAGAGACCAGAGAGAGACCAGAGAGAGACCAGAGAGAGACCAGAGAGAGACCAGAGAGAGACCCAGAGAGAGACCAGAGAGAGACCAGAAAGAGACCAGAAAGAGACCAGAAAGAGACCAGAAAGAGACCAGAAAGAGACCAGAGAGAGACCAGAGAGAGACCAGAGAGAGACCAGAGAGAGACCAGAGAGAGACCAGAGAGAGACCAGAGAGAGACCAGAGAGAGACCAGAGAGAGACCAGAGAGAGACCAGAGAGAGAGCAGAGAGAGAGTAGAGAGAGACCAGAGAGAGACCAGAGAGAGACCAGAGAGAGAGACAGAGAGAGACCAGAGAGAGACCAGAGAGAGAGACCAGAGAGAGACCAGAGAGAGACCAGAGAGAGAGACCAGAGAGAGACCAGAGAGAGACCAGAGAGAGACCAGAGAGAGACCAGAGAGAGACCAGAGAGAGACCAGAGAGAGACCAGAGAGAGACCAGAGAGAGACCAGAAAGAGACCAGAGAGAGAGACCAGAGAGAGAGACCAGAGAGAGACCAGAGAGAGACCAGAGAGAGACCAGAGAGAGACCAGAGAGAGACCAGAGAGAGACCAGAGAGAGACCAGAGAGAGACCAGAGAGAGACCAGAGAAAGACCAGAGAGAGAGACCAGAGAGAGAGACCAGAGAGAGAGACCAGAGAGAGAGACCAGAGAGAGACCAGAGAGAGACCAGAGAGAGACCAGAGAGAGACCAGAGAAACATTATAAATATTGTCTCTACAGTCGTGTAGCATGAACAGTTTGTGTCCTGTCCCTGGTTTCGTTGGTTACAGAGACATTTTCACCCCAAGAATGTCTTATCACATGGTATCGCTATGATCACATGGTATCACTGTGTAACACCCATAGTCCACAGTTCTGTCTGATCAGACCTCAGCCTCCTCTGCTCAGGGTTCTACAGATAAGGCCATTATCAAACATGCAAATATTTAACTTTTACAAATCACTGAGCACGGACCACACTGAGGCTGAGCTTTGATCTGTCACCCACATGGTCCCACATGGTTCCCACATGGTTCTGCCTCTGCTTCATTCATCCGGCATGAGCTGATTTATCCAAGCAGACGGCTGGGAATGTACTCACGTATTCAAGAAATGTCAGGATTTGTGGCTTAACTCATTGACTGCCAGACGTTTTCGATGATTTCACTGATTGTCAAGGCCCACAGGATATTATGGGCTAAGACTATGTGGGAGTTTGAACCAGATTCTGAAAGACTCGATTGTCTGCTTTCATCAGCAAAAATAAGTTTGTTTATAGCTATTTTTGTTCTCCTTTAATCCACAGTCAATATGTAGACCCAGGACTGAGGCTGTAGACCCAGGACTGAGGCTGTAGATCCAGGACTGAGGCTGTAGACCCAGGACTGAGGCTGTAGACCCAGGACTGAGGCTGTAGATCCAGGACTGAGGCTGTAGACCCAGGACTGAGGCTGTAGACCCAGGACTGAGGCTTTAGACCCAGGACTGAGACTGTAGACCCAGGACTGAGGCTGTAGACCCAGGACTGAGGCTGTAGATCCAGGACTGAGGCTGTAGACCCAGGACTGAGGCTGTAGACCCAGGACTGAGGCTTTAGACCCAGGACTGAGACTGTAGACCCAGGACTGAGGCTGTAGACCCAGGACTGAGGCTGTAGATCCAGGACTGAGGCTGTAGACCCAGGACTGAGGCTGTAGATCCAGGACTGAGGCTTTAGACCCAGGACTGAGGCTGTAGATCCAGGACTGAGGCTTTAGACCCAGGACTGAGGCTGTAGACCCAGGACTGAGGCTTTAGACCCAGGACTGAGGCTGTAGACCCAGGACTGAGGCTGTAGACCCAGGACTGAGGCTGTAGACCCAGGACTGAGGCTGTAGACCCAGGACTGAGGCTGTAGACCCAGGACTGAGGCTGTAGACCCAGGACTGAGGCTGTAGATCCAGGACTGAGGCTGTAGACCCAGGACTGAGGCTGTAGATCCAGGACTGAGGCTGTAGACCCAGGACTTAGGCTGTAGATCCAGGACTGAGGCTGTAGACCCAGGACTGAGACTGTAGACCCAGGACTGAGGCTGTAGACCCAGGACTGAGGCTGTAGACCCAGGACTGAGGCTGTAGACCCAGGACTGAGGCTGTAGACCCAGGACTGAGGCTGTAGACCCAGGACTGAGGCTGTAGACCCAGGACTGAGGCTGTTGACCCAGGACTGAGGCCGTAGGCCCAGGACTGAGGCCGTAGACCCAGGACTGAGACCGTAGACCCAGGACTGAGGCCGTAGACCCAGGACTGAGGCTGTAGACCCAGGACTGAGGCTGTAGACCCAGGACTGAGGCTGTAGACCCATGTTCTAATAACATCTGTTTCTTTCAGATGGATGAGAGTGAAGAAGATGAGGGGCTCTGCAGCATATATCCGGTAGGTTATAATATAAATGTTATATCAATCTAATCTGACCAGAGAGAGACCAGAGAGAGACCAGAGAGAGACCAGAGAGAGACCAGAGAGAGACCAGAGAGAGAGACCAGAGAGACCAGAGAGCGAGACCAGAGAGCGAGACCAGAGAGCGAGACCAGAGAGCGAGACCAGAGAGAGAGACCAGAGAGAGACCAGAGAGAGAGACCAGAGAGACCAGAGAGCGAGACCAGAGAGCGAGACCAGAGAGCGAGACCAGAGAGCGAGACCAGAGAACTTTTTTAGATTTTTTTAAAATGAATTTTAAAAAGTGCTTTTGGGACCACTTGTGCACACTTTGACCCCCATTTTCTCTGGATTTCTACAGTAAAAGTGAATGATATTTTACACAGTGGTAGAGGGCATCCAGTGAACAAGTATGCAGTGAAACAGTGAGGGAACTTTTTTAGATTTTTTTAAAATGATTTTTAAAAAGTGCTTTTGGGACCAAAATGGCACACTTTGACCCCCATTTTCTCTGGATTTCTACAGTAAAAGTGAATGATATTTTACACAGTGGTAGAGGCCCCCCAGTGAACAAGTGTGCAGTGAAAGTAGTCTGGGAACTTTTTTAGTTTTTTTTTAAATGAATTTTAAAAAGTGCTTTTGGGACCACTTGTGAACACTTTGTCCCCCATTTTCTCTGGATTTCTACAGTAAAAGTGAAAGATATTTTACAGAGTGGTAGAGGGTATCCTGGTGAACAAGTGTGCAGTGAAATCAGTCAGGGAACTTTTTTAGATTTTTTTAAAATGAATTTTAAAAAGTGCTTTTGGGACCACTTGTGCACACTTTGACCCCCATTTTCTCTGGATTTCTACAGTAAAAGTGAATGATATTTTACACAGTGGTAGAGGGCATCCTGGTAAACAAGTGTGCAGTGAAAGTAGTCTGGGAACTTTTTTAGATTTTTTTAAAATGAATTTTAAAAAGTGCTTTTGGGACCACTTGTGCACACTTTGACCCCCATTTTCTCTGGATTTCTACAGTAAAAGTGAATGATATTTTACACAGTGGTAGATGGCATCCTGTTGAACAAGTGTGCAGTGAAATCAGTCAGGGAACTTTTTTAGATTTTTTTAAAATGAATTTTAAAAAGTGCTTTTGGGACCACTTGTGCACACTTTGACCCCCATTTTCTCTGGATTTCTACAGTAAAAGTGAATGATATTTTACACAGTGGTAGAGGGCATCCCAGTGAACAAGTAGGCAGTGAAAGTAGTGAGGAAACTTTTTTAGATTTTTTTAAAATGATTTTTAAAAAGTGCTTTTGGGACCAAAATGGCACACTTTGACCCCCATTTTCTCTGGATTTCTACAGTAAAAGTGAATGATATTTTACACAGTGGTAGAGGGCATCCTGGTGAACAAGTGTGCAGTGAAAATAGTCTGGGAACTGTTTTAGATTTTTTTTAAATGAATTTTAAAAAGTGCTTTTGGGACCAAAATGGCACACTTTGACCCCCATTTTCTCTGGATTTCTACAGTAAAAGTGAATGAAATTTTACACAGTGGTAAAGGGCATCCCAGTGAACAAGTGTGCAGTGAAAGTAGTGAGGGAACTTTTTTAGATTTTTTAAAAATTAATTTTAAAAAGTGCTTTTGGGACCAAAATGGCACACTTTGACCCCCATTTTCTCTGGATTTCTACAGTAAAAGTGAATGATATTTTACACAGTGGTAGAGGGCATCCCAGTGAACAAGTTTGCAGTGAAATCAGTCAGGGAACTTTTTTAGATTTTTTTAAAATGATTTTTAAAAAGTGCTTTTGGGACCAAAATGGCACACTTTGACCCCCATTTTCTCTGGATTTCTACAGTAAAAGTGAATGATATTTTACAGAGTGGTAAAGGGCATCCCAGTGAACAAATGTGCAGTGAAATCAGTCAGGGAACTTTTTTAGATTTTTTTAAAATGAATTTTAAAAAGTGCTTTTGGGACCACTTGTGCACACTTTGACCCCCATTTTCTCTGGATTTCTACAGTAAAAGTGAATGATATTTTACACAGTGGTAGAGGGCATCCCAGTGAACAAGTAGGCAGTGAAAGTAGTGAGGAAACTTTTTTAGATTTTTTAAAAATGATTTTTAAAAAGTGCTTTTGGGACCAAAATGGCACACTTTGACCCCCATTTTCTCTGGATTTCTACAGTAAAAGTGAATGATATTTTACACAGTGGTAGAGGGCATCCTGGTGAACAAGTGTGCAGTGAAAATAGTCTGGGAACTGTTTTAGATTTTTTTTTAATGAATTTTAAAAAGTGCTTTTGGGACCAAAATGGCACACTTTGACCCCCATTTTCTCTGGATTTCTACAGTAAAAGTGAATGACATTTTTACACAGTGGTAAAGGGCATCCCAGTGAACAAGTGTGCAGTGAAAGTAGTGAGGGAACTTTTTTAGATTTTTTTAAAATTAATTTTAAAAAGTGCTTTTGGGACCAAAATGGCACACTTTGACCCCCATTTTCTCTGGATTTCTACAGTAAAAGTGAATGATATTTTACACAGTGGTAGAGGGCATCCCAGTGAACAAGTTTGCAGTGAAATCAGTCAGGGAACTTTTTTAGATTTTTTTAAAATGATTTTTAAAAAGTGCTTTTGGGACCAAAATGGCACACTTTGACCCCCATTTTCTCTGGATTTCTACAGTAAAAGTGAATGATATTTTACAGAGTGGTAAAGGGCATCCCAGTGAACAAATGTGCAGTGAAAGTAGTCAGGGAACTTTTTTAGTTTTTTTTTAAATGATTTTTAAAAAGTGCTTTTGGGACCACTTGTGCACACTTTGACCCCCATTTTCTCTGGATTTCCACAGTAAAAGTGAATGATATTTTACACAGTGGTAGAAGGCATCCTGTTGAACAAGTGTGCAGTGAAATCAGTCAGGGAACTTTTTTAGATTTTTTTAAAATGAATTTTAAAAAGTGCTTTTGGGACCACTTGTGAATACTTTGACCCCCATTTTCTCTGGATTTCTACAGTAAAGGTGAATGATATTTTACACAGTGGTAGAGGGCATCTTGTTGAACAAGTGTGCAGTGAAATCAGTCAGGGAACTTTTTTATATTTTTTTAAAATGAATTTTAAAAAGTGCTTTTGGGACCAAAATGGCACACTTTGACCCCCATTTTCTCTGGATTTCTACAGTAAAAGTGAATGATATTTTACACAGTGGTAGAGGGCATCCCAGTGAACAAGTATGCAGTGAAAGTAGTGAGGGAACTTTTTTAGATTTTTTTAAAAAGTGCTTTTGGGACCAAAATGGCACACTTTGACCCCCATTTTCTCTGGATTTCTACAGTAAAAGTGAATGATATTTTACACAGTGGTAGAGGGCATCCTGTTGAACAAGTGTGCAGTGAAATCAGTCAGGGAACTTTTTTAGATTTTTTTAAAATGAATTTTAAAAAGTGCTTTTGGGACCACTTGTGCACACTTTGACCCCCATTTTCTCTGGATTTCTACAGTAAAAGTGAATGATATTTTACACAGTGGTAAAGGGCATCCCAGTGAACAAGTGTGCAGTGAAAGTAGTCAGGGAACTTTTTTAGATTTTTTTAAAATTAATTTTAAAAAGTGCTTTTGGGACCACTTGTGCACACTTTGTCCCCCATTTTCTCTGGATTTCTACAGTAAAAGTGAATGATATTTTACACAGTGGTACAGGGCATCCTGTTGAACAAGTGTGCAGTGAAATCAGTCAGGGAACTTTTTTATATTTTTTTAAAATGAATTTTAAAAAGTGCTTTTGGGACCACTTGTGCACACTTTGGCCCCCATTTTCTCTGGATTTCTACAGTAAAAGTGAATGATATTTTACACAGTGGTAAAGGGCATCCCAGTGAACAAGTGTGCAGTGAAAGTAGTGAGGGAACTTTTTTAGACTTTTTAAAAATTAATTTTAAAAAGTGCTTTTGGGACCACTTGTGCACACTTTGACCCCCATTTTCTCTGGATTTCTACAGTAAAAGTAAATGATATTGTACACAGTGGTAGAGGGCATCCCAGTGAACAAGTGTGCAGTGAAAGTAGTCTGGGAACTTTTTTAGATTTTTTTAAAATGATTTTTAAAAAGTGCTTTTGGGACCACTTGTGCACACTTTGACCCCCATTTTCTCTGTATTTCTACAGTAAAAGTGAATGATATTTTACACAATGGTAGAGGGCATCCTGGTGAACAAGTGTGCAGTGAAAGCAGTCAGGGAACTTTTTTCGATTTTTTAAAAATGAATTTTAAAAAGTGCTTTTGGGACCAAAATGGCACATTTTGACCCCCATTTTCTCAGAATTTCTAGAGTAAACATGAATGATATTTTACACAGTGGTAAAGAGCATCTCATTGAAGAAGTGTGCAGTGAAAGTATTGTCAAACCTCTTTTTGTTCTTTTTTAATGATTTTTTAAAAGATATAGCATTTTGCTTTCTCGTCGTCACGGCTTCCCTTTCCACATTTACCGTAAGTAACAGCATAAAAGAGCCAACCGCTTTCAAAGTGCGGACCTCTTTACCGCTCGCGACGAAATGCAGGGCCACTTTACCGCGGTATTGAGAGAGGGATCCACTCCCCACCGGGCTATAGATCTAGGACTTAGGCTAAAGAACGACAGACACATTGCAGAACTCGGGCTACAGAACAAGGACTGAGGCAGCTTCATGGCAGGGAGGGGGTGCAGCCCACGAGTCCGGCTGGGGAGGACAGTCCACAGGTGCAGATGGAGGAGGCAGGGTTCAGGAGTGCAATCATCACAACATAAATAGGACAGCAAATTACAGTACATAGAACAGTACATTTCACACACTACTGCACATTATTACGATCTGTTCGTAATCAATCAGCTACTGTTCTAGTATTATGCATGATATTGGCGACATAGACATGATTACTACAAGTACTATTACTTGGCAGTCATGTATGTTGAGTTTGCATTGTACTTACCGATCTTGGCTCAGCTTTAGCGTCTTTTATTGTGGGAACTACACCATGTTTCAAGATCAGCTTTTTAGTGAGTCCAGTTTCACGGTAACCGTAGTTCTGGAAGCAGTCTTTAGTAAAGTGTCGCTCGCAGACGAACAGATTCTTTGACGGTTTCGGAGGCAGAAACCCGTGAATGAAGTCAAGCCACTTTCGCCGAATCGCTTGAGTAATAAAGTTCACTGAATCACCAAAGGATGCATTTTCTTGTACAAGTTTTATAATAACTTTATATCCCTTCCCAGCAATACCAACATTAGGCGATACTACAGCTCTCTCAGTATCAGTACTTTCCGAGTTCGATTTATTAGAGACATTTGTTTGCTTTTTACGAACCTTTGGATCTCACATGAGTTTTCTTTTCCGCTGTCCCAATCAATAAGCATCTCCCCATTTCCAGAAAAATCACTTCCTTCAGCCGTCTCCGGTTCATTCCAGCCGCCCTCCTCCACCAACGCATGTGTTTGTGTATTCATCAAACTGAAATGTCTCCGCTGGGGGGCGACTGTTCTTTGATGGATTCTGCTGCTGTTCCTTGTTTCGCCGCTAGAGGCGCCATCAGCCGCACCTGTGGCTCTGCTCCTCCGCACACGGACTGCTTCAGACGGTTTCAGATCCAAAGGGCCGAGTGCGTCCGTCAAACGTGAGTGTCCCAGTGCGCATGTGTGGGTTATATATGTATAAATGTATATATTTATATATAATCCTAGTTTGACAGATGTAGTTGTTGTTGTATTGTGTGAGGAACAGTTCGTGAGACACGAGATACTTTCGGTTCTGTTGTTGTGACGTCACGTGTTCAGGGGAAGTTTAAAGACACTTTATTTATGTTCTGTTTGTGTAACTCTGTGTCTGTGTGTGTGTCTGTGTGTGTCTGTGTGTGTGTGTGTGTGTCTGTGTGTGTGTGTGTCTGTGTGTGTGTGTGTGTGTCTGTGTGTGTGTGTCTGTGTGTGTGTGTGTGTGTGTCTGTGTGTGTGTGTGTTTGTCTGTGTGTGTGTGTGTGTGTGTGTGTGTCTGTGTGTGTGTGTGTATCTGTGTGTGTGTGTGTCTGTGTGTGTGTGTGTCTGTGTGTGTGTCTGTGTGTGTCTGTGTGTGTGTGTGTGTCTGTGTGTGTGTGTGTGTCTGTGTGTGTCTGTGGTGTGGAGCACAGGGACAGGGTGGAGCACAGGGACAGGGTGGAGCACAGGGACAGGGTGGAGCACAGGGACAGGGTGGAACACAGGGACAGGGTGGAGCACAGGGACAGGGTGGAGCACAGGGACAGGGTGGAGCACAGGGACAGCGTGGAGCACAGGGATAGAGTGGAGCACAGGGACAGAGTGGAGCACAGGGACAGGGTGGAGCACAGGGACAGGGTGGAGCACAGGGACAGGGTGGAGCACAGGGACAGTAAAGCTTCTTAAGGAAACAAATACCAGGCTGTCATGTGCTTCCTGCTCAGGGAGGATTTTAAAACAAACCTGTTCTGTGTGTTCTCTCACAGACTGACGCTCTCTCCTGAGACTGGGGCTCTCTCCTGAGACTGAGGCTCTCTCCTGAGACTGACGCTCTCTCCTGAGACTGAGGCTCTCTCCTGAGACTGAGGCTCTCTCCTGAGACTGAGGCTCTCTCCTGAGACTGAGGCTCTCTCCTGAGACCGAGGCTCTCTCCTGAGACTGAGGCTCTCTCCTGAGACTGAGGCTCTCTCCTGAGGCTGAGGCTCTCTCCTGAGACTGACGCTCTCTCCTGAGACTGAGGCTCTCTCCTGAGACTGAGGCTCTCTCCTGAGGCTGACGCTCTCTCCTGAGACTGACGCTCTCTCCTGAGGCTGACGCTCTCTCCTGAAACTGACGCTCTCTCCTGAGACTGAGGCTCTCTCCTGAGGCTGACACTCTCTCCTGAGGCTGACGCTCTCTCCTGAGACTGAGGCTCTCTCCTGAGACTGCGGCTCTCTCCTGAGACTGAGGCTCTGTCCTGAGACTGAGGCTCTCTCCTGAGACTGACGCTCTCTCCTGAGACTGAGGCTCTCTCCTGAGACTGAGGCTCTCTCCTGAGACTGAGGCTCTCTCCTGAGACTGACGCTCTCTCCTGAGGCTGACGCTCTCTCCTGAGACTGAGGCTCTCTCCTGAGACTGACGCTCTCTCCTGAGACTGACGCTCTCTCCTGAGACTGAGGCTCTCTCCTGAGACTGAGGCTCTCTCCTGAGACTGACGCTCTCTTCTGAGACTGACGCTCTCTCCTGACGCTGAGGCTCTCTCCTGACGCTGAGGCTCTCTCCTGACGCTGAGGCTCTCTCCTGACGCTGAGGCTCTCTCCTGAGTCTCTCTCCTGAGTCTCTCTCCTGAGGACGATGGCAGACGCAGTTGTGAGAGACTATCTGACCTGTCCCATTTGTCTGGACACCTTCCTGGATCCTGTGTCTCTGAGCTGTAACCACAGCTTCTGCAGCAGCTGTGTCCAGAAGCACTGGGTCCAGGACCAGAGCCAGGACCAGAGCCAGGACCAGAGCCAGGACCAGAGCCAGGACCAGAGCCAGGACCAGAGCAGGAGCTGCCCTCTCTGTAAGAGGAGGGATTCTAAGGATCTGGTAGTAAACTTTACTTTGAAACAACTGAGCGACGCTCTGAGGCTGAAGCTGCAGCTCTCTGAGCCTTCAGAGCAGAAGGACCAGACCCAGGACCAGACCCAGGACCAGACCCAGGACCAGACCCAGGACCAGACCCAGGACCACACCCAGGACCAGACCCAGGACCAGACCCAGAAGTGGACAGGATGCTCGGTCCACCCCCAGGTGCCTCTTCTCTTCTGCCTGGACGAGGCCTGCTGCTTCTGTCCAGTGTGTGAGTTCCGTAAACACAAAGACCACGAGGTGCTGAGTGAGGAGGAGGCGGAGGAGCAGCTGAAGCAGCCTCTGCGATCGCAGCTGCAGACTCTGAAGAAGACCAGACAGACCTGTGAAGACCTGCACAACAAATATGACCAGATCCAGAACCAGTCTGAGAAACAGGCTCTGCACTGTGAGAGACAGATCTCTGCTGTGTTCGACAGGCTGCGGCGCCACCTGCAGGAGGAGCAGGACACTGCACTGAGAGCTCTGAGGCAGGAGCAGGACAGACAGAAGCACCTCCTCATGTCCCAGAGGACAACACTCAGAGACAAACTGTCCTCTGTGGACCTCAGCATCCAACAGCTGGAGGAACATCTGCAGACACCAGCACGGGACTTTCTCCTGACGCCTCCTGTCCCCACAGGGCTGAGGCAGGACCAGGACCAGGACCAGGACCAGGACCAGACTCCTCTCCCCACAGGACTGATGCTGGACCAGGCCAAAGTCCTGGGGAACCTGGGCTTCAGGGTCTGGAGGAGCCTGAGGAGAGCAGTGAGACACAGTCCAGTGGTCCTGGATCCAAACACAGCGAACAGATGGCTGTATTTGTCTGAGGACCTCAGTGCAGTGACTCACGGAGACACTGGTCAGGACCTGCTCCCTGACCTCCCAGAGAGGTTTATGAACTCTGCCACTGTCCTGGGCTCTGAGGGCTTCATCTCTGGGACACACCAGTGGGACGTGGAGGTGGGAGATCATCCAGGCTGGATCATCGGAGTCGTACAAGAGTCGACCGACAGGAAAGGAGAGGTACTTGCTACACCTGAATATGGAATCTGGTGTTTATATCACGAAGATGGTAAATACACAAACGGCTGTGATGAACCTGTGACTGTGGAGAAGAGACCAGAGAAGATCCGGGTCAAACTGGACCATGCCAAAGGAACCGTGTCCTTCTATGACGCTGGTCACATGACCCACCTGGTCACACTCACACACACATGGACTGAGAGGATGTTTCCTTATTTTAACATCGGGAAAAGTAAACACGCTAAAACCAAAGAAATACACATCTGTGAGACTCCAGGTGAGGACTGAGACCAGAGGGAGACCAGAGGGAGACCAGAGGGAGACCAGAGGGAGACCAGAGAGAGAGACCAGAGGGAGACCAGAGAGAGACCAGAGAGACCAGAGAGAGACCAGAGAGAGACCAGAGGGAGACCAGAGGGAGACCAGAGAGAGAACAGAGAGACCAGAGAGAGACCAGAGAGAGACCAGAGAGACCAGAGGGAGACCAGAGGGAGACCAGAGAGAGACCAGAGAGAGACCAGAGGGAGACCAGAGGGAGACCAGAGAGAGACCAGAGAGAGGTGTTAGTGGTTTATTATTATCAGAATCACAGTCCGTGCATGGTTTTTGGCTCATGGTTAAACACAGGTTAAACACAGGATAAACACAGGATAAACACAGGCTAAACACAGGATAAACACAGGTTAAACACAGGATAAACACAGGCTAAATGTGGGACCCATGATAATTAACATGTATAACAATAACGCTGTATAAACACCCACCTCCTATTTTTTGTTTTATTTTCATGTGTAAGTAGCATAACATGATCATATTTTTAGACAGGAGAAACTCAGGTGACCCTCGCAGGCAGGTTGGGACAGCTTGGGGGGGCTTGGGGGGGTCCTCATTGAAGAGTGTGCTCAGACGAGGAATGTGTGGTGATGTGGTTTCTCTTGTGTTTCAGTGCTAACGCCAATTAAAAATAAGAATAATCCTAAACACTGTGAACTTTCATTTATCCGACCACAGGATAAACACAGGATAAACACAGGTTAAACACAGGTTAAACACAGGTTAAACACAGGTTAAACACAGGATAAACACAGGATAAACACAGGTTAAACACAGGATAAACACAGGTTAAACACAGGATACACACAGGATACACACAGGATAAACACAGGTCAAACACAGGATAAACACAGGTTAAACACAGGATACACACAGGTTAAACACAGGATAAACACAGGTTAAACACAGGATAAACACAGGTTAAACACAGGATACACACAGGTTAAACACAGGATAAACACAGGTTAAACACAGGATAAACACAGGTTAAATACAGGCTACACACAGGATAAACACAGGATACACACAGGATAAACAAAGGAAAAACACAGGATAAACACAGGTTAAACATAGGCTAAACACAGGTCAAACACAGGATAAACACAGGTCAAACACAGGCTAAACACAGGATAAACACAGGCTAAACACAGGATACACACAGGTTAAACACAGGCTACTCACAGGCTAAACACAGGTCAAACACAGGATAAACACAGGATACACACAGGTTAAACACAGGATACACACAGGTTAAACACAGGATAAACACAGGCTAAACACAGGTTAAACACAGGTTAAACACAGGTGTAAAGTCATACAGAATACTGTGGTGTGTCTATAGAGTGTTTCCCAACCTGTGGGCCGTGGCTCCATCACTGCTGCTGTGTCATGTGACTTGTATACAGCTGTGTAAAGACCACACTGCGCCTGTGGCTCTAAAAGCACAGCCGCAGTCGTCTCTGAGGACTTCACTAAGTTGAGGATTCACCAACAGCAGATTAGAAAATCATCTGACTATTGTTCTGGGTTAGAGTTAGAGACCTGTGTTTGTCACTCACTCTGAACTGTGCTGAACAAATAAATACTCTACAACAAACCTGTATCTGGGAAATTCCTGGGTAACCACGTCTTCTATCAGCACTCTGTCACTTTAGAACCAGCTCGGTCTGGATAGAACATTAGAGGCTAAACCTGCCCCGAGTCCAGTCCTGCAGACCCCGAGTCCAGTCCTGCAGACCCAGAGTCCAGTCCTGTAGACCCCGAGTCCAGTCCTGTAGACCCAGAGTCCAGTCCTGCAGACCCCGAGTCCAGTCCTGCAGACCCCGAGTCCAGTCCTGCAGACCCCGAGTCCAGTCCTGCAGACCCCGAGTCCAGTCCTGCAGACCCAGAGTCCAGTCCTGCAGACCCAGAGTCCAGTCCTACAGACCCCGAGTCCAATCCAGCAGGAGGTTCTGACGTCTCTGGGCTTTGAAAATACTCTCTCCTGTGTATTCGGGAATTCTGTGTGTTTAAAGGCTGATCTGCAGGTAGTACCAGGTCTGGACACAAGAGGGCGGTGTCTGGTTTAGTCCTGACCACAGAGAGAGACCAGAGAGACGAGAGAGACACCAAAGAGAGAGCAGAGAGACACCAAAGAGAGAGCAGAGAGAGACCAGAGAGACACCAGAGAGAGACCAGAGAGAGACTACAGAGAGACCACAGAGAGAGTAGAGAGAGACCAGAGAGAGAGCAGAGAGAGAGAGCAGAGAGACCACAGAGAGACTCTACACTCAGAGCATTTTGTTCCTTTTAAAACAGAAACAGAATGACTTCAGAACTTGTACTTTTCCCAGAGTTTGTTGTCGCTGCAGAGTTTTTCTAAAAGTCAGAGATGGCATTGTTCTGAATGGGTTAAACTCAGAGCTCTGTAATTTAAGGCCTGGCTTAAAACACTCTTCTTCAACTTAGCATTTGGCATTTGTCCGGTCAGGTCTCGTCCGGTCTTGGAGTCTGCGTATGTTGGACCTGGTCCGCTGCATCTTCAACCCTACGTTCTAGGCTAGGCTAAAACAGACCTCTTTAGTTAGCATATGGCTAGTATTGTCTAAAAAAAGACTTGGACGTTTTCGAATTTTGATACAGAAATAAGACCAAGCATATAAGAATTAAAAATAGAACTCTTGGAGCTATTCATTCCCTATAACTAACCCTGATCTAATCCTGTGAGCTGAGCTTAAAGTAACTGTCCCTAAACTGTGAGAGGTCAACCAGGCGCCCTGCGATGACCTCTGTCTATCTGACCTCTGTCTATCTGACCTCTGTCTATCTGACCTCTGTCTATCTGTCTATCTGACCTCTGTCTATCTGACCTCTGTCTATCTATCTGACCTCTGTCTATCTGACCTCTGTCTATCTGACCTCTGTCTATCTATCTGACCTCTGTCTATCTGACCTCTGTCTATCTGACCTCTGTCTATCTGACCTCTGTCTATCTATCTGACCTCTGTCTATCTGACCTCTGTCTATCTGACCTCTGTCTATCTATCTGACCTCTGTCTATCTGACCTCTGTCTGTCTATCTGACCTCTGTCTATCTGATCTCTGTCTATCTGACCTCTGTCTATCTGACCTCTGTCTATCTGACCTCTGTCTATCTGTCTATCTGACCTCTGTCTACTGACCTCTGTCTATCTGACCTCTGTCTATCTGTCTATCTGACCTCTGTCTATCTGATCTCTGTCTATCTGACCTCTGTCTATCTGACCTCTGTCTATCTGACCTCTGTCTATCTGACCTCTGTCTATCTGACCTCTGTCTATCTGATCTCTGTCTATCTGACCTCTGTCTATCTGACCTCTGTCTATCTGATCTCTGTCTATCTGACCTCTGTCTATCTGACCTTTGTCTATCTGACCTCTGTCTATCTGATCTCTGTCTATCTGACCTCTGTCTATCTGACCTCTGTCTATCTGACCTTTGTCTATCTGACCTCTGTCTATCTGTCTATCTGACCTCTGTCTATCTGATCTCTGTCTATCTGACCTTTGTCTATCTGACCTCTGTCTATCTGACCTCTGTCTATCTGACCTCTGTCTATCTGACCTCTGTCTATCTGATCTCTGTCTATCTGATCTCTGTCTATCGGACCTCTGTCTATCTGTCTATCTGTCTATCTGACCTCTGTCTATCTGATCTCTGTCTATCTGATCTCTGTCTATCTGACCTCTGTCTATCTGACCTCTGTCTATCTGACCTCTGTCTATCTGACCTCTGTCTATCTGACCTCTGTCTATCTGACCTCTGTCTATCTGTCTATCTGACCTCTGTCTATCTGATCTCTGTCTATCTGACCTCTGTCTATCTGACCTCTGTCTATCTGACCTCTGTCTATCTGTCTATCTGACCTCTGTCTATCTGACCTCTGTCTATCTGATCTCTGTCTATCGGACCTCTGTCTATCTGATCTCTGTCTATCTGACCTCTGTCTATCTGACCTCTGTCTATCTGATCTCTGTCTATCGGACCTCTGTCTATCTGTCTATCTGTCTATCTGACCTCTGTCTATCTGACCTCTGTCTATCTGACCTCTGTCTATCTGACCTTTGTCTATCTGTCTATCTGACCTCTGTCTATCTGACCTCTGTCTATCTGTCTATCTGACCTCTGTCTACTGACCTCTGTCTATCTGACCTCTGTCTATCTGTCTATCTGATCTCTGTCTATCTGATCTCTGTCTATCTGACCTCTGTCTATCTGACCTCTGTCTATCTGATCTCTGTCTATCTGACCTCTGTCTATCTGACCTCTGTCTATCTGATCTCTGTCTATCTGACCTCTGTCTATCTGACCTCTGTCTATCTATCTGACCTCTGTCTATCTGACCTTTGTCTATCTGACCTCTGTCTATCTGACCTTTGTCTATCTGATCTCTGTCTATCTGACCTCTGTCTATCTGACCTCTGTCTATCTGACCTCTGTCTATCTGATCTCTGTCTATCGGACCTCTGTCTATCTGTCTATCTGACCTCTGTCTATCTGACCTCTGTCTATCTGATCTCTGTCTATCGGACCTCTGTCTATCTGTCTATCTGACCTCTGTCTATCTGACCTCTGTCTATCTGACCTCTGTCTATCTGATCTCTGTCTATCGGACCTCTGTCTATCTGTCTATCTGACCTCTGTCTATCTGACCTCTGTCTATCTGATCTCTGTCTATCGGACCTCTGTCTATCTGTCTATCTGACCTCTGTCTATCTGACCTCTGTCTATCTGACCTCTGTCTATCTGATCTCTGTCTATCTGACCTTTGTCTATCTGACCTCTGTCTATCTGACCTCTGTCTATCTGATCTCTGTCTATCTGACCTTTGTCTATCTGACCTCTGTCTATCTGACCTCTGTCTATCTGATCTCTGTCTATCTGACCTCTGTCTATCTGACCTCTGTCTATCTGACCTCTGTCTATCTGATCTCTGTCTATCGGACCTCTGTCTATCTGTCTATCTGACCTCTGTCTATCTGACCTCTGTCTATCTGATCTCTGTCTATCTGACCTCTGTCTATCTGACCTCTGTCTATCTGATCTCTGTCTATCTGACCTCTGTCTATCTGACCTCTGTCTATCTGACCTCTGTCTATCTGTCTATCTGACCTCTGTCTATCTGACCCAGCTCAGACTGACCACATTATTCACATATGGTATAATTAAAAATGTGCAGAAGCGGGCGTGGCTTCATCAGGCGACGTCGGTCCAGACCAGATCTCAGTCTCGGGTCCTGGTCTGAAGTCCTTTTCGCCACATCATCACTTTTCTGAAAGATACTTCGGAGAAACAGGAAGCAAAAGTGCCCTATTTTGTCTACTGTCATCAATTTAAACTCTTGACATTTTAGTTTCTGTCTTGTGACTGTGTCCAGCACAAACTCATTTGACCTCAGAGACTTTTGATTTAAAACTATACCATTTCATGATTACATTTATAATTTCACAATTTAATAAACAATGACACATCACTAGTGTAGGGTATGAAAATGTAGTGTAGTGCGGCTAGTCTCCAGATCAGAGTCTTGCCCTTCTACACAAAGGGGGATCTGAGTTTTATTTTGGGCACCAGCAGAGTTTGAAAACATCTGCACAGATCCAACTAATCTGCCTCGATCAGTCTTACAATCTAATAGGTTATGAGTACGAAATCAGCCAGGGACGTCAACAGACTTAAAAACAGGACGCTTAAAGATGATTTGAGTTTAACGTGGGTTTATTGACTACATACAAAAATAGAAGAATATCAACGAAAAGGGGTTTGGTCACATTAACGGAGATGTTATGCATATCATATGAATCACACATTAGCGTGGAACAGTCTTACTTTGAGCAGTTCGTATGGAGGGATGAGGGATGAAGAAAAGGGTGAAGATGAATGGGCAGTCCACGTGTTCCTTTGTTCGAGCAGGAGGGAGACACAAGCCAGCGGGTCCAGTCTAACTTTGATCCACGCATACGCACGCAGTCCGGAAAGCGCTGTATGCGTAGTCGTCCAGAGAGCCAGAAAAGTGGCTGATGATGGAGCAGTTCGTGGTCTCCGACAGCGGTATCGGGCTGTACTCGCGGAGTGGAGAGGCCTCAGTGGGTTACAGGCGCGGGTCGTAGTAGGAGACACGTACCCGCGGAACACAGAGGTTGTTACAATAATTTCAGGGTTTCCAAGAGAGCGATCTCTGGGTTGTGCGTGGTTTTATTGACTTCTAAAGGGGGGCGCGTCCGTGACGTCATCCTTGTGCGTCTCCCCTGGAAAAGACATTGCTACATAAAAGGCAAATACACATCACACAGACAGCCCGACGTTCATAATCATCTACCGATACACAGTGCATTTACATCACCAGACAACACCCACATACGAGTAGGGTCCGTATCGGTTTGATCAACACAATATCGTCGCCAAACTATGACAAGGTATTCGATCGTGGTCCCGCCTCGGGTTGTGATAGTGTCCCAGTGTCCACTGGGGGGGGGCGCCTGAAACGCCGTGGGTGAGAGTCGTCGATTGTCCATGGGACAGGAATGTCTCGGGAGTAAGTGCAGAGTTTTGATCTCTGGATCTCGCCAGGCAGAAAGGTACAAAGAGGTGTACCCTGGTGACTCGATTTATTGTTCTGGTTGACACGTATGGTCGCGGTGGACTCGATGGATCGTCCTCTGGCCGACCCTCGCGTTCGTTAGATGTGGCTGTGAGGTGTCCCTCCCCCCCTGGGGCGAATGTTTACGCAGCCCAGTGCCTGGTCCATGTCTGTACCGGGCTCTGTCCTTTAATTCACCTTACATACCCCCCGCACGGCAGAGATGCACCTTCCGACAAGGTGCATGTCATGTCGGATATGCCGGGCGGGTGTCCTCAGTCGGTCGTCTCGCCTGTTCGGGTGTTAGTGTGTGATTTGTGGTGACATGTTACAACATTCTCGCCTTAATGTGACTCAGTAATTCGCAAGCGCCTAACTGGGGCCAGGCTCGTGGCGGTTGGGTCTCGGGCCTCTGGCTTGGTTTGTTGAGGCCGCGTTTTCTCTAAGGTGAGTCCTGGCCCTGCAGGCTAGTTCTAACCGGGATCAGAGGTTCAGGGAGTGAGCTACGGGCCGTGAACTCTAGGGTTTGGGCCGGTGCGTCTGACTCCTGGGTCTCTTGGTCTGGAAGACTCAAAGTTCCAAGCCAAGAGATTAGCAGGAGTTTCTATTTTTAGGGGACTAGAATACAAAAATATAAAACTTCAAAAATCAAAAAAGGGTGGCTGTCTTGGCAGCGGTTGGGCGAGTCATTAAGGCACTCGCTGGCGAGGGGTTCCCATCTTGCTCGTTCTAAAAGGGGAGTATACGGATTACAAAAATATACGACGTAACAAGTGGGACTTTTGATTACGAGGGGAATTTCCTATATATAAACGGGGATGACAGGTATGATTGTCTGGGAGACTGATTAGGTATCGAGGTAGATATGTTTGGGTCTGAGCTGGTGACTCCTGGTGGGTTTTAGGCCCTTGGTTCACCTTCTGTGATAGCAAGAGTGACCGTCTCTGAAGGTCCTCGTACTCTGAGTCGTTGACTTGGGGGCGCCGGCTTAAATTGCCACGCTCGACGGCGCTGTCGCCCCGGTTTGGTCGTTTACGGATCTGTCTCGTCATTGCCTCCGTGCACCTTTTAAAGTTATCGCGGAGTCGTCTGACCCGTCTATTTAAGACGAAGGCCAGGCCATACCCGAGTCCTACTGCGGTGGCCAAGACCGTATCGGGGGCTGCCCATGAGTAGGTTACTGGTTGGTGGTTGATGGTCGGCCGCTTGGCAATCTCTTGAAGGAGGTTGTCTACGGCCGTAACGTCAACGGTTTTTGCCCCCTCGTAGGTGGCTTGGACGAGGGTGGAGGGTTGAAGTTCCAAGTCCTTCTTCTCAAAGAACTCTGGTACCTCGACCTCTGCCTCGTACTGGTTTGGATACAAGTGGTATAATGCTAGGTCGCCTACGTGTAGGATAGCGTCGGCTGGGACGTCGACCCAGAAGGTTTCATCCGGGAGGTTTACTCGGGACGAGGTGTCATGTTTGTCATAGGTCAGGGTCGCCGTTCTAAGGGGAGTGTTCACTAGCCATCTTGCCCCTACGATCTCTGCTCTGGTTTCGGTCACCTGGTTTCGAGAGGTGACCGTTGCGGGGCATCGACTCCCTGGAGTCATGGGCCTCAGGCCGCAGATGCCATCTGTGCTGTCCCTGACGAAAGGTTTACTGGGACAGAGGTAATGGATGTCCTTGGTGAGGGTACACATCCTTAGATTCGGCGTTAGGTAAAGTTTGGGTTGCTGTCGTGGTAGGCTACTATGTCTGGCGTCTGGACTCTGACGTGGACATTGTCCTTCCAGGTCCCTAGGTTAGTGATCCCTTTTAGTCGGTAGATTTTATCGCCGGGAACTATCGGTAGGGTGACTAGGAAGGCTACCTCGCGGTCCAGTGGATTGACGTAGATGGGGACTGCCGCGCCTAGCGTGTACGCCAAGTGGGCTTGCATGGAGGTTACGGCGTCCCGTGTGGCTACGGCTAGGATGTCCTCAACTAGCGACAGCGGCACGAGGTATGGCGGGATACGGCCCATGGCTAGGTTTTCGACCGAGGAGCTGAGGTGACGTAGCATGTCATCCATCAGTTGGGTGGTCAGCTGAGTGTGGGCGTAGTCTACTTGGAGAACGTCTAAGAGTTGGTTAACCGCAGCGGAGGTGCGTTTAATCGCGACCTCATGTGTGTTAAGTACTAGCATGGTTCCTTTCAGGGATTTTCCCAAGGTCACCACGTCGTTCTGTTGCTGGTCAAGTCTGGTTTTGACGTCCTCAAGTTCAGAGGCCATTTCTAGCTGGTGGCGTCTGAGGGAGGATAGGCTAATGGCGTTTAGCGTGGACATCCCCAGGCTAAAGACGGTGCCCAGGGCGGATGCTGCGCCGAGGAGAGCCCCAATAAATCGTTTGGGTCTGGGGCGAGGGGCACTGAGCTCTGTCCTAGTGATCGTGAACTTCTCTAGCTGTGTCAGCATGTGCTGTATGTCTGCCTCTGCGTGCTCCACGACCGTCTGGGTCCAGCGGGCGCCCGCCCAGTCTTTGAGTGTGACTTTAGAGGGCAGGTTCTTGCGGCAGACCTCACTAGGGTTGAGTCTGACGAAGATTCGCTGTGTGTGGAGTCGGACATCCATGATGAGGAGTCCGGGTTGTTCCTTTAAAACGATCCCGGAGGCTGGTCCGGTCTCAATAATTTCTGGGGTGCCGAGGCACAGTATGCAGGTCAGCACAAGGAGGAGAGTGGGCCACATGTTCTGCAAAGTGTGAAACAACTGTTAGGGGTTAGGCAGAGAGAGAGAGAAATTCGATTAGTGCAGCCGAGAAGAGGGTAGTGGGTGCTGGACTAATAGTGTTTGAGGTCACGTGGTGTGTTCCTAACTGGGGTTTGTAATGTGCCCTACTTGTCCCATGGGGCTTTGTTTGTGTGGTTTGGTTTGGTTGTGACGAACCCATTTGAGGGTGGGTTCTCTCCTACCTTTTGTGACCTCAATCTGGTGCACTGCGGTTGAGAGTTTGTTTCCCACCCTGTATGGTCCTGACCAGCGGGGTAGCAGTTTCCGGCGTAGTCTGGTGGGGCCGGTCCCCACTTGTCCTGGGGAATGTGTAAAGGTGTAATACCTGGTTTTTGACCTGGAGCTCGTTGCGAGACGCCTTTTAGTCGTAATAGGCTTTGCGTCCTTCGGCGCTGTCTCCCAGTTTCTTCTGTGTAAATGTGAACGTCTGTTCCAGGTGGTCCTGCGGGTCAGTCCTGTATTGGTTTGCCCTCAGGAGCCGGGGGAGTTTCACGTTCCAGTCACTCTGGTTTGGGGATACGTACCTTAGTATTTCAGTCACCGTCCGGTCCGTCCTTTCTACCTGTTGTAGTGCCTGGCGTGTGTTGTTTTATACCTCTGTGTTCCGCGGTAGGTGCGTCATGGGCGTGAGCAAACATCACCCCCCTCATGCTTCGAGGCACCACGAGTACCGACGAAGTGAGTGCATCGGAAGCAGAAACTAACAGCCCATGGCGTATTGGCCGTTTGTCTTTATCACGCCCGAAGATTTTGAGCGTCGTGTTGGTCGTGACGTCGCTGGGGCGTTTTAGTGTGGGGTCCGTGTATCGGAGGGAGGCTAGGTCCAACCCGTCAAAGTCGGGGGTTTTGCGCGTGGGCGCGGCGTCGGGTCCATTTTAGTGGCGTTTGCCCGACCGATCGCGCAGATTGTGGGCGTTCCTTGACCGGTGTTGGTTTGTGCCGCGGCGGGCTGTAGGCCGTCTGCAGGCGGCGCTTCTATGAAGTAGCAGTGGTTCTCGCCCAGTGGGCGTGGGATGGGTAAGGGCTCCCGGACTTGTGCCCAGATCTTTAGACGGTTGGAAGTCTATTATGGGTTTTAACCGATTTAGGAGGTCCTGGCCCAGTAGGAGTGGATGCGCGTTGAATGGGGAGATGTAGACCGGGTGGACTAGTGTCATGGGGCCCACGGTCAGTCGCATCAGCGCCATTTTACGTATGGTCGTGTTTACCTGGGAATAGGGTCGAATTTCCAAGTCGCATGGCTGTGTTTTTAGGTCTCTGTGGGCTTCTCTGGCCAGGGACTGTAACTTACCAAAGAGATAGTCGGCAATCAGGCTGATATCGGCAGCTGTGTCCACGAGCGCTTTGTGTTCCCATTGGTCCTCAAGCGTCACGGGCAAGTAGAGTTTCCCGTAGGTACCTTTTTGTTGTAGATCGCCAATGAACTGGTGGAACGGTGGGTCGCAGTTGATCGTCGAGGGGCACTCCCATTCGTGAGTCTGTGATGGAGTTTACCCGTATCACCATGGACGTCCCTCTGGTCGTAGTGGGCGTTCTCATTCTGTGCGTGTGAGTCTCGGGGTTCTTTGTTTACCTTGTCCTGGAGGTCCCGAAGGACGTGTGGGTCGAAGTAGGTGTCCTCCGACTGTTGCACGCTAAGGTCGTCGTTCAAATGGTAGGGATAGTCGTCATTGGTCTCATCCGACACGGACACTGCGAACACGTCAGCAGTGTCTGGCCTTTTTTCTCTGGCTTTGCGCAGGAGTGCGCGGAGGAAGGATTGTTCTTCCCTGGAAAGGTTGCTTTTATTTATAGCTGCGGTGCGCGGTCTTTCCCGTCCGGCTGGGCGTTGCGGTTCTCGTCGAATGGCGTGGACTTTTGGTCGTGCCATTGTCTGTTCTTCGGGTCTGTGCGTCGCTGGTTATTGCTTTGGGGCCTTCGATCTGTCCCCCATTTTTGTTTTTGGGTGGTTGGCGCGCCTTCAAGTTCCATGTGTTTGTCCCACACTGTACACTGTAGCCTGGTTTTGTGGCTTCACTTGTGGTTTGAGTAAGTGTTTGCTCTGTGCCCTTGCCACTAAGGGTCTTCAGTTGTTGTATGTCCTGTGTAAGGGGGCAGGCGTACACACCTAGTAGTTGGCTAAGGTTGGGGGTGGAGGTTTTGGATGTACAGGGCCTTGAAATTCTTATCTTCCTCCATCCCTTCGTAGTTTTGGTTGCCGAAGTAGGCCTGTCTCAACCTGTGGTAGTAGCAGTCCGCAAGCTCGTTGTGAGTTTGTTTGACTGCCATAGCTGCCGTGAGGGTCCCGGAGGCACCGTAGTCTGAGTATTCTGCCAGGATGGCTTTGCAGAGCTCATTGTAGTCATGTTTTATGGCCTTTGGTTGCCTTTCGATGAAGTCGTTCACTTCTCTATTGGACGTGAGTCTAATCAAGAATATTTTGTCACTTTGAGATGCGTTTGGTATGCGGTCAGTGTGGAAGTCAACGTCGCGGAGGTATGATCGGGCGTTCGTAGGCATGCCGGGCCGGGGGTCAAAGCGGTTTATGTGTCTGGCTATGCGGTCAAAGTCACGGTCGGATGGTCCGAGCGGGTCTCGACCGATAGGGGGCGTGTAATGGGCGTCGCGCTCCTTATAAGTCCGCCCCTTGGGGTTGTCTACCTGATTGAGGTCCCCGGGGCGTTCCCATTGCGGGTCGATGGCCATTGTGTCGCAGCATATGCGGAAGGCCCAGACTTAGAGTACCGTACGTCGTGTGGTCGGGTAGCATGTTTGATGTGCGCCCAGGGGGGTCGCCAGCCATGTTTCAGGTTGGGCCTCAGTTGGTCCAGAGTCATGGGTTGGGTAGTCATGTTGTCTGTTTAGCCCTCGTCCAGAGTGGGGTCCAGAGAGCATTTGTTTATTCCTGGAGTTAATAATTTGTCCCGTTTTGAAAGCTGGTCATCTCTATGATTCCTGAGTGCATATTCCTTTGTCCTTGGGGCTTTTCCCCGTGCACCTTCTTCAGAGGGCCTATTTTCAAAATCATTAGTATACAACATTTTAATTATGCAACAAGAGACCCTCAGGGAAGACAGACTCAGAGATATGGAGATTAACCAGGACTAGTCTACAATATTATTGAATGACGTGTACAGTATTTATTGCTGTACATCCTGCCATAGCGCATCCATAAGAGCTCTGTGCTTAGTGTGTTCTTTGTCATTCTTACCATCCTCATTTTCGGAGCTGACACAGGCTGAAAGCGGTAAGCCTGAATTTGACTTGATGTATTCTGATTATGCCATTAAACTCTTTCTTTAATACATAACTCAAAGTGCATTCCTTCTCCAACACTACATAGTTTGTGCGGGAAACCCCATCTTTTGCTGAGGGGAAGATACAACAATAGTCTGTTGTACATAGTGAGCTAGCAACATTTAGCTATCGATAGCAATCTAATCTAAAATGTCCTTCCTGCGCTAGTGTGCTGTATTTTGCTATTTCACGTTTTGCCATTCTGTTTTGTGCTTGTACTTAAGTTGTGTGTATATTTATTTGTTCGAGAATCCCTTCCCACAAGTGAGGAGATTACAAACGAGCAATGAGTGACCGGAGTACTTCATATTTGGGACCTGGTCTCAAACGTACTTTGGACTTTGTAAATTGTTGGTTTTGCACTTTACTTTTGTTTTTAATAAATCTGTGATTGTATCAAGTACATATCAAGACTTTGTTTCATTAATTTGTCTGTAGTGTACACATGCATAAAAGGGGTTCAAATGTTACGATTTCCTACCAAACGTATACTTCTATTTACATTACATACATTATGTTTGTCAGTAAATCCGTATATACCGTGGTTAATTTATGAACGAGGATGGAGACATATTTGCTAAATACAAAAAGGTTTTATTTTTGATAAAAACACAAGGGGAAAAAAATAGATGTTTAGGCATATGATTTTTATCATATATACCTTTTTTACTTCTCTCTCCTTTTCGAGTTGATACTTAGATTTACAATATACATGTATTTTAAATAATTAAGTTATGTATTGAACTCAAAATAAAAACATTTAATTTCAAATGACAAAAAGTGATGCATCAGACCAATGTTACTAGTTACACGTTGCGCATAAATTACATGGTTTGACAACCCCTCCCACGCTGAGGAGAAACTTGGAGGTTCCATTTTTTATGGAAAAGCACCCAGACTCGGCCGAGCTGTGCCGTGCCATACCTTGACTATGGAAAAGCAGCAATAGTCCCTCCATCGTGTCCTGGGTCTTCCCCGGAGCCTCCTCGCGGTTGGACGTTCCCAGAACACCTCCCCAGGGAGGCGTCCAGGAGGCATCCTGAACAGATGGCCGAGCCACCTCAACTGGTTCCTCTCGACGTGGAAAAGCAGCGGCTCTACTCCGAGCTACTCCCGTGTGACTGAGCTCCTCACTCTATATCTTAGGGAGTGCCCAGCCACTCTGCAGAGGAAACTCATTTCGACCGCTTGTATCCACTAGCTGGTTCTTTCGGTCATTACCCAAAGCTCAAGACCAGAGGTGAGGGAGGGACCGAAGATTGACCGATAAATCGAGAGCTTTGCCTTTCGGCTCAGCTCCCTCTTAACCAAAAAGGTCCGATACAGCGACCGCATCACAGCGCACACTGCACCGATCCTCCTTCAATCTCAAGATCCAATCTTCCCTCACCCGTGAACAAGACCCCGAGATACTTGAACTGCTCCACTTGAGGAAGGACCTCTCCGCCCACCTGGAGAGGTGGCATTTTTTTCCGGTCGAGCACCATGGCCTCGGATTTGGAGGAGCCGATTCTCATCCCAGCCGCAAACCGTCCCAGGCTATGTTGCAGGTCCTGGTTCGTTGGAGCCAACAGGACATCATTCGCAAACAGACATGAAACCATGTGGTCCCCGAACCGGCGCCTAGAAATTCTGTCCATAAAGACGGTGAACAGAACCAGTGACAAAGGGCAGCCTTGGTGGAGGCCAACATGCACCGGGAACAGGTCTGACTTACTGTCGGCAAAGCGAACACAGCTCAGGCTCCGAATCCCATACTCCCGGAGAACCCCCAAAAGGACACCCCGGGGAACATGGTCAAACGCCTTCTCCAAATCCACAAAGCACATGTGGACAGGTTGGGCGAACTCCCATGAACCCTCGAGTATCCGATGAGTATAGAGCTGGTCTAGTGTTCCGTGGCAGGGACTAAAATCACACTGCTCCTCAATCCAAGTTTTGACCAAAGTCTCTTCTCCAGTCCCACTGAGGGATTGTATCTTCTCTTTTATGTGTTTATGCTCTGTCTTGTGTGGTGGTTTTTATTCTTCACATGGAGTTGCCGTCTGAATGAACTGTGCTATACAAAAACTTTCTGGGTGAAATGGGATCAGATCACATTAAAGCAGTGGTGAGACCAGCCCAGCCCCGAGCTTACTAGGTACTTCCATGCTGGAAGGCTGTGCCTGATCACCGTCGCAGCAGAGCTGTAGTCTTTGTCCCTGACAGTCTCCAGCAAATCACACGGTGGAGGTGAGGATTAACTATGGCCATGAAGAACTGCAGCAACATCTGTGCAGCAGCCCAGCTGAAGTTTCCCTCAGCTGGGGCTTCAATATGAGGGAGCCGATACTTCAGGTTTCCGTTGCACCAGCCGGGCTACTGCACCTGGTGTTTTGTAGGGATAATAAATGTAGTGGGAAATTACTGAGTTTTAGTGCCATCAAAACGAGATTTGATGTAGAGTGGCAATATACACCCTGCCCCAAAGTTCAGTGTAGCCTGAGCCAATTTCTGGTTCTCTTGCAACCATGACATTATGGTTTTTACTTACAAATGCATGTAATAGTCACGTTCCCTGTACTTTTAATTAAATAAGTATGAAACCACAGCAACATTGTGGGGAAAAAAAGAACACTGCTGTAAATTCATTATTTAGTAAAACATTTTATTCAAAAGCTTCAATGCGGAACGACTAGCTCGTCTGAAGAACGTTTCACGTTTTTGCCGTTTGACCATTTCCTCAGACGAGTGCACCGTCGCGTTCTTGGAGGCCTGGTCGGAGAGCGCCGTCGCGTTCGTGGAGGCAGAGTCGGAGTGCGCCGTCGCGTTCTTGGAGGCCTGGTCGGAGAGCGCCGTCGCGTTCTTGGAGGCCTGGTCGGAGAGCGCCGTCGCGTTCGTGGAGGCAGAGTCGGAGAGCGCCGTCGCGTTCGTGGAGGCAGAGTCGGAGAGCGCCGTCGCGTTCGTGGAGGCAGAGTCGGAGAGCGCCGTCGCGTTCGTGGAGGCAGAGTCGGAGAGCGCCGTCGCGTTCGTGGAGGCAGAGTCGGAGAGCGCCGTCGCGTTCGTGGAGGCAGAGTCGGAGAGCGCCGTCGCGTTCGTGGAGGCAGAGTCGGAGAGCGCCGTCGCGTTCGTGGAGGCCTGGTCGGAGTGCGCCGTGGCGTTCGTGGAGGCCTGGTCGGAGTGCGCCGTGGCGTTCGTGGAGGCCTGGTCGGAGTGCGCCGTGGCGTTCGTGGAGGCCTGGTCGGAGTGCGCCGTGGCGTTCGTGGAGGCCTGGTCGGAGTGCGCCGTGGCGTTCGTGGAGGCCTGGTCGGGGTGCGGAGGCCACCACGAACGCCTGCGCACTCCGACCAGGCGCGCGCGGGCGGATGCCGTGGCGTTTGTGGAGGCCTGGTCGGACTGCGCCGTCGCGTTTGTGGAGGCCTGGTCGGACTGCGCCGTCGCGTTCGTGGAGGCCTGGTCGGACTGCGCCGTCGCGTTCGTGGAGGCCTGGTCGGGGTGCGGAGGCCACCACGAACGCCTGCCTACTACGACCAGGCGCGCACGGGCGGACGCCGTGGCGTTCGTGGAGGCCGTGGCGTTTGTGGAGGCCTGGTCGGAGTGCGCCGTGGCGTTCGTGGAGGCCTGGTCGGAGTGCGCCGTGGCGTTCGTGGAGGCCTGGTCGGAGTGCGCCGTGGCGTTCGTGGAGGCCTGGTCGGAGTGCGCCGTGGCGTTTGTGGAGGCCTGGTCGGAGTGCGCCGTGGCGTTCGTGGAGGCCTGGTCGGATTGCGCCGTGGCGTTCGTGGAGGCCTGGTCGGAGTGCGCCGTGGCGTTCGTGGAGGCCTGGTCGGAGAGCGCCGTCACGTTCGTGGAGGCAGAGTCGGAGAGCGCCGTCACGTTCGTGGAGGCAGAGTCGGAGAGCGCCGTCACGTTCTTCGAGACAAAACAGTGAATTTAGACCAACTTTCTGTGTGTCAATACTGTACATTATACTAATGAAGAAACAGCCCTTCAGCCTTAATTTTAAGGGTCAAATAGTTTTAATATAATGCTCCCCTTACAGAACTATTAGGATCATGCTAAACCTTAAAGGAAAGGATTTCATATCTTAAAAGTGCTGTGACCAAGGAAGCAGCAACGTTAGAATATTTGTGATACTCAAAGCTCAAAGGGTAAAGTAGAGTTGAAGGATGTCTACACACCTCAGCTTCATCATGTACTAGGTCAATTTGCAAGATGTGCTTCTTGACCACGTGCTCTGCTCCCGTTTCCACTTCATTGTTTATCAATTGTTCTGCAAAGACATGAGAAGCACATGTTTACTGCTGAACACCGCTATACAGTTTTACATCTTTACATTTCTGAACGTTTTTGGCTGAGTTTTAATGTAAAATAATTTCAAATCTGCATGAACTCACCCTGTGTAGCATTGGCAGCCAGGTGCTGAACCACGGAATTCTTCACGGGTTTAGTGTCAGAGGACTCAGAACCTACAGCAACAGCTAACACTCATTCTATACAATGTAAATATATTCATAAATAAAATAATGCCAATGTTACCTTTTGCACCATAATGGATTTCATTCTGGCTTTCATCACAGCTGCCAACTAATGAACAAAAACTATTTATTTAGCAATTGCTCAACACAATGAAATGTAACAATCTGACGAACCGTGGGCTGTTCCAAGGAAAAAGAGACACAGGATCCAAAGAGCTGCCATTTCACCAGTTTCCCAGAGAAAAGACCCAGTCAGTCGATCCACAGGCAGAGGTGAAGAAACACAGCTGCATTGATTGGCATGAGTTTATAAAGAACAGCTGGAGAGCTCTGATTGGACGAAAACAGAAGCCACGCCCACAGAAGAGTTGGACTCATGTCTGTTCACTTTGGATTCACTTTCCTGAAGTAAACACTGAGGAGAAGAACCAATCAGGAAGAAGAATACCTCACTCCAGAACATTTTTAGGGGTTTATTTATGTTGTTTATTTAAATTGAAGACATGACAATACACCACATTTTACAGTTGCATTTCAAATAATTGTGGTGAGTAGAGAGAAGGAAACATATCATGTTGCCTGCCTTTTCTTAATGTCTGTTTATTGCTAAATGATTATGTTTGCACAACTTTTTATTTCATATTAGAGTTGATTCCACAGTTTGACTCCAGCCGTTAATTTTCCCATGTGTTTCTGGTTCTGGCCAAAGGGACAGAGAAGTGTTGTTTCATTCTGCCCTGGTTGGATTTGAGAGAGAAAAAGATTTTGTACAGATTCTGCAGAAAGAGAATTTGGCTTTAAACATCACAATGAGAGAATGTAGTTTGATACGATCATTTTAATTGACTGAGTGCTGTCCACTCTCCTTGGCACGGTGGATACTCAGCCACTCAGCAAGTGGATAGCACTCTCCCCTCTAAGCAAGAAGGTCCTGGGTTCGAATCCCGGTTGGAACAGGTTCTTTCTGAGTGGAGTTTGCATGTTCTCCCCGTGTCTGCGTAGGTTTCCTCCAGGTGCTCTGGTTTCCCCTACCACTAAAAACATGCACAATAGGTATGAATGTAAATGAGAGAGTGAATGGATGGTGTTAATTGGAGCTGATGGTCCAGTGTGTTTTGCGTCTTGCTTCCGTCATCACTGTGTGTGGAATGATTGGAACAATATCTGAACTCTGAACATTGTAAAGCGCTTTGGGTGACCTTGGTCTATAAAATGCGCTATATAAATAAACATTACTTACTTATTTAACCGTTTTGATTGTTGTATAAATAAACCCTATGAACCCTATGTTAAAAACAACCCAATCCCTGCCATCTTTAAAAACGGCTTCTCTGCTTCAATATGTCCTCCCATGGATCTATTTTAATAACGTATTCCTCACTCCAGAGAAATGGAATCACACAGAAAGCTCCAACAGTCAGCGTTCTGGTCGGTCGAGGAGGTCCACGTTACTCTCTTTAGGCCGAAGAAAGAATTCAAAGGCAGCTCGAACGCACAACACGGAACAAGGTTTTCAGGGAGATTGCCCAGCTCTTGATTTGTGACTTATGTCTGTGGTAATCCTGGAAATAACTGGTTAGCTACGTGTCCCATTGGCCCAAAATGTTTGATAGTGTAGTATCTGCTATTATAACCCATACACATATTCATGTATCTTCAGTATGTATAAAATAGTGTTTAGAACATTTGGGCCCAATTGGAGAGACAGCTGACTCTACTGACCCTTCTCTGGGATCAATGGGCTGTGGACATCTGGAAGGACAATAAGAGCCAGTAGAGAGACCCTCAGGGAAGACAGACTCAGAGATATGTAGATTAACCAGGACTAGTCTACAATATTATTGAATGACGTGTACAGTATTTATTACTGTACATCCTGCCATAGCGCATCCATAAGAGCTCTGTGCTTAGTGTGTTCTTTGTCATTCTTACCATCCTCATTTTCGGAGCTGACCCAGGCTGAAAGCGGTAAGCTTGAATTTGACTTGATGTATTCTGATTATGCCATTAAACTCTTTCTTTAATACATAACTCAAAGTGCATTCCTTCTCCAACACTACATAGTTTGTGCGGGAAACCCCATCTTTTGCTGAGGGGAAGATACAACAATAGTCGGTTGTACATAGTGAGCTAGCAACATTTAGCTATCGATAGCAATCTAATCTAAAATGTCCTTCCTGCACTAGTGTGCTGGATTTTGCTATTTCACGTTTTGCCATTCTGTTTTGTGCTTGTACTTAAGTTGTGTGTATATTTATTTGTTCGAGAATCCCTTCCCACAAGTGAGGAGATTACAAACGAGCAATGAGTGACCGGAGTACTTCATATTTGGGACCTGGTCTCAAACGTACTTTGGACTTTGTAAATTGTTGGTTTTGCACTTTACTTTTGTTTTTAATAAATCTGTGATCGTATCAAGTACGTATCAAGACTTTGTTTCATTAATTTGTCTGTAGTGTACACATGCATAAAAGGGGTTCAAAAGTTACGATTTCCTACCAAACTTATTCTTCTATTTACATTACATACATTATGTTTGTCAGTAAATCCGTATATACCGTGGTTAATTTATGAACGAGGATGGAGACATATTTGCTAAATACAAAAAGGTTTTATTTTTGATAAAAACACAAGGGGAAAAAAATAGATGTTTAGGCATATGATTTTTATCATATATACCTTTTTTACTTCTCTCTCCTTTTCGAGTTGATACTTAGATTTACAATATACATGTATTTTAAATAATTAAGTTATGTATTGAACTCAAAATAAAAACATTTAATTTCAAATGACAAAAAGTGATGCATCAGACCAATGTTACTAGTTACACGTCGCGCATAAATTACATGGTTTGACAACCCCTCCCACGCTGAGGAGAAACTTGGAGGTTCCATTTTTTATGGAAAAGCACCCAGACTCGGCCGCGCTGTGCCGTGCCATACCTTGACTATGGAAAAGCAGCAATAGTCCCTCCATCGTGTCCTGGGCCTTCCCCGGAGCCTCCTCGCGGTTGGACGTTCCCAGAACACCTCCCCAGGGAGGCGTCCAGGAGGCATCCTGAACAGATGGCCGAGCCACCTCAACTGGTTCCTCTCGACGTGGAAAAGCAGCGGCTCTACTCCGAGCTACTCCCGTGTGACTGAGCTCCTCACTCTATATCTTAGGGAGTGCTCAGCCACTCTGCAGAGGAAACTCATTTCGACCGCTTGTATCCGCTAGCTGGTTCTTCCGGTCATTACCCAAAGCTCAAGACCAGAGGTGAGGGAGGGACCGAAGATTGACCGATAAATCGAGAGCTTTGCCTTTCGGCTCAGCTCCCTCTTAACCAAAAAGGTCCGATACAGCGACCGCATCACAGCGCACACTGCACCGATCCTCCTTCAATCTCAATATCCAATCTTCCCTCACTCGTGAACAAGACCCCGAGATACTTGAACTGCTCCACTTGAGGAAGGATCTCTCCGCCCACCTGGAGAGGTGGCACTTTTTTCCGGTCGAGCACCATGGCCTCTGATTTGGAGGAGCTGATTCTCATCCCAGCCGCAAACCGTCCCAGGCTATGTTGCAGGTCCTGGTTCGTTGGAGCCAACAGGACATCATTCGCAAACAGACATGAAACCATGTGGTCCCCGAACCGGCGCCTAGAAATTCTGTCCATAAAGACGGTGAACAGAACCAGTGACAAAGGGCAGCCTTGGTGGAGGCCAACATGCACCGGGAACAGGTCTGACTTACTGTCGACAAAGCGAACACAGCTCAGGCTCCGAATCCCATACTCCCGGAGAACCCCCAAAAGGACACCCCGGGGAACATGGTCAAACGCCTTCTCCAAATCCACAAAGCACATGTGGACGGGTTGGGCGAACTCCCATGAACCCTCGAGTATCCGATGAGTATAGAGCTCATAGTGTTCCGTGGCAGGGACTAAAATCACACTGCTCCTCAATCCAAGTTTTGACCAAAGTCTCTTCTCCAGTCCCACTGAGGGATTGTATCTTCTCTTTTTTATGTGTTTATGCTCTGTCTTGTGTGGTGGTTTTTATTCAACACATGGAGTTGCCGTCTGAATGAACTGTGCTATACAAAAACTTTCTGGGTGAAATGGGATCAGATCACATTAAAGCAGTGGTGAGACCAGCCCAGCCGCGAGCTTACTAGGTACTTCCATGCTGGAAGGCTGTGCCTGATCACCGTCGCAGCAGAGCTGTAGTCAATCAATCAACGTTTATTTATAGAGCGCCTTTCCTACACAAGGCAACGCAAAGCGCCTCACAACCCATATAACATCATGCATAAATCATCAAACATTAGAATTTAAGTAAACATAAAAAGACAGATTAAGAGCACAAGATATATAAAATCACACAAGTAGTTAAAAACCGTAAAACATTAAAATCACACAAGTGATTACAATCATAAATAATCATAAATAATCATAGCGCATTAAAAAGATTAAAGATAAAAACAAATATAAAATCATTCACTTGTATGCACAGCTAAAAAGAACTGTTTTCAGTTCAGTTTTAAAAACTGCTAGAGTAGACGCCTGTCTCACACTCTCGGGAAGACGGTTCCAGACTCTAGCTGCATGAATCTGAAACGCAGCCTCCCCATGTCTAGTTCCGACTCTTGGCACTAACAGAAGTCCAGTCCCTGTGCTCCTCAGAGCCCGAGTTGGTTCATATGGCACCAACATGTCGCGGATGTACCCTGGTGCGCGAGGCCATGGAGAGACTTGTACACAAGTAAAGCTACTTTAAAATCTATTCTCTGAGCCACAGGAAGCCAGTGCAGAGACCTGAGGACCGGACTAATGTGGTCGTACTTCCTGGTTCTAGTCAGGACTCGAGCTGCAGCATTTTGGATGTACTGCAGCTGTTTTACCGCTTGTTTAGAGAGACCTGTGAACAAGCCATTGCAGTAGTCCAATCGACTGGAGACAAATGCGTGGATAAGAATCTCCAAGTCTGCTTTAGACACAATGTTTTTAATTTTAGCAATGTTTCTTAGGTGGAAGTAAGCTGATGATGTCACAGATGATATGTGGCTATTGAAATTTAAGTCTGAGTCCATTATTACTCCTAGATTTCTGACCTGAGTTGAGGGTTTTAGGGAGAGAGACTGGAGGTGGCAGATAACGCTCTCTCTTTGTTTTTGAGGTCCGAAAACAATAATTTCAGTTTTTTCTGTGTTTAGCTGGAGAAAGTTATTTTGCATCCAATCACTGATTTGTTGGATACAGTGAAGGAGCGAGTCCACTGGTCCATGTTCTCCTGCTGTCAGGGACACATAGACCTGAGTATCGTCAGCATAATTGTGATAGGACACGTTATTACTGTGTATTAACCTACCCAGAGGCAGCATGTAAATATTAAACAGGAGAGGCCCCAGGATTGAGCCCTGTGGCACTCCGCAGGTTAGGGCCAGATGGTCTGAGATACAGTTTCCGATCTCCACAAAATACTTTCTGTCTTGTAGGTAGGATATAAACCAGCTTAGGGCTGTTCCAGAAACACCAACCCAGTCCTCAAGTCTCTGAATGAGGATACCATGATCGACAGTGTCGAAAGCAGCACTTAAATCTAACAGGATAAGAACTGAGACTTTTCCTGCGTCAGTGTTAAGTCTGATGTCATTTGTTACCTTCACTAGAGCGGTCTCTGTGCTGTGGTGGGGTCTAAAACCAGACTGGAACATATCAAAAGAGTGATTGATTATTAAAAATTCTGTAAGTTGTTGATAGACAGCTTTTTCTAGAATTTTACCCATGAAAGGCAGATTTGAAATGGGCCGATAACTTTTAAGTGCCAAGGCATCCAGACTCCTCTTTTTTAGGAGGGGTCTGATGACTGCCGTTTTCAGGGCCATTGGGAATGTTCCAGATTCAAGAGACATATTTACTATATGCGTGAGTGAAGGTAAAAGACTGCTCAGAACAGATTTAAGAAATCTAGGAGGTAATACATCCAGGCTACATGTAGAAGAACTCAGACTTGTAATTATCATGTGGACAGTTTCATTTTGTACTGGTGTAAAGTGTGTCAGCCCAAAAAGCTTCACTGGCTGTTGGATTGTAATTTCTACTGTGGAGGTGATGGCATTTTTGATGCCTTGGACTTTGTCATTAAAAAACTCTGCAAACTCATTACATTTGGTTTTGGAGGTAAGCTCTGATGGCATCTTAACAGGGGGATTTGTCAATTTATTTACTGTTGAGAACAGAACGCGTAGATTGTTACTGCAACCTTCGATTGTTTCGGAAAAATAAGTTTCCCTCGTTCTACGTAGCACACTGTTGAACTTGCACAATGCATCTTTGAAGATCTCATGGTCAACTTGGAGATTTGACTTTCGCCACTTCCGCTCGGCTCTCCGGCACTCTCTCTTCTGTGCCCTGACAGAGTCTGCTTTTGTCCATGGCGCCTTTTGCTTATTTGTAACAATTTTGACCTTTACAGGAGCAATCGTGTCCAGAACATCCAAAACACTAGAGGTGACAGAGTTAAGTAATTCATCCACAGTAGAACACAACGTGTTATCAAAGTTTATCATCCCCATGAAAAGTTCACCTGTATTTTTGTTTATGTGTCTTCTTCTTCTAACAATTGAGGATTCAGCTCGTGCTTTACTATTGAGACACATATCAAAAAATACACAGAAATGATCTGACAGAGCAACATTGGCCACATTTACATTTGAGATATTAACCCCTTTAGTAATTAGCAGATCGAGAGTGTGTCCTCTGCTATGGGTGGGGCCACTCACATGCTGAGTGAGACCAAAGGTTTCCAGCACAGAGCTCAGCTCTTTCGCGTATCTATCATTAACGTTATCTACATGTATATTAAAATCACCTATGACGACTAAACTATCAAAGTCTGTGCACACAACTGAAAGCAACTCGGTGAAATGATCAGTGAAACTATGACATGACTGTGGCGGCTTGCACACAACAATAATAAGAATAGAAGATTGTTTTTGTTCTATTTTAAAAGAGACATACTCAAATGAGGAACATTTCCCAAGAGGTACTCTATGGGAGACAATACAATCTTTAAAAACTGCTGCTGTGCCTCCTCCTCTTTTATTTTCTCGAATTTCTGATTCAAATTTGAAATTTGGTGGTGTTGTTTCTATTAAAACTGCATTTTCTGTATTATGGTCAAGCCAAGTTTCAGTCATAAACATAAAGTCAAGATCATAAGAACAGATAAAATTATTAATTAAAAAGGATTTATTGCATAGTGATCTGACATTAAGCAGAGCAAGGTTAAAAATAATATCAGTGTCAGTGGGTTTAGTTGATTGACTACAAAGAATTGGAATTAGATTTCCTGAGTTGGACCGTCTAACTGCTGTCCTTCTGTTATATTTGTGTTTATTCAAATTAAAATACATTTCTGAGCCGGTGCGAGGAACACACACAGTCTCTATTGGTTTAAAAAGTGAACTCTGTTTTACTTTGTTAAGTTCCAGATGCATGACTGAGTAAGCACCGTTCAGTGGCAGGACTGGTATTACACTGCCAGACGGACAGAGGTCAGTGTTTGCACCACAGTACTCACCCGGTGCTGGAGTGGAGGAGGAAGGTGGTAGTGGGGGCCGAGAGGCCTCGGATGTAAACAGTCACGCCCCCCTCAGGGAGCACTGAACAACATGGCGTAAAAAGTCCATCAATAAACTGGTACCGTATCTGTTCGGGTGCAGACCGTCTGGACGATAGGCCACGTGACGCTTCCAGAACAGGCCAAAGTTGTTCACAAAAACAAAGTTAAAAGTGCTGCATGCAGACTGGAGCCACATATTCAGCGCCACAACGCGACTGTACAAGCAGTCTCCCCGGTTTACAGTCGGGACTGGACCAGAGATAAAAACACACAACCCGGAGGACTGGAGGAGGCGGAATAGATCCATAAAATGCTTCTTTGTGACCTCGGACTGCTGCAGCTTCATGTCGTTGATCCCCACATGCACGATTACCTTTGAAATGGTATCAGGCATCAGGTGAGGTGACTAATGTCGTTTATAGGGTTTGTGGTTACTGCAGTGTCGCTTTCCATGTCTGTGTAGGTTTAATAAAATCTCATGACGTGGTGCACTCGTGGTGCTAGTACCTAGCTTTCGCACAGTCGCACCTGTGCCATTTGCAAAACTGGGGAATGTTGTAGATGGAGCAGGAGGATCTCTGTTGTGACAAGCAGGTGGTGAACCCAACACCGGAAACGTTATATAATGAATCTTTAACAAACAAACTGTTGAAGGATCTGAAAAGCCTCAAAGTAACTGTAAGTTAAGCGTTGAGTCGCAGAACTTTACAGCAGAGCAGAGTAACGCCAACCCAAACAGATTCCCTTCAGCTTTGTTTAACTAGTCCATTGCCCCGTAACTAGTCTTTGTCGCTGACAGTCTCCAGCAAATCACACGGTGGAGGTGAGGATTAACTATGGCCATGAAGAACTGCAGCAACATCTGTTTTCCCAAGCTTCCCTCAGCTGGGCTTCAATATGAGGGAGCCGATACTTCAGGTTTCCGTTGCACCAGCCGGGCTACTGCACCTGGTGTTTTGTAGGGATAATAAATGTAGTGGGAAATTACTGAGTTTTAGTGCCATCAAAACGAGATTTGATGTAGAGTGGCAATATACACCCTGCCCCAAAGTTCAGTGTAGCCTGAGCCAATTTCTGGTTCTCTTGCAACCATGACATTATGGTTTTTACTTACAAATGCATGTAATAGTCATGTTCCCTGTACTTTTAATTAAATAAGCCAAGTATGAAACCACAGCAACATTGTGGGGAAAAAAAGAACACTGCTGTAAATTCATTATTTAGTAAAACATTTTATTCAAAAGCTTCAATGCGGAACGACTAGCTCGTCTGAAGAACGTTTCACGTTTTTGCCGTTTGACCATTTCCTCAGACGAGTGCGCCGTCGCGTTCTTGGAGGCCTGGTCGGAGTGCGCCGTCGCGTTCGTGGAGGCCTGGTCGGAGTGCGCCGTCGCGTTCGTGGAGGCCTGGTCGGACTGCGCCGTCGCGTTCGTGGAGGCCTGGTCGGACTGCGCCGTCGCGTTCGTGGAGGCCTGGTCGGACTGCGCCGTCGCGTTCGTGGAGGCCTGGTCGGACTGCGCCGTCGCGTTCGTGGAGGCCTGGTCGGGGTGCGGAGGCCACCACGAACGCCTGCGCACTCCGACCAGGCGCGCGCGGTCGGACTGCGCCGTGGCGTTCGTGGAGGCCTGGTCGGACTGCGCCGTGGCGTTCGTGGAGGCCTGGTCGGACTGCGCCGTGGCGTTCGTGGAGGCCTGGTCGGACTGCGCCGTGGCGTTCGTGGAGGCCTGGTCGGACTGCGCCGTGGCGTTCGTGGAGGCCTGGTCGGACTGCGCCGTGGCGTTCGTGGAGGCCTGGTCGGACTGCGCCGTGGCGTTCGTGGAGGCCTGGTCGGACTGCGCCGTGGCGTTCGTGGAGGCCTGGTCGGACTGCGCCGTGGCGTTCGTGGAGGCCTGGTCGGACTGCGCCGTGGCGTTCGTGGAGGCCTGGTCGGACTGCGCCGTGGCGTTCGTGGAGGCCTGGTCGGACTGCGCCGTGGCGTTCGTGGAGGCCTGGTCGGACTGCGCCGTGGCGTTCGTGGAGGCCTGGTCGGACTGCGCCGTGGCGTTCGTGGAGGCCTGGTCGGACTGCGCCGTGGCGTTCGTGGAGGCTGGTCGGACTGCGCCGTGGCGTTCGTGGAGGCCTGGTCGGACTGCGCCGTGGCGTTCGTGGAGGCCTGGTCGGACTGCGCCGTGGCGTTCGTGGAGGCCTGGTCGGACTGCGCCGTGGCGTTCGTGGAGGCCTGGTCGGACTGCGCCGTGGCGTTCGGTGGAGGCCTGGTCGGACTGCGCCGTGGCGTTCGTGGAGGCCTGGTCGGACTGCGCCGTGGCGTTCGTGGAGGCCTGGTCGGAGCGCGCCGTCGCGTTCGTGGAGGCCTGGTCGGAGCGCGCCGTCGCGTTCGTGGAGGCCTGGTCGGAGCGCGCCGTCGCGTTCGTGGAGGCCTGGTCGGAGCGCGCCGTCGCGTTCGTGGAGGCCTGGTCGGAGCGCGCCGTCGCGTTCGTGGAGGCCTGGTCGGAGCTCGCCGTCGCGTTCGTGGAGGCCTGGTCGGAGCGCGCCGTCGCGTTCGTGGAGGCCTGGTCGGAGCGCGCCGTCGCGTTCGTGGAGGCCTGGTCGGAGTGCGCCGTCGCGTTCGTGGAGGCCTGGTCGGAGTGCGCCGTCGCGTTCGTGGAGGCCTGGTCGGAGTGCGCCGTGGCGTTCGTGGAGGCCTGGTCGGAGTGCGCCGTCGCGTTTGTGGAGCCATGGTCGGAGAGCGCCGTCACGTTCTTCGAGACAAAACAGTGAATTTAGACCAACTTTCTGTGTGTCAATACTGTACATTATACTAATGAAGAAACAGCCCTTCAGCCTTAATTTTAAGGGTCAAATAGTTTTAATATAATGCTCCCCTTACAGAACTATTAGGATCATGCTAAACCTTAAAGGAAAGGATTTCATATCTTAAAAGTGCTGTGACCAAGGAAGCAGTAACGTTAGAATATTTGTGATACTCAAAGCTCAAAAGGGTAAAGTGGAGTTGAAGGATGTCTACACACCTCAGCTTCATCATGTACTAGGTCAATTTGCAAGATGTGCTTCTTGACCACGTGCTCTGCTCCCGTCTCCACTTCATTGTTTATCAATTGTTCTGCAAAGACATGAGAAGCACATGTTTACTGCTGAACACCGCTATACAGTGTTACATCTTGACATTTCTGAACGTTTTTGGCTGAGTTTTAATGTAAAATAATTTCAAATCTGCATGAACTCACCCTGTGTAGCATTGGCAGCCAGGTGCTGAACCACGGAATTCTTCACGGGTTTAGTGTCAGAGGACTCAGAACCTACAGCAACAGCTAACACTCATTCTATACAATGTAAATATATTCATAAATAAAATAATGCCAATGTTACCTTTTGCACCATAATGGATTTCATTCTGGCTTTCATCACAGCTGCCAACTAGTGAACAAAAACTATTTAGCAATTGTTCAACACAATGAAATGTAACAATCTGACGAACCGTGGGCTGTTCCAAGGAAAAAGAGACACAGGATCCAAAGAGCTGCCATTTCACCAGTTTCCCAGAGAAAAGACCCAGTCAGTCGATCCACAGGCAGAGGTGAAGAAACACAGCTGCATTGATTGGAATGAGTTTATAAAGAACAGCTGGAGAGCTCTGATTGGACGAAAACAGAAGCCACGCCCACAGAAGAGTTGGACTCATGTCTGTTCACTTTGGATTCACTTTCCTGAAGTAAACACTGAGGGTAAGAACCAATCAGGAAGAAGAATACCTCACTCCAGATCATTTTTTAGGGGTTTATTTATGTTGTTTATTTAAATTGAAGACAGGACAATACACCACATTTTACAGTTGCATTTAAAATAATTGTGGTGAGTAGAGAGAAGGAAACATCTCATGTTGCCTGCCCTTTTCTTAATCATGCACAAATAAACATTCGTAGAGATGGACTGCAGCACTTCCACAGCAGCCTAAGGGCATTTTAATACAGTGAGTGTTTTTTTTTCTTTTTTCACAATTTACATGTGGTTTCGTTTAATCTCTCCTGACTCTCAAAACAATTATTTCTTGCACTCCTTCAATTGCAGTTCTTTTTTATTGACACCTGGACCTCTGTGTTGATATAAAAACACCACACATTTTATTTTGTTTACATTTAATGATAGTTTATTTTTATTGAACCATTTTTTTTATTTTACCCATTTCCTCTTCCATTGTTCTCATTCGTTCTTTAATATTATTTCCTGAACCTTAGGGACTGCATTTTCCCTGTAGGCTTGGAATATTCCATCGTCTTTTCTGTTTGGAGCGATCTGAACAGGAGGTTGAGCTGATGCATGTATATGCTGATTTGGAACATAAGATAGATAGATGAGGCGACAGTCGCTCAGTTGGTAGAGCATTGGCCTTCAGGCCAGATGGTTGTGGGTTCATTTCCCACCTCTACACCTTCTCCACCAACTCCCACTGATGACTGCTGTCGTTGTGTCCTTGGGCAAGACACTTAACCCCACTTTGCCCAAAGCCCCCACTGAAAGATCAAGGCTATGCTCACACTCAGAGAGCAGCCGTCCTCCTGTGGACTCACCACCTGCAGAGGGTCAGTGAGGGGCTGGTGCTATGAGATTTGGGTGGCATCTCTGACTGCCACCCCCCTGACCCAGAAATGGATTAAAGGGTAGAAAATGGATGGATGGATGGAAGATAGATAGATAGATACTTTAGTGATCCCCGTAGGAGAAAATCAGGCGCCGGTCCAAAGTAAAATCCTAAATGCTTCATTAGTATTGTTTAAAAACTTTGCATTCCTCCAGTGGATTCTCACTTGATTCTCTTGTTTCGGACCCTGAATCCTATCAGCTCTGGTCTGGACCAGTGTAAAACCATGAATCCTCTCTGCTCTGGTCTGGACCAGTGTAAAACCATGAATCCTCTCTGCTCTGGTCTGGACCAGTGTAAAACCATGAATCCTCTCTGCTCTGGTCCGGACCAGTGTAAAACCATGAACACTGTACTGCAGAAACATCAAAAAATAAAAATTGTAAAACAAAAACAACAACTGTTTTAGAGACACTTAGGACTTTCTTCCATATCCAGTGCATTCAAAGGTAAACTTTAATAATAAAGTTAATTCTTAATCAAATATACTCTCAAAACATAAAAATAAGACCATGGAAGCCTATACATCGATGTTTAACCCTTTTGTTTTCACTTCTTGAACAAAGCAATGTATTTGACGTTTCGGCTTTGTCTTCATCAGATGACCACAACATACAAATGCCACTTTTCCACAGTAACAGTGCGGCACGGTAAGGTTTTTTTGCATTTCCACTTGGGTTGGGGTCAGGGTTTGGGTACTTTTTTCGTACCACCTCGACAGTGGTTCCATCGGCCCACTGCCTTACACTGATTGGTCAACCAGTGTCGTCACTGGAAGCGACGTCCGACCCTTTGGTAAAAACGCCATCTTCAAAACCGGCTGCTCTGCTACGGCCACAACACGTCCTCCTCACTCCAGAGAAATGGAATCGCACAGAAAACCGTAAAAGTCAACGTCCTGGTCGGTGGACAAGGTCCACGCGTTACTCTCTTGAGGCCGAAGAAAGAATTCAAAGGCAGCTCAACAGCACAACGAGGTGTCAGGGAGATCGCTCTTGATTTGTGACTAGTCTGTGGTAATCCTGGAAATAACTGGTTAGCTACGTATCCCGTTGGCCCAATGCTCTCACTGAAATGTGTTTACGCGTGTAAATGTTTGATTGTCTGTTGTACACGGTGAGCTAGCTACATTTAACTATTGATAGCAAGCTAAGCTAAAACGTCCTTCCTGGGCTACTGTGCTGTATTTTGCTTTTTCACATGTTGCCATTCTGTTTTGTGCTTGTACTTAAGTTGTATATTTGTTTGAAAATCTCTTCCCACAAGTGAGATTACAAACAAGCAAAGTTTTTCTTACTTTTGTTTTTAATAAATCTGTGATTGTATCAAGACTTTGTTTCATTCTTGCATTGTCAGCACACGTACAGAAAAGGGGTTCAAAAGCAAAAGTTACGATTTCCTACCATATACTCTTACTTCTATTTACATTACATTATATTTGTCAGTAAATCCGTATAACCGTGGTAAATTTATGAACAAGGATGGAGACATTTGATAAATACAAAAAGGTTTTGTTTTTGGTCAAAATAAATGTTCAGGCATATGAAAAGCGACGCATAGATACTGTAGATAAGCGGAAAAAGTAGTATTTTGTGGTCAAAAGAAAAATAAAATGTGATCTGATGAAGGCATACAACCAAAACGTCATGGATAAATAAATAAAAGTGTTCATCAGAGCTGAGTGTGCAATGCTACCCTGTTTTCTGGGATTTCTTGAACTTGGCAAAATTTTTAGTCAACATACAATAATTTCTACTTTGTTTTAGTGTTAGTGCCGTCCTATGATCCAGGTAGACAGGATTGGAACAGTAGAACTGTATTTTATTGCTATTTGTATTGCTCCACCACATGCAAACAATTGTCCCCTTGGGGACAATAAAGTTTTTGAGTTGAGTTGAACAGCGCCCTCTGCTGTCTGTGTCTATGGTCTTATCCTTGTCATGAGATGCTCCTCCTTTTTGCAGTGGAGGAGATTAACTTCAGTTATTTTTCTTCAGCTTCATGGCTCTGGTGCATAATCAGCTCAGCCCTTGAACAGGAAGGATTAGGAGTAGGATCCACACGTCCACAACTGGCCTGAGCACCACCAGGATCTTCATCACATGCTCTCAGACTTCTTGAAGGTCATCGTCAAAATCTGTCTGTAACAAACGACAACAAAATATTTTAAACTTGCTGCATGTTTGCACTTGCACCTTGTGAATTACATTAGATTCAGTTCATCAAGGATAAAGTATGTTTATTTCTTAGATACAAATCATGCACGGGGTAAATGTTTGAAGTAAAGAGATTTAAAACATCTAGGTTTAACTCGTGTGTGTTGTTGCTTTGAGCTTTACTCGGCTGAACACGGGGTGTCACGATTTAGTAATTCAACAATTTAAATTGGACCCACAATTGCCCATCGTGTTGACAATCAGCAGTGCAGTGGCACTTCTCTGTAAAAGCAAGCATCGAAATGTTTTATGGCATTTTGAATGCGGTCTGTAATATTTCTTTGTGCCACAATGGAACGCCTGAGCCTTTTTATTTGTAAGACTCAAATACAGAGATTATTATCATTCATTTTACTGAAAGTCGATTTGAGAAGATTAGACTCAGCATATTTGGTAAGAATCTATATGAGAAGAATCTATATGAGGTGTTCTTTAACCGCATGCATTGTTTTGGAGAAACAGCAGCCCTGACCACCTGAACACATCCCAGAATACAACACGAAAACATGTAGATGGCAGACAGGTGTCATTTCGTTTCAAATCTGCAGAGTGATGCAGGTCATTTCACCCACAGCCGTCTGCCCCCGGACAGATAAACAGAACCTTTTAGTTGTTAGCGTTCTGTGCCTGGTGCCACTCTTCTTCTCATCACTCACACAAACATGTTGCTCTGGAACATAAAATCAAGCTGGGCCAAAGAGTCTCACCATTATTCATTCATAAACAAATGTATTCGTGATCTTAGTTTTTGATAAACGTGTTTGCTCCAAACAGTCAAGAAGCGACAGGCTCAGCCTCTCAGGTGATCAATCGAAGGGAGGAGTTATGTTTGAATTTCGAGCGCGAGCGCCTCAGAGCCAATCAGCTTTGCCCTGACATGTATAAAGAGCCACAGCCTCAAACCCTATTGACCAAATGCATCAACGTCATCCAGTCACGTGATTGTGAATGAGCTTACGGCGGAAGTATTGGAAACTAGCATTGCTGCGAGAGCAAAACGGACTACAACTCTTAAAAACTGAGCTTCCTCTCCTAAATCGAGAAGTGGCTGCTTCAAGCACATGTTCGATTACGTTATAGGTGGAAGTAGGACATCAGGTCAGGGCTCACAAAGAGTGGTATTTGGAGAAGTTAAGGATCGCCTAACTGGATGTTGACCCGTACCTTCTTCCCCCAGTCAATTTTATCGATTAAATAAAATCTCTATTTTTGCCCAAATTCACCCTACATGATCTTTATCATTATCGTTAACAATGTATCGCCTCACACTGGAGCAGATTTATATGTACATTTTGCTGGTAGCATTAGATATAGTCCACTTTTCTGTGGCTTTTCTGTCTACAGCCAAACATGATACGTACTGACGGAGAGGAAAATAGTGAAACACGCAATTGACTTAAAAGATAAAAATGTCAATGTTGCAGCGCACATACAGGACAGTAGTAAGAGACACGTTTGACGTGTGTCATTGTGCTCCACATTAATGTAAATAAAATAAATACAAACTTGTGATTGCTTTATCTTGTAAAAAGTGTTCACTGCATATTGGGGAGTACTTGGATGGGTCCCAGTCCTTTTGGTTGATTGCCGCTGGCCATCGTCGTCTTCTGTCTTCATGGCGAGCAGGTATCAGATAAAAAAAGCTTATGTCCTTGCCTGTTAGTATAATCAACCGCACTGCAAAATGTCAGTTTTGGCTGTAATGCGCTGAAACAGGTTGTTTTGGTCAGGTGTCCGTAGGCTCGCAGTTAGACTTCTGCCGTCTGTCATGGAGAGTGGGCGTGGCCGGGACGTCACATGCAAGGGGTCAATACTCATCCTGTTACAAGACCTCTCACTGATCCAGAGCAGACAAAATGGCCAGAACCAAGCAGACCGCCCGTAAATCCACCGGAGGAAAGGCTCAGAGGAAGCAGCTCGCCACCAAAGCCGCCCGCAAGAGCGCCCCGGCCACCGGCGGCGTGAAGAAGCCTCACCGTTACAGGCCCGGGACCGTGGCTCTGAGAGCGATTCGCCGCTACCAGAAGTCCACCGAGCTGCTCATCCGCAAGCTGCCCTTCCACAGTGGCGGAGCCAGAGGGGTAGCCAGGGTGGCCACTGCCACCTCTAAAAATACACTTGCCCCCCTCGGAAGACGGCAATGTAATAATGTTAATCTTGAGAATCTTCCGCACTTTTTCCGCCAAAAACTAAAAATTCCCACGGTTTCCCCCGTTTGTGAACGCACCTTGACTCCGTGTGGAGCCAGTGCTGTATGCTAATGCTTTGGGTTGTTGGACTCATTAGCGCATTACATACTTGTTCAGTTTGTAGTACATTTAGTGTGTGTGCGTGCGTGCCTGTGTGCGCGCCTGTGTGTGCCATTGTGTGTCTGCGTGCCTGTGTGCGTTCGTGTTTATGCGTGCGGGTGCACTTGTTTTCAACTCCTGGTTGGTTCCATAACCTGAGATTCCACTCACGTCATGGGGACTGGTTTTACATGGTGGGGCCCGAACACCGGACCCCACTGGTCCAAGCTCAATAATCAATGGGTAATGCTTTTCTAACGGTCCTTATGCAGTCTCTGTAAAAATATGGAAAGGACCCCTGGAGGTTTACTTTCCTGAAAAAAGTGTGTTATGTGTCGGAACCCTGGTGGTGGGTTGCGGAATATCAAGGAGGGGCACACTGGGGCAATTTCAGTCCAGCAGGCTGGAGCCAATCATGGAGCAGCACAACAGAGGAAATCAGGTGTCAGGCTAGAAAAGGTGCAAGTGTGTGGTTCATTAGGCTGCAAGAAATCATGGAGGAGCACACTGAAGCGCACGCTTACAAACCACTGGTAAGTGTTGACTACAAGTCATGACTTCAAATTGTTATATAGAATTATTACAAATTATTTGTTGTTTGTGCAGCTTAGTCAAGAGTCCCTAATTGATGAAGTCGACTCAGATTCTGACGATTTAACTGTCAAGAAGAAACCTGTAAAAAAGTATGGAAAAAGAAAAATCAAAAACACTTTTCTTCAAGACTCGGAAAGTGACGAACCAAAGGCAAATAAGATTGTTATCATGCAGGTGCAAAAGAAGAAAAATGGGGGCAGAGTTTACAGCAAGAGACACTTCTGCCTCTACTGTTCAATGTCCTGCCACAAAATGTCCCGTCATTTGACTAGAAAACATGGAAATGAAAGTGACGTAGCCATAGCATTGGCTCTACCTGTGAAATCTAGAGCACGTAAACTTCAGTTTGATTTGATCAGGAATAGTGGAAACAGTGAGCACAATTTTGAGGTTTTAAAGGCTGGCATTGGAACTTTAGTCCCAGCTAAACAGCCAAATTTCCCATTTAAATCCAGTGAGTTTTTGCACTGTATAGACTGTGGGGCATTGCTTAAGCGAAAGTCGCTGTGGAGGCATGTGGCCAGGTGCCGGCTTTCACAGAAAGATGCCCAGGCTAAACCAGGTAGAAGTAGGGTCCAGTCCCTCTGCTCCCTAGCCCAGCCTGTACCGGAGGGCATCAGCAAAAAGCTGTGGTCTTTAATTTCGGCAATGCATCAGGATGAGGTCACGGGTGTTGTCAAAGCAGAAAAGGGGATTCTGAGACTCGGAGAGCACCTGTACTTAAAACACGGGCATGATAAGACTAAGCATGATTACATTAGGCAGAAAATGAGAGAAGTCGGTAGGTTAATTAACGAAGCAAAAACCGCAGGGAAACTGAAAACAATTAAGGATTTCTTTATTCCTTCCAACTTTAACCATGTGATTGATGCAGTCAGGTCTGTGGCTGGATATGATGAGGAAATAAATCAATACAAGACTCCATCCTTGGCCCTCAAACTCGGCCATAGCCTCAGAAAGCTAGCAGATATTCTTGAATGTGACTCAAAAATGGAGCATTGTGTTGATGAACTATTTATTAAAAACCTCCAACGAAGCCGGCTGCTTTTTGAGAAGAGGTGGGACGTCTGTGTTTCTTCTGCTGCCCTACAGACCCTCCGGCAAGCCAAGTGGAACACTCCGGACCTGCTCCCTCTGACTGAGGACGTTAGAGCCATGCATGCACATATTGAGGTATGTCGACCTGAATATGTGCAAACCCTCATAAATGAGCCAACCTCTAAGCATTGGTCTAAACTGGCAGTTTTGACTCTTTGTGAGGTCATTATTTTCAATCGAAGAAGGGAAGGTGAGGTTTCAAAGATGCCACTGACAGCGTTTACCTTAAGAAGTAAGACTGGTATCCATTCTGACATTGCTCTGGGACTGTCCGAACTTGAGAAAAAGCTGTGTCAGCATTTTCAACGCATTGAAATTAAAGGGAAAAGAAGTCGGAAAGTGCCGGTTCTTTTGACTCCTGAAATGATTGCTTCGATGGAGGTGCTGGTGGAGAACATAAGGGCCTGTTCCATCTCTGACCATAACCCATACTTCTTCTCCCGCCCGGGCGCAGACACCCACATCAGGGGATCAGACTCCCTACGGCAGGTAGCCAAAGAATGTGGTGCGGTGCATCCAGAGATGCTATCCGCAACCAAATTTAGAAAGCACATAGCTACTATGTCTACAGTTCTCAATATGAAAGAGAATGAAATGGACATACTAGCCAACTTCCTCGGCCATGACATTCGCATCCACAGACAATATTACAGACTACCAGAGGGGACACAGGAGCTGGCCAAAATCAGCAAAGTGTTAATGGCCATGGAGCAGGGAAGAGTGACGGAATTCAAAGGAAAGAGCCTCGACCAGATACAAATTGAGCCTGAAGGTAATTCTTGATATTATTAAAATATGTATAATTTTTTTCCCCTAAAGGCCACTTGTATTTTTATTTTCTGTGCGACAGGGAGAGCAGTAGAGATCCTCTCACAAACGGACGGGCTAAAAGAAATTTCAAGCGGAGAACCTTCAACCATTCATCCAGATGCACCCCATGGTAGTGGCAGTGCCCCTTCTGGTAAGTGTGCCAGGTGGGGGATTACAGCCAGGCTGCTTGGTCCTAACCCTGGGAGTGTATATTGCTAATATATTTTTATTTCTCTCCCTAGAACGTTAGAGAAAGCCATGGTCTGCATCTGAGGTGAAGGCTGTGGAGAAGACCATGACGCCTTTCATACAGACTGGAAAAGTCCCTGGGAAGTCTCACTGCCTGGCCTGCATTAATGCCTCACCAGATGACCTTAGACATCGGACATGGAGTGGCATTAAATTCTATGTCAAAAATAGAATCACTGCAATTCGAACAAAAAATCTAAAAATTCTTTTAAAAGAGTTGTTTGTTTTCTATTGACTGTTTTGTATTACTTAAAGTAGTCCCAGTAAAAAAGATTATGTCTATGGGTCCCATTCTGAACGGCCATGTCAAAGGGACCCATTCTGAACGGCCCTGTCAAAGGGACCCACCAGGTAACAAAAACGTGTATGTGTGTGCATGCGTGTGTATTCTCCATTAATAATTGCCCATCGTATCATCGCCCTCTTCCCTTTTGTGTAAACATTAAAAGAAAAGGAAGAGACATTGCGTCTTTTTTTGTTAGGAAAAGGCCTGTAGATCAGGATGATGAAACCTGAAGGTCAGACTCGGAGGCAGTATGTTTTGAGATTATGAGGAAATTGTTGTGTTGTATTAAAGTATAGCTTATACAATTCAGTTTCAGAGAATGAGAGGGAGTCGACTATTGGCAGAATTAGAGAGGCGTTTTTTCACACACAAAAAAAGACAAAAAAAGCTAAGATTATGGATGATGTGCAGTTGCTTGACCCCAAAACATTTTTGAAAGAGCCCCTGTTTTCATTTGGCATAACCTTTGAGTCAGATATAGAGGACTAGCTGTATCCTGTTTTCAGCGCTTCTTCTTCTACGTGTACAAGGTGCTGAAGCAGGTGCACCCCGACACCGGCATCTCCTCCAAGGCCATGAGCATCATGAACTCCTTCGTCAACAACATCTTCGAGCGCATCGAGGGAGAGGCTTCCCGCCTGGCGCACTACAACAAACGCTCCACCATCACCTCCAGGGAGATCCAGACCGCAGTGCGTCTGCTGCTGCCAGGAGAGCTGGCCAAGCATGCCGTGTCTGAGGGCACCAAGGCCGTGACAAAGTACACCAGCTCCAAGTAAACGGAGCCGTTTACAGAGCAACACAAGGGCCCTTTTCAGGGCCACCCACATCTGACAAAGACCACACTTCTCCCACATGTTGGTTTTTCACTAAATGAAGGAAACGGAAAGTCCAGTGTAAATAATAACACTGATAATAAATAACACACTAACACAACCATCGGCCCCTCTGACCACCACCAACCATTCACACACATCACTCATTCTAGGCAATGGGGGTAAAGTGTGTTGCCTAAGGACACAACGGCAGTTTGGCACTACAGCTGCAGCCGCCCCTCATGTATTCCTTCGATGTTGGTTTGTACTTTCATTTGTGATAATATATTATGAATTTAGGAATTATGTTGATAATCAAAATGTTTCTATTTGTCGAGAAATTGTTATTATTTGTGTTAATTGGTTTTGGGGGAGGAGTTTCAGGGTATAAGGGAGGGCTGTCAGAGCCACAATGGGGGTGGAAGCTGGATGAGGAGGATGGTGTGCACTGCTGGCACAAAGCTCCAGAGTTGTTCTCCCTGATGCCCTGTAGGCCGTCAGCTGAGTCCAAATATGTGGCTAGAAATCAATTTCCGTTCCATAACTTGGGCATGACTTTTCGAGACTGGTTTTAGCTTCACTATAGTGTATCTGATGACACTCTAAAAGTTCTCCGTGCAATTGTTTGCAGTTATTGTACAGTTTGAAATCTTACGCCGGACTATTTCTCGTGTAAGGAGACGAAAAAGGTTGTAAACCGTCACTGCTCAGCCAATAAGAGACGCGTATTATCGAGCATTTCCGAGAAAATCACTACGCGGTATGTCAACAAACACGGCGTGCGAGGCTTGTTGTGGATCACTACCGTCGTTGTCTGAGGCAGAAATGGATGTTTTGCCGCTTTTGAAATGCATCGTGTACATAGAACCAGCCACAACAAACCTCTGTGAGAAACTGACGGAAGATATGGTGGGACACCTGCCGACGATGCGCCCGGGATTGGGACGAGCGTAGGGAGTTGTTTTAAAAACATATGACAGTAAGTTTTTATTGATTCTGTTTGGTGTTCTTCTTGTGATAAGGTTGGGAGGAGCTACATAAATAACAGTTGCGCTAAGTCCAATATTGATATACCTATAGATCTACTAGAATTACAACTAACTGTGATTACATATTCAGTACAAGTAGGCCTTATATGAATCCAGACCACTGAAACATTGCCTAAATAAATGACCTTCCAGCAATGCTGAGTAATTATCCATACTATTATTCCACAGCTGTGATGACTGCATGCTAGCATCATTATATTATTAGCAGACATACTTATACACTGTAGATCCATGTAGTGTCTTTGACTTAGTCCTCTGTTTAGTTTTTACTTTTGCTGGCATGAAATAATTCATAACACATTTTAACTTGTCATTTCCAGATCTACTCTGTGAAGCAGCTGAGGCCAAAATTGATGAGCACATTCTCCATCACATCCGGGACAAAGATTGTGTAGCCATGGAGGTGAAATATCATCAGTCCTGTTATCGGGAATACAGATGATTTATATATTTGGTGTCCTTTGTTTTTCTGAATGATTGAAAGTTTGCTTATCCCACTATCTTATATGTATGTATATAGATAGATGTATGTACAGTATATGTTTGTGTGGGTGTGCATATGTATATATCTATATATAATATTCTATTGTGCAGGGGTTCGGGGGGATAAAAAGAGTTAACTGTAAAAATGTCTGACAAATGTGACTCTTCAATAAACAAATGTATTTAAAAAAAAAAGAAATGATCCTCATACCATATCAATCCTTTATTTACAAGTTTCAAGTAAGAAAGTGTGCATATTGAATGCACAAAATCGAATATGATACAGATCAGATTACGTTAAATGGAAAAAAAGAATTACATCAAATATTTGCAGCATGTAAATACCAAAATATGAAGAACGATACAATAATGTTTTATCTAATGAAGCCACATGTTCAACTTACTGAATTGATCCTTTAAGACTGTAGGGAGAATACGCAGCTGGCTGTATGAAATCAACATAAATAAATCTAGAACTACTCTTCAAAATCACTATCACCTTCCTCTGACGCAACCTGAGCAACGAGTATCTCTTCTTCGTTTTCCTTTTTGTTATTACAGGTCACACATTTGCAGAGGTCTGTACAGCGTAGCTTGGCTCTGAGACAGGAGCAGTGCCCAACTTCACAGACAACCTCTTCACAGAATGTATAGCTGCTTGATCGACTTAGGCCTGTAATGACATTAAAAGATACATATTATGTGTTCATTAGCAACAATAAGATTTGTCTTTACACCATTCAATCAATCGAATTTTATTTATAAAGCGCTTTTCATACAAAAGATGCAACACAAAGTGCTTTACAGTTTGGTTGGACCAGAGAGCAGGGCATTACAATAGTCAATGCGACTGGTGATAAAAGCATCAGCGTCTCCGTGTTGCCCCGAGAGAGAATGGGGCGGACTCTGGCGATGTTCTTTAAATGATAAAAACCTATTTTTGTGATACTCTTGATGTGAGGAATTGTGAGATTTCATAACACTTTGAAGCAACTTTTGTTAAAGTTAAACTCATCATTCTATCAATGTGCAGAAGCCAGTACTTTTCCCTTGTTTTGTCTATCTGAAGGCCAAGCTACAAGCACACCGTGGCAGCTGCTGATTGGAGGACTCCATGCCTCCGCTCTGTATAATACACTTGCATTCTGTTGTTTGTGTTGTTCGTGCTGTCTATGCCATCGACAATAAAACATGTCTTCTGTCTGAATGAAAGACGCGATCCCAGATAATGTCATCTTCTTCAGGTGGTGGAAGGATGCGGGCCTTGTCTGTAACATCTAGAGAACAGAAGACTTTTTTTTTTTACACAAAAAGTGTTTTTTTTTTCAAGCCAAAACTGAGAAACCTCAAGACAAACCATGCATCTGGATCAGCCCATGGACAATCTGCACAGCCCCTGATTCCAGTCAGGCTGTGAGCTGCTGAGACATGGACAACACCAGCGTCCTCTTTTGCATGGACGCTATTTGGAAAAATTGGATTACACAATTTGGACATAATTTGGACTGAATTGAATTGCTGAATCTGGACACTAAAGCTGAAACGTGTGATTGAAAGACACGTCACAGAAGAATTCATGGCTCGACACAAATGCAGCCTGAAGAAATCAACACGGAGAAGTGGGAGAGACTGTTTTCAAAGCAATATCTGGAACCACCATCGACTGATGAAGTTTGGTATTTTGCTGAAGATTGTTGACAAGTTTTATGAAAGATCTGAAAATGTTTTTGAAGTATTCTGAGTTCTGAGTTTTTTGAAGTACCGAGTGAAGTACCGAGTTTATGAGTTTTTGAAATATTGAGTTATGATGTTATGTTGCTGTTTATCGATCCTGATGGTCACACGTGAATGTATGACCAGAGGGGGGAATGTGAGATTTCATAACACTTTGAAGCAACTTTTGTTAAAGTTAAACTCATCATTCTATCAATGTGCAGAGGCCAGTACTTTTCGCTTGTTTTGTCTATCTGAAGGCCAAGCTACAAGCACACCGTGGCAGCTGCTGATTGGAGGTCTCCATGCCTCCGCTCTGTATAATAGACTTGCATTCTGTTGTTTGTGTTGTTCGTGCTGTCTCTACCATCGACAATAAAACATGTCTTCTGTCTGAATGAAAGACGCGATCCCAAACAATGTCATCTTCTTCAGAATAAAAGTCAGCTCAGAGTCAAAGATTACGCCCAGGTTTCTCACTTGTGATGATGGATTAAAAGAGTGTGATTGGAGTTTTTTGGTAAAAGTTTCTCTCTCTGGGCCTCAGGACTGATGACTAAAACCTCAGTTTTGTCCTGGTTAAGCTGGAGAAAGTTTTCTGCCATCCAGGATTTCATTCGTTGTTGCATTCACCCTTGATGCCAACAATATCCAGACTTCTTTGATACATGTAACCCGCATTTCAGTTTAGTTTTAGTTTTATTGTTGCGGGTCAGCTTCCGCCACATCTGATGGTTTCCCTTATGATGCGCGCTCCCCCACTTGACGCTCTCCTCCGCTGTACCTGTGGCATGTCATAGCTGCGGGCTAGCGTTACAAAGCTGCACAACTTTGTTATCGGAGCGTTTTTCCCTCTATCATAAAGGTGAGCCTTTTGCCAACTGTTCGGCATCATGCAAATTAAATGTCCATGTTGCAAACCGCATGATCAGTCCCTAATCTTTGCAAACTCTTTGTAGACTCCACGCTTCCATGTGGGCGCGTGTGGGGTAGCGTCAAAGCCCACGCAATTCAAGGTACGCTGTTCACTTTTATTCATAAACAAACCAACCCGAATTGTAGGCAGTAAGTTAATGTGTAGATACATATCTTTGTTTACCGCAGTGAGTGTTTGTTAATGCCGCTTATTATACGGCTCCTCACAGCAGCAGTAGAACGCTCCATTGATTTGAATGTCATTTCAAAACGTTCTACCGGTCATTATTTTCTATAACGGACCTCTCAAAACAATAATGACCGCTGCCCTTTGGCAACGCACTCTCTGCTTGTCTTTCAAATGCGTGGATAACTCCGCAAGTAGTTCCGGCCACTCCGGAGCTAGCCACGCTCAATCAACACACTTAAATGTTAATCAGAGAATACTTATACATATACATTCTTCACACAGGTGCACGGACATTTTCAGAATTTTCTGGTCTTGTCTTCATGGCAAAAATACTATTTCCCTGCGTCAAAAAGCGATCGTGAAAAACCCGGAAGTAGTTCCGGCCGCTCAATAAACGCAAATGCCAATCAATCAACGCAATGAAATGTTAATCGGAGAGTAATTTATACATATCCAGTCTTAATACAAGTGCACGGAAGTTTAAGTACCTTCAGGGCGGAAGCAGACCCCTTCGCCCTGTCGGTACTTATTTTCCGATAATGACCTGCGTAATATACGTTATCCCTTACTTAGACACTTTTGTTTGTAAATAACCGCAAATCCCCAGTGATGTC